ATCTTTGTGTAAAAATCGACGAAAAATTCTCGCGGGAAATTTCGTCCACCACCAGCTCTATATAATCGATCATCGGTTAATTGCAGCGGCGCGCTTCGAATCGGTAACAGTTCGTAAAAACCTCGTCGTATCGATACAAAAGGGGAAGAGGGGAGGGGAGGGAAGAGGCCGAAGGGATAAAAAAAAAAAAAAAAAAAATACGGTGTCGGCGTAAAGTTTGATGGCGCTAGCGAGAATCAGTGGGGGTTGGGGGGTTGGGGGGGGGGTGGATTCTCGCGTGTTATATAGACCGTGATACGCTCGAACAAGCACGGCAGCCACTAATTAACCCAGTCTTTAATTACTGCCGGCGCTTAGCATCTCGACCGCGGATGTTCGCCGCGTGAAATCGGCTGGAATGATGCCGGTCGCGGCATTACACCCTCCCCCTCCTCTTCCTCGCGCCGTCATGGCGTACAAAAGAACGCACTGGCTGCGCCAGAAGGCGAGGATAAAGCAGAAGGACGCGTCCTTCTTGGGCGCTCCGTGTTAGATGAAACCGTAAGTAGATAGGATTTCATTTGATTTCTGATTTGACTTCAGCTTCGAAAATACGATCGTGTTCCTTCTTTGTCTGTCTTTCATCCCTTGCCCAATTATTTTTTTTTTTTTTTTTTTTTGTAATTCCTGGCACGTCGTTCCGAGAAGCGTCGACTTTCTTTTGCGAGAGTAATAAGTCAAGACTTCAGTTTGTCCGTAATTTCCGTTTGAACGTGTAGTTTTTGTGAAAGGATGTATCAACATTTGTTTGGAAAAACGAGTGACAAGGAATACGGTTTTTTTTTTTTAAATGTATTCTTTAAAGAAATGATTTTTTTGCAAAGTGGTATACACCACTAATTTCGTCAATTTACACGAAAGCTGTATCATCGATAATTTCCGAGATATTTGGAAATATCCAGTCTTCGACATCGACGATTGCCGATGAAAGGAAATAGGTGTCAAATATTTTTTTTCGAAAACTACGTTCATGCCATATTTCGTCAAAATTGACGACTGACAGTACCGGTAAGTGTACGTCGCGAACTCGGGATTTTTCAACTGATCAGAGATGAAACCTCGAGTCAAACGCCGTATCGGTCAAGAAACCGAAATAAAATTCAGTCTCATCTCTAACAACCATTTGATGCAACATTATTTTTCCAATTAGAAAAAGAAGAAAGAAAAAAGAGGAACAAACGTTCGCGCAGCTATCTCTCGGCAAGCGCAACGTCAGAAAGAAAAAGCAAAAGCTGAATAATGCAAATTGCAACGGGAATTGCAAATGAGCTGCTGTATTAGCGCAAAATTAAAAATCGCTTTTTAAACTCGCCGAGCGACCTACCCCGCTGGCAAACACCGCGAACAAATTTCGAGAAACTTCTTATCTCCCGGCGGCGAGATGTTGTAAACGCGCGTTTCTAGATTATTAAATATAATTAAATATAATTATTAATTATAATTATATTTCAGACATATTATTAAATTTATAATAATATTAATATTAATATTTCAGATTTATTATTAAATTCATAATAATATTATAATATACGATATTTAATATTTAATAATATTAATATTAATATTTCAGATTTATTATTAAATTCATAATAATATTATAATATACGATATTTAATATTTAATAATATTAATATTAATATTTCAGATTTATTATTAAATTCATAATAATATTATAATATACGATATTTAATATTTAATAATATTAATATTAATATTTCAGATATATTATTAAATGCATAATAATATTATAATATACAATATTTAACATTTAATATAATAAATAATTTTAATTACAAGTAATTAAAATAATATAATATATAATATTAAATATAATTATTAATTATAATGACATTTCAGATATATTATTAAATTTATAATACTATTGTAATATACGATATTTAATATTTAATATTTAATAATATTAAATATAATTATTAATTATTAATTCTAATTATATTTCAGACGAAATCCCGCCTCGATACGAGAGATCGAAAGCCTGCGGGATGGAAAGCCGTTTCGAAAAACTCTCCGGACACGTTTCTGCGGCGAGAGGATCGTAAGTATCAATAAACGAGCGTGACACGGCCGCGTAGTATAGCACGTTGCGTATCGATTGCTGATCCCCCGGAAACGGATTACCGTCGGATAACGAGGTTAACAATAATCGATCTTTCGCCTTGAAGGCGATTCCTGCCTTCAATTTGCACCGGCTGACAGCGACAGAGCGTGGCGCGTGAATATGCAAATGAAAAAAGTTTCGACGCAACGGAAGGGAGAGGGAGAGTTTCGTCTCTCCTCGGTTCGTTCGGCCATTGTCGAGCTGGCTTGGGGAACTCTTAAAGGAGGAAATGTTGAAACGCGGCCACGTTCTCGGTTCACGCCGTTAGTTTCCATCACGATCCTTTCCGGGAAACTTTACGGGAATCTTCGAAACTGTATCTTGAGGAAGAATTCTGCTCTGCGCGATTCTCCGCCATTTTTTTCTTTTTTCTTTTTTTCTTCTGTGGGTCGACGCCCGCGGATTTATCGCGAAATTAGATTTAATGCCGAGTTCGATTGAAACTACTCGTTTGATGATTGTTGTACGAATTAGTGTCGACTATTTGTTACTACGTCCAATGAAACACGGTCGAATGTTAAGCGTACGGTGTAATCCACGATTTGCAGCTCGAATCAGCGGTTGGAATTGTGTATTAATTATTTTTTGTTATCGATAGTATGCATGTATATACGCTCCTGTTCATGAATCACCGGGTACGTGATAGAATAATTTATATTAAATAAATGGAAATAAATGAAAGTTTGATTACAAATGATACGCATCGTGAAGCAAAATTTTTATAATATGAACAATGTATGATGCAAATTGTATATTAAAGATTCTATCAAAAGTCATTTTAATATATTATCTTTTCACGCGTAAATGTACGTACATATGTATGTATTCATATACATATGTGCGTGTTCATAAATCACCGGGTAATTGATAAAATAACTTATATTAAATAAACATAAACAAGTAAATAAATAAAAATTTGATTACAAATGACACGCATTGTGAAACAAAATTTTTACAATATAACAATAATTTTGTTCAAGAGTATTATACTTGTATTTATAAAAGAAATAATTTTGATTCAAACAGAGGATTCCAGTTCATCGAACAGATCTCTATTTGATATTTCCTAGATGATAGTTATTTTTTCAAATATTTAACATACTACATACATGATTAACTTTTTATCATAATCCACCACGTATCATCCTCGAATCGTATTACAATCGAAAACATTGCGCGCTATAATGAAGACGAAGTTTTTACGTATGAAATTCCTTCCAACACTGGAAAGAACATTAACGATCTCTTCTTTGTTTATAATTTTCTGTTCTTCATCATAAAAACTCGTTAACTACATTTTGTGATCTGTGTGAAGTGCTTGAAATTCCTCGTTGCGACAATCTGTGTAAAAGATCTAGAATCTGTTGCTGATCTGTTTCTAAAAGTTCTCGACTTCATGTCATTTGTCTATGACTCGTTTAAGGGTGAGCTTTTTTCACACAAATACGCAGTTGCTCCTCACAATTCGATTGACCCACGATACCGTTTCGAATGAAATTATGACAACCCATATGGAACCGAATGGAATACTTTTATAATAAATATAACTAGCAAACATACTAGTATTAGTGTTTAGTAAATAGTTACTTTCTATTGGCAATGAAAAATTGGAAAATAAATTTTCCTAAAAAAAAAAAAAAAAATTCATCTTTCCGTTGAAGGAAATTCGCAAAAAAAAATTGCAACTCATGCTGTATAACCACACTGTACAATTACACGTACGTGAGTGGAGGAAAGCGAGCGGATGGTACAGAAGAGTTGTTTAATCGACAATCCGTCGTAAGACTGTGTCAAGCGATAGCGGCATCGAGATCACGCAAATTGCCCGCCAACTCGGCCGCACAATCCCGTGCGATGCATTCTAGCAAAACTAGAAACACGCTCGCGGGGGGGAATAGTAATAGTAGTAGTAAGGAATCCCCACGTTCCTCAATCGGTGGTGCAATCAAGACCGCAACCTCCCCCCGTCGATTTAATTACAACACTCATCGAACGAACACTGAAACGGCTGAAAATGTTGTTGGAAACATGACGGACGATGCGTTGCCGGGAGAAAAAGAGATAAAAGAAGGAAGACAGGCAGAGAACGAGAGAGAGAGGTGGCCATAAATTGGCGAAACGGCCGGGTCCGAGCAGGGGGCGCGGTCGTGGCGCCACTCCCCGCTGGTGCTCGCTCGCGCTGATTTAAGGGTTGGAGCGGCGTCGCCGTCGGCGGGCGACTCGCGTCATTATCGTAGTTAACAGGCATTATCGTCTCTAATCAGAAGTATTTATACGATGACCGGATCGCCCAAAGGGACGGCCACGCGAGAGGGGTGGACGGGGGAGAGGGTGAAACGACGAGGACGATGGAAACGCGGCCGTCGCCTAGTCGCCACGCCCGTTATTATTTCACCGCGGGGCGCAGTTTGTAAAAGCTAGGTGCAGCTGCAATAGCTGCAATACCGTTTGGCCGTTGCAGCTGCGAGTGGTTGCAGTGCAGTAGCAACAGCAACGGCAACCACGGTTCGATGACCCCCCCCCCCCCACGTTGGATTGCAGCAGCGGCGACGCTCTCGCGCATCGATACGCCTCTATATTCTCTCGACAAAAGTAACGTTGAAACACGTCTGCCTTTCTCTCTCTCTCTCTCTCTCTCTCTTTCTCTTTCTTTGTTTTCACCACTTTCCTTTACCTTCCTCGTGTATCTATCATCCGCCTGGCTTCTCCTCTTCCACCCTCTCTTTCTCTTCTCCTCTCTTCTCGGTTTCTATCCGGAAAATTTTTCAGCAAGCTCGCAGCGCGTTAGGGGACTGCCGAGAAAAACCAGATAAAGGGAAAACGTAAAAGTTTCGCAACTCACGATAAACACGACGATCCGTTGGCTCGTGATTTCGTGCTGCTTCTTCGTGAAGACTAAGAAGTCTCGCGGAATCAGACGAGCTGATCAATGTTCGTTCCATTTTTAGCAAATTTTTAAGAAAGTTACGGGACAAGAATCTCAAATTTAGGTTTGAATATTTTCTATTTTATATTTGAAAGCAATTTCAGATCAAGAAGCTTTTGGGGGAGCCGATATTTTACCTTTTTTGTAGTACCGTCTTATTTAAAAAAAAGAAAGTTTGTATAATATAATAAAAAGTATTTCTACTGAGAACGTTTTATCAACGTTAATGTATCGAGATCATGTTCTGTTCCCAGATGATACACTTTTGCTCAGAAATTTAGAACATCCCCTTTTTCCTTTAAGAAGAAAGAAATTTTTTCGTTTATTCTTCGTAATTAAGTTCGATTTCTAAATGGGATACGATATTAATGTCATAAATAAAATATTTATATTTATTTTATTTCTTTCAGCATGCTCTAAGCTTCTGAAAATTTCTAAGATATCAAGTTAAATAAATAAATAAATCATTTCTACACGTTCAAATTTATACGTTCTATCCGTGAGACTATTCAATTTTTAGAAAATATTCTAAAGCATATTTTTTTATTTCATAATATTAGATGCTAGATGTTTTAAAATATTTACATAAAATAGAAAGGCCATAAGCGTCAACGTGTTAACTGTCTCAATTTCATAACTCGAAACTCGCTTCACGACTTGGACAAGGCAGCGAATTTACTGCGTGGTTCAGAGGCTGTTTTCACGAAGGAAAAATCGTGGTTTCGGAGCACGGAGAAAAAAAAAACCGAATCGCGGTGAAGGTTAATCGAAAATTAGTGTTCTCGCGCGATGCATCGCGTACGTTTCATAAAACAATTTATCCAGGGAACTGTAAAACGATTGCTGGTAAAAGCGGCGAAAAGATGCCCGGGAAATGTGATTTCGCAGCACGTGATATTCAATGATCGTTAACGAAATTCTTAATGAAGGGATGACACGAGTCGACAAGTCCTGCTCTCTCTCTCTCTCTCTCTCTCTCTCTTTCTCTCTTTTTTATCAAAGCTCGACGACGTGTAAAAAATGAGAGAAGAAAAAAAAAAATGTTTGACGAACGTTCGAAATACCATTACATTCTTTTTTTTTTTTCTTTTTTTACCTATCGACCCTTAAAAAAAAAACGTTCTCCCATCCGTTTTATCAGAAACGACTGAAACAAACTTTTGGAATTTCATTAAAGATAAATCGCGCCCTATCTTCTCCGCTGCATTTTTCCATTTTTCCAGGATTCATGGAGCGTGAAGAAAGGCGAGCGCAGACCGGCGACAGTTAAAAATCCTGTTACCGCCGTTGTTCCGCATTATTCCCGCGAGGACTTTCATTCCACTCCCGCGATTTGTCGCGCGGTTTACTGTCGCGTTCAACTTTGACGCGAAAGTAAGTTTCCACTTACTTTGTCGCTGTTATCTCGATATTAGCGTCTGGCGATTATTAGATAGCGGATCACTCGCAATTTCAGACTGCTAAACCTTTCAAACTTTCTAAAACGATTGATATCTTTCTTTATATCGAGGATTTATGTATTCACAAGTATCAATGAAAGACACTGTATTCATAAATATCAGTAAATATGTAATAGATTGAACTAAGGCAAATTTATTTCTGTCCCTCTGAACGTAAAACATGTATATATATTATCAAAAGAGAAAGAAGACTTTTCTGAGATATCGAAAAGAAAGGAAAAGAGAAAACAAAGACAATGAGGTGATCGAAGACCGAGCGGAGAACATGGAATTTTTAGATTGGAATATCGATTGCAAGAGAGAGCTGGTTCTTAGTCACGAGTGCTAGGACATGTATTGATACTTCATATAAATTACTTGACTGTTCTATCATATAAATATTTCACCGTTTTCTTATTTTCAACACCATTTGACTTTCAAATGGATTTCCAACTTTTGTTCAATAGTTGGCGTTTATATTAAAATTCTACCGGATTGGTAAACAAAGTTTCCTTTGCAACGTTGGAAACATAATGAGATTACGGAGGATCACATAAATTTTTGAACGCTGATGAAAATAGCATCAATGATGTAATTATTAATTGTGCGATTTAAGGGTTAATTATAAGTTTGTTATTTCAGTCAAGTTTGTTTGTATATGCGTTGTAAAGTAAAATACTGCACAAAGTATATATAAAATTTGTCAGAAATTTTTAACAAATTTTTCGATATACAATATGGCGTTAATACGTTATAATAGTATGTTGAATTAGACAGAGATTTGCAATGCTTTTAAAAATGTGACGTAGTTACACGTTATCATAAATTCACATTTTTTTGCCCCAACGTACGGCCGAAACAAACCGATGGAATAATTTCTCAAAACAAATGAATTCAGTATAAAAAATTTCAGTAACGAAAATTCTAAAGTCATACATTATGTTGCATTATTGAAAAATGAACATGCAACCATGTTAAATATCAAATATTTGAAACAGAAAAAGAAGGATCTTTTAAAAAAAAAAAACATACAAAATTAATTGAAAACGCGAAAATTTATACATCATTACCACATAGTGGAATAAAACGAATAAAGTTTGTACAATAACGATCATAACAATAACAATAAGAACAGTAGAATATATTTAGTGATCCTTTAATCCCAATGAACAAATATGAGAAACATCGTCACATTTTCCATGATAATAAATAAATTAGTACCCGTAAAATGTTAAAATCCTCGTTTCCCCTTGAATATTTGAAATTTAGTAGATGTATGTACACTTTCCTCACTGACTCTACATTCGTTACTATTAAACTAACATAACTACAGATACATTTATACATTCGCGGAAAATTTGAAACTACAAAAACACACGAGACGCGCACAATGCAGCACCTATGTCAGAATGCACACAGATCTAAAATACAGCACACCTGTTACAACATTTTACGAGTGAAACAAACTTCTACCTAGGATTTCCACCCTTGTAATTATTTCCATAAAAATATAAGCTTTGCGTAAAAATCCGCAGTCCGTTTATAACATTTCTACAATGCGAAAATGACAGTAAAAAGTCAGCGTGTCACATATCAGTCGTGAAACAAGAGTGTCTCGCAGAAAACGTAATTTGAATCGAGAAACTTAAAAAAAAATTAGCAGAACTGGAAGATGAAACAATTGCTCCGAGAGTTATCGTCAATGCTCTTCCAGTTTCTGTTTTTTTTTTTTTTTTTTCGTTTCACTGTCTGATTCTTAGAATATCAAGAAAGTTTGATATGATACGCGAATTAACGATCCAAGCATACACTCCCTTGCCACAGCCTCTCGAGCTCGCTATTCTCGAGGTCTTTTCTAAGCTCATCGCAAACTGGTTAATATCCGAGAGTAAACAAAATCGTCGATGCATGGGGTGGCTCGGTAGAACCAAAGTATTATGATGGAAGACTAGTCGGCCACTGGCAGCTCGGTGCTCGGCGCTTTTTAAAATTCATTAGCAAATTAACCTTATTCCTCCGGCGAGCGAAGGCTGATGGAAAATACGCAGTTACACGCCGCTCCTTGATATTTTAACATTTCTCTAGAAGAACTCCTGTTTACCAATATTATAACAATTTATTATGCAACTAGAAATTTATAACAACTGTATAACTGAGAAATTTATAATTTCTCACAACATTCTACGAAAGTGAAATCTAGACTCTAGAAATCCAGAATTTGGAATCTTGCTGAATAAGCAAACCAATTATTTTATTACTGACGACGATCATTTGTGGAATGCTTTTAGCACTAGACGCTCAAATTCCTCAACTTCCAAGACATCTATCTGGACGAAGATTTTTCGCGGGACGAAATTTTTTCGCCCCCAACGTCGCTTCGGCGTGTAGAACGTGCGACGTTGTTTCGCCGAAGGATTGCAACAGCACAAACAGCAATGCAATCTCCCCGAAAGTCACCACCACTCTGGAATCTGGTCGTGCTGTCGCATCTCGCTCCCCGTTTCTTTCTCCATCTTCTTGTTTGTCCCGCTTCACGGGCGAGTTCCTTTGACTCGTGTTTACCCGATCGAACGGCGATCGGCAACGCGCTGTAATTGCACGACCGCTTCTCGAAACAACGCACGTAATTATTTAACAGGCCAACAAGCTGCGGAGATCCCCGAGATCCATACTAATGCCCGTGATCCATATGCAGATTGTTGTTTGACGCAGCTTAGAATTTGAAATACATATGTAGATTGCGTTCCACGGCTGGAAGGATGCCGCGGACTCATTTAATATACTGTACGTTCCACGGCGACACCGTGGAATATTGACGAGATCACGGCGAAGATCTTTGTGAAAGAGGCCACGGCTCCTTTTCATCCGTGTAGAGCAGAGGTGGCTAACTGGCGGCCCTTGCCCTCCCCCCTCCATTTTCCTCGTCGCTAGCGCTATCCCCTCCACTGCATCGATCTCTCCGCTGCGTTGAGAGTGTCGCGACCACAATACTCGCGTTAGTGAGTGTACACGATAAATCGTTTTCTTTCGCTATAACTGCCAAAGTCGACACTAGGAACTAGCGTAAAATTTCCATTTCCAAGAACGTTGAAGACGTAAAAAAAAAAAAAAAAAAAAAAAAAAAAAAAAAAAATTTTAAAAAAAAAAAAAAAAAAAAAAAAAAAAAAAAAACAAGCAGAGAAACGATCATATTCCATTCCTTCCTACCTCGAAACTTCGATATATAGCGAGGAGCATGACTCACGATTGTCAAAAGTCGGGGCTCCACGCTGTTAAAATGGGACCAACTGTTGCCTGACCTTTTTAACCAAAGTTACATCAGTTTAAACGACGGACGATTTTTCATCCGTCACTGGCACGGTTATGCTCTTCACACTGTGCTCGATCAATTGTACTCCTTGTATGATTTTTCATAAATGTGAAGACATTCGAGAGACGATTTTTGTCCTGAACATATTTCGAGTCTTCTGTCGTTTCGATACTCGTCTCGAAGACAGGGCAATTAAAACGACTCCCGTTTGCGAATCTAAACGATTCAAACCAGAGGAAAAATACACTAGCTCGTAAAGATAACAAAACCGACAGAAACGAAAGGAACACTGTCGGACGACACCACCACGATTTAGTTGAAAGATACGGTCTTTTAACTGTTCGCTGAAATACATTCGACCGGAGAATGTTCAGATAATGATATCATCATTCCTGTCGTACGACGAAGAGCTTCTGAACAGCGCCTACGCGAACGTAAGTCTAATCGCCGACAAAGCTTGGACCATCGACAAGGAGGATCCGTTTCAAAAACTAAATCAATCACTGTCGATTCAGGTAAAAACCTTCCGTCAATTCCCTCGATTTTCAGTCACTCAGTCTATCCCCCCCCCTTTTTTTTTTTGTTTAAATCTAATCTCCAATTAACATCTCCAAACTCTCCACACTACACAACTACTGAATAGAACGCACACGCAATAACAGAGAGAGAGAGAGAGAGAAAGAGAGAGGCAGAGAGAGGGAGGGAGAGAGACACAGATACAGTTTAACAATAGCGATATGTCTTGTACGATTAGAATTACAAATTGACCGCAAAGTACAGAGAGAACGGTACCTATCGAACGAAAAGCGTACGCGACGTTATCCCTAACTCCCGTTTGGCCAGCTATGGCAATTACGAGTACAACGAGGACCGGGAGAGCGTGTACAAGTCGGACGACAATTCGTCGCCTGTCTCGCTGCCGAATTTCTGCTGGACGGAAGTTACCGAGCCGTGGATGCTGCCGGAGGTCGAGAAGCACTTCGCCTGGTTAACTTCCGGTGGAGTTGCGCGATCGAGTCGTGAACTGTTAGCTCTTACACTTACACGCACGTTGCCAAAATGATTCGCTATTTGATTCGAAATCATCCAATTTTCGTCGTTCTGTGCTAACGTGTTTTCGCGATTCGCGGGAAATTGATGTTGCAAAGATCGGTAACAAGGATACCGGAGCCGGACGATGTGTCGAAGGTCGGATGCGGTTTCAAGTCGCACTGGGAAGACTATGCGCGCAGTCTGAGACTGAGCCCGACGGGGAAGAAGGCGAGAACGAACCACCACGAGCCGAGCAAAGAGACAAACCTGATCGGTAATACGCCTGCGATCGAACTGACGTACCTAGGGCTGGGTAAAATGTCGCTTTTAACCCTTTGAATGTTAAATCTTTACCGACAGAATATCGTAACAGACAATGTAACAATCCGGGAAGCTTACAAACGTAATTGGTTTGCTTGCAAGTTCAAAGAGGATAACGATACACATTTGAACAAATATATGAAAAAGATAGATATACTCTGCACAATTTGAAGAAATGAATTCTGTTGCATGGTGAATTTAAAAACGAAAATAGTAAAATTAGTAAAAATAACGAAAATAGTAAAATTAGTAAAAATAACGAAAATAGTAAAATTAGTAAAAATAACGAAAATAGTAAAATTAGTAAAAATAACGAAAATAGTAAAATTAGTAAAAATAACGAAAATAGTAAAATTAGTAAAAATAACGAAAATAGTAAAATTAGTAAAAATAATTAATTAAAAACAAAGGTACCTTGATCACGGTAATTAGTAAAAATATTTGCACGAATTCCAAATGGTCTCAAACTATATGTATGTTTGTTAAAGATGCATTCTTAATTTATTACACGGTCAATATGAAACTTTTAAATTAAATAGTAAATAGTAAATAGTAAATATTTAATTAAATATTAAATAGTAAATAGTAAATATTTAATTAAATATTAAATAGTAAATATTTCATTTAATAGTAAATATTGCATTTTATTATCAAATTATGCGCACAACTACTTGAAACACTCCCCTGAAATCTTGCCCAGCTCTGTTAACGTACGATACGCCTGACTAACACGCCGTATTCTTCAGTTAGAAAATCTATTCGATTGTTGCTAATTAAAAAACGATGTCTGCCAAGAGTCAGATCCTAGCGAAAAGTCGGATGATCGTTACGAGTGTCAGCGTTACACCATCGAGAATTCAATGGAGATGCAGCTGCACGTACGCGTAACCAGCGACGCTGTCCGAAACTTGTGGAAAACGGGCGGTGGCAACGCTCGGCAACAATTCCTCCAGCAGCGGATGCGTTTGCAGTGCTGCAGCAAGCTGCAACAGCCTTGCGAGCAAAACAGCCAGAGCAAGGAACGTCAGCAACAGTTCTACTACGCGGTTCAGTATCGACCGGTGATACTTAGGACAGAGTATCAGGCAGCGAGAACGGAGGCCCACGGTGTGAGGAAACATCTGCCGCCGGCTCTCAGCCCGGAGGTGCCGGAATTCTTCCCGAAAGTGCCGGTAATGCGGTACAGCAGCAGCAAGGAGCAAAATGCCAATCGCGTGCAATATTTTCCATCGCTCAACGAGCGAAGTTACCAAAACGAGCTGTTCCCTTATAATAGAACTTATGAGAACAGCACCGGAGCAATATATCAGGTTAATTTGCCTCTTGTGCACCCATCTGTCGTTGATCGATGACATTTACTCGAACATCCATTCGAACGATGCAATCCATCCAAGGTGCAGGAATCAGTAATGTACTTGTGAATTTCAGAGTACGGGTGTACCTTTGCTGTCGGCTACCGATACGACCACCACGTTTATCAGACCTCCGCAACAATGGTACCAGAGAGTTCCACCGCCACCGGCGCAAATACAAATACCCGGCTCTTCGTCGAACCCGATCGGTTGCACTTCTGTCCAACCATTGCGAACTACTACCATTACCCATCACCCTCTGCAGGTGGCAAATAGACGATCGTATCGACCGAAATAGACATTATATCAACACTTTGCACTCCGGCTTAATTTTATTACTTATATCTCGTTATGCCAGAAACTCCATGGCAAATGTCATCGCGTTTCTTAACTTTGTCCTTCTGTCTTCGTTTATTCTATTCGATGTTCGTTCTTTCTTTCTTTCTTTCGTGGCGCTACTTTTCTCGCTGCTTCTTCAATATCGGTGGCTCTCGGTGTCACAAATAATTTCGCAAATAATCGACTGAATTGTCTCTATGCGTATCAATATCAAAAAGTCATCCTCGCCGTCAACAAAAATTCAAAATTCTTCTCCAATTTTCTAACGAAAAGGAAAAGCCATTTCAAACCGCGAAATCGTTGTCGCATCAGCAAAATGATAAATGGATCATTCTCCTCTGTCCTGTCTATCAGTGAATGATCAATCATAGCTGTCGTAGCGACGTCTATGAAGTGCAAAGGTTATTGAAATACAGGTTAATATTGATAAAATGGGAGGTTAAGATTGCAGATGATAAATAGTTACGTGGGATTAAATAAATCGTGTGGGGTGTAGAAAAAAATTACAGGTGAAAAAGAATTGATCGAAGAAATGTTGCAGGTGCAAGAGAAATTTTTACAATCGAACCCTATACCGATACCGGTGTATCAGCATCCCATAGAATTGTACCACGAAACGGGGCAAAAACGGAAGAACCAGGGTGTTGATTTCAAGAATTTGATACTGCTGACGAGGAACGCGATGAAGGCGCATCGTGGACAATCGAAAAGCTCGCAACAAAAGCCATCGTATCTCGAAGGGAAGAACCGCAGTACCAAAACGGAATCGGAAGTCCTTCAATGGCTGGACAAAAGTCGTCCACCGAAAACGAAGGAATTCAACGCTCTGGCGACGGAATTGAGGAATTACGATGGAAGAAGCGATAGAAAAACTTGCATTTCCAGGAGGGAAAAGGACGGTGGGAGAACCAGCGAACGAATGAAATCAGAGGTGCAAGGTTCGATCAGCGAAAGAGATAAAAATGACACGCGGAACAGAAGAAGACTATACAGAGACGTGTTGACCAATGCTTCGGCGAACCAAGCCAGCTTGGAGAACGTGTTTGAAAAAAGGTATGCAATTGCTATTTAATGTATTTCATTAAAAAAAAAAAAAAAAACACTCCATTGAAAACTCGCGAAATTGCATGTATTTCAAGCCATTCAGATACTTCATTGATCAACTCCATAAATTGAAAAACACAGAGAAATGATGGGACTACAAACACTGTGCTTCAAATTTTATCTTAGAATTTATCATTTATCATACTCGACTTTTATGCGGATTTTCATGCGTTCATAAGAGATTAAATTTCTGCTGCATAGAATGCGTATGATGTACAAAGATGTATAAAAATTTACAATTTTGTACATATAGAAAATATATACAAAAACATATATACATCTATCTTTTATAATATTTAATGGATAAAATGAGTTTCTAGTTGAACTCTGTTTAATTAGGTTCATAAAAAAACAAATCTGCATAAAAATCCAGTCTAATTATTACTTGTATCATTAGTCTCTTAAGATGAATGATCTTAAGTATGAAAGTAAGCCACTTGTTTCTTCAATTAGATATCAATCCTCACAGGTTGGATTAAAACTCACGAGCATGTTTATTATCCGTATCAATTGTCATATACTGGATTGTTAATCCTCTATCTGTGTAACGAGAAATTAAGAAATTAGTGAAAACCGGAGTTGATCAGTTGGGCTTCTGAAAGGCTCATATAATAATGATAATTACAGTAACAAGAGTGTGTTCAACACTAGATACGACGAATTAGAGCAACAGGCAATGGAACAGTACAGAACATCAGAGGAATCTCTGGCGCTTAAGTATCAAGTATAATACTTTATTCTTACATTTACTTACCTTAAGTTGCCGATTGGTCAATTCACGAAAATGATCAATCACAAGCTTTCTTTCAGCCGCGATGATGTCGAGGTCGAATTTGATCTCTGTTCGCGAAAAATTTCAAAAAAGAAATCGATCGATATCGTTGTAGGAACTCGAGCGGCAGGCGATGGAACAATACAAGTGTTGTGGAGGAAATGCGCAAGAGGAAGGGCCGGTTTCGCGTGCGCTGACGGATGATAAAAAAATCCGCGAAAGTTTCAAGCAAAATTTTAAAGAAGAAAACTGTTACGACGGACAGAAATGTCCTGGTTTCGGGAAATGTAGTCCCATGAATACGGAGAAGAAAGAAGGAGGTTTAATGATTTATCTTGCCAATTCTCCGCCAAGTTATATTTCAATCTAGACAAAACGATACAGTAGAATAAACAATATTATTTATCATTCGTAGATAATTTTCTAGAGAACCAAGATAATCTTGCACAAACAGAAAGTACTAATGAATCGGATGTCCCTGGTCGATGTTTGTCCGACAAAAATAGACGATCGAATACTCTGTCGAGAAACTTAACCACGTTGCCCGAGGAACTATCTCACGAATCGAAAAACACAGCTAAGGGTGCATCAGGTGATGAAATCAACAGAAGTGGTAAATACGCCCAATTCAATTTCCCTTCTAACGTGAAACGTAACCATTAAAAATTGCATTTCTAATATTGCGTTCTCTTTTTCAATATGACGAAAGAATTGCTTCAGTTTCAGTCCGGGCATCGTCGAAAAGGCGTCTGATACTGGTGTCACCCTTCGAGAAAGAATCAGAAGCCAAACTAACGAGGTCGACCGATCTCGAAGAATTTTACTGTATAACACAAGCGAATAAAAATATTTTCGGCTACTACAATAACTCAAAAGTCGGACAGATCGGTGGTGGAGACGAGAACATAACTATCATTCAATCTCCCAGAACAGAAGGTACAGGTCATTTTTGGGGATATGAAATGGAAATGGTATATAGTAGGCTTTTTTAATATTTGTTCTACTACTACTAGTCTGGCTCTCGGGCTTTTGGACTACGTGAAGATTGGAACATCTGGGGAGCCATATCCGAGGAAGGAATGAACATTATCGGGCTAGGTTCGTTAAAAAAACGCAACCACGTTACATGAATTAATGTATTTAAATATCATAATAAATGCTTCTAAAATACTGTATAAATATACACATATATGTGTATGTATATCTCAATAAAAAAATGACTTGATACTTTTCAGTTACTAAACACGCAAGCACAACACTCGTTTCACGCAACACACATACACGTGCTTTATTCTGTTCATCTCTTGTAACACAGACGAACAAGAGAGCAAGTATAACAGTAATTATTTAAATTATCGTTATTACTTTAGAAGACTGCATCCTTAATCGTTGAATCTGAATAATCTGTATGAAATAATCTGAATTATCGTCATAAAAACGATTGAAAAACAAGCTAATGACGAGCCTTATCAAATATGAATATATCAAGAAAATGAAATGAATTAGCCTCTTCAGTCTTTCATTAAATATTCTCTATGTATTTAACGATAGTTTTTAATGATCACATAATGAATATATGGATGATCATCTTAGAAAGATAGGAATACGTATCATAAAATTGTAAAAATTTCTCTAAATGAAAATACAAGTATTAAAACATTGGATCTTTATAAAGTATTTTCAAATGTAAACATTCAATATTCTTTCTTTTAATCTGAACATTCAATATTTTTTTTCATGTATCATTAGATACATCACATCCCATGTATAGATATATGTAAATATATGCATTGTAGCAATAAAAAATTTATGTACGTTTGTAAACTCTGTTGTGCTGAATATGCATACTTATTATTCTTTGTTAAGCTTTTAAATTTGCATCTAATACGTACTTCATGAAATAAAATTAATTTACATTGTAATTGAGATCATAACCCTCATTAGAAATTATAACAAGAAACGTACTTTAAAAAATGAGAAATATTGATCGATATTATCATAATATTATTATTTTAGGAACTAAAATTGTATAAACGCAAATTAATGATTAATAATAGTACTAACTTTAACATAAATGTATTCATATGAAACATCTATCTACCAATTATCAAGAAATTCAAAACCAGTTTTTGGTATAGTTCTTTCTTCCTCCTCCTGATTCAATTGGGAAGATTGAAAACTACTGTATGAACTGGGAGTCTCTAATAATGCTGTTGACTCGTTAATATCACTTGATTTTGTACGCGACATTACCACTAACGTATTTGTTTGACTTTTATCCGTATCAGAATCCCTTTCCCTGACTAAGCTTTCCATATCATCTGCCAAATTGTTTTGTAATTTTAATAAAGACGTTTTGTTCATCAATTTGGCAAATATACTTTCAGAATGATCACTATCAACACTACCTTTCAACAAGCTATTACACTGTTCATCTTCAAAAATATTACTTGAAAAACAATCAGATTGAAAGCGATTAACCGTATGAGATGAAGTATAGGGATCATTAAGAGAGTTTGAATTATTTCTATGTGATTTTGCTGGGCTTGAGAAATGTGATGATTCCCCAAATTGAGCTCTTATTAATTTTGATTTTGCATCCTCTGTTGAATCTATTACACTAAGATTCATTTGTGACTGAGTCATGAATGAAAATGGAGCTGAATGCTCATCACGCCATCGTAATGTCTACAATGTCATAGTAAAAAATCTTGCTTTAACTAGGAAGTTTTGAACTAATACTTTGAACCTGAACGCACATAGGTCTTATAAAATAGTAAAATATTTCAGACTCAAAGTATTATGCGCTTATGACAGTTAGACATTAATCGACATTTATATGAAAACAAATAGCATAAAATTCATGACTTAATATTACTATAAACTTAGATGGTACTTACAGAACCAGTTTCGTCAATAACATATTTCATTCCTGTCTGTATGCGTAGTTTCGGATACCATTCCGGTAATTCCTTAGTAATCTCAGGTTTTTTCAAAGTATATTTTAATGCAACTTCCGGCTGAATGATAGTTTCATTAATCGCTTGATTCCGTTCTGCTATGCTTAATGTATTCCACAGACCTTCATAAGCCTCCTTAGTCGCAGTTATATCTTCCCCTATCCTTTGTGCCAACGGATTTATACTATAGAAATATTGTTCAGCTCTCGAACTTAACGCAGCACTCATGCCGAAATTTTAATACTAACGTGAAGTAAATATCTGCAATAAGAAGGAATAAATTTCAGTCAAAAAAATAAATAATAACGTCATAGACGAATCCCATGATTGACGATCATGAGAAATCTGAATACAGGTTACGATACCATTCGAAAATTAATTATTAACAAATAGAAGACGACAGAATATTTAAAACACCAGAAATTCAATTACAATGATCATATACAATGTGAGCTACTAGGTTATTCACATATAAAAAAGTTCCCTGTACGCAGCTTACAATTAGGCACTAAATAACGCAACGCCCTCAGTTACACGACGCACGTATGAATACTAACCATACTAACACTACAGACAAAGTATATGAACATGTTCGAAAAAGTATTGGTTGTCCGGTCTATTCTAGTTAGTCAATGATAATAATTATAATTTGTAAATATAATGTATATACGATTATTCGTAATTGTATGTAACGTTAAAATAGAACACAAAATATAACTGAGAAAAGTAGATGATTTATACAAAATAATATGTATATCATAGACAATGAACGCTAACAAATATACGAAATATGAAATTATCTATTGAAAAGTATAGAAATAGATATAATTACACTTTGAAATAACCGTTGAAACAATCCTTGAAAATAACCGTTGAAAATATTCAAAACTGTACTAGAAAATTGCAACCGGAAATGACACCTAGTCATGTGATAGAGAGGAAATTTAAATAAAATTTACTTTTACGATTTTCTTGATATAACTATATATTAATTTATATAAATTTTCACAACAATAAAAAATATACATTAATAATTTTTTTGTTTTATGTAGTATTTATTGTATTTAAATATACATATAATAGTATAATAAAAAGGTTTATATAATTAGTTTCAAATAGTATTAATTAGGCCGGATCTTGACATTTGATTAAAATAATTATTATTATTACGTTAAACATTAATTAAATATATTACTTGGATGAACTTGTAAAATCTCGTATTAAATATTGCAAGAAATATCTTGCAATATTTAAATTTATCAAGAATAAACATCTCAACGACTATAGTAGTACATTTAGTAATTGCCGGTTTATTCAAACTTGTATTTGTTCGTAAATAAAAAGGCACAAGTAAAAATTTTGACTATTAATTGAAAATAAAATGGAAGGAAATGTGCATTAAATTATTCGTATTAGCATTTATTTTATAAAAGATTTATTTTTCAAAATTATAATAGAACAATTCCGTATCCTTCATTAACTCTAAACCATCAACTTTCCAAAAGACAATCAAAGAATTAAATGAACTTGAAAATTTCATAAGAAGCATTTCGAGAATGAAATTTGTTGAAATTTACGTCCTTTATTGTAAACTTTATTGTAAGAACAATATAATGCCCCATTATTAGCTAATTAGATTTCATTAAAATTATCATATACTTCACTTCTTTTTATTATCATACAAATATATACAATTATTATTATTTTAAATCAGTTCTTGCGCGTTTCAGTGATCGTTTTCATTTTCTATCATTTAAACGGAACGGATGACCTCGCTTATATTTTAAAAATATACATAGTACACGAAAAAAAAAGAATGATAATTATTTACATACAGCAATGTTTCAATAGGAATGATAATAAATAAAGATCGCTCGCGATTTCATAAGAATAAATGTTCGCTGTTTAAGTCATTAAGTCATTTACATAATTATTAGTAGTTCTTTTTATAGAGTTTCAAGTACAAACAAGCGTATGCTTTGACTGTAATCGTTTTTTTTTTTTTACAAAATATATTTACAATCGTTATTACATCTGTAATCTGTACGAATATCATCTGCTCGAACGAAATCTCGTTTCACAAAAAAATAATTAAATATTAACTTTATATGATTTATAATTTATAAATCTTTCATTCAAAAACACGGACGTGATTTAACAACATTGTATGATACAGTTACTTACTGCCTTAAGAATCGATTAAAATATCCAGGATAGTCCTTTAGGTGAACAAATCTAATAATTAGGTACCTTGTAATTTTCACAATGTATATGTTACTGTTCCCGACATCAGATAGTATATCACATATCGCAAGTGATACGAGGTATATCACATAACGATAGTTTCTCTCTAATATTCGTTCAAACGAACGAAAAATACTTTTTCTTCAATAAAACCAATGTGATTTTGTTTTTATTAAGTTAAAAGTTTAACGATGCTGTCCTTTCCTTTAATTTCATGCAGGGTCCTAATAACTTTATATCGTTGATGAGTGGCACTACTTGGACTCATTTTTTATGAACCATGTAGAATGTATCTTCAAAAAATTACTTTTGAAGGATAAATTTAATGAATTTTTAATCATGCCTTTATTAGAAAAAAAAAAAAATATATATATATATGCTAATAGTGGCGAATGATTTGCGCGCAACTTCCCGCGACTTTCTCATAATATGCTATATTGACGTACATATACACTATCTTTGCACAATGATTGTGTACTTCAAATCTTGTTTTATATTATTCTAAATTAACACGAACAATTCTTCGGCTCTCATTATAAATACTGTATTGCTTTAGATTGCATAAACTAAGTTATGAGAACAAAACAGAAAATGTAGAAACATCCGAAATAGTAAAGAATAAAGCATAAACTAGTAGAAAAACTTAAAAAATGTAAAATTCATTATATAAAATCATCAAATAGATCGAGTTTGTCATCTAATTTGTGTAGAAAATGAAGAAAATAAAAGCAAGTTCTTACGATAAATAGGCGATGTAGTAATACTCGTATTAAGCAACTCTTGATGAAAATGATAAAATAATTAAAAATATTGTATAAGACATAGGGCAAACGTAAAATTGTCCACAGTTACCTGTTTGACAAATGTTTAAGAGGACCCAGACTTAGAATAGATGTGGCACCAAGTGCACCTAAATTACAAGTATTAGGATTTCGTGCACCATCTATTGTAATTATAGGTAATCCAAAATACCCGCCCGTTTGAGCACTAAGCTGTGACAGAGGGATGTAGCTCTGTATACCAAGATTCGATAAACGATTCAACACATGGGGAGATTTCAAATCTACAACCGGTAATGCTAATTCTGCACCACCATTTTGTGCTACAGTATCAACTTCTTTATGATACACTTGTTTGTGCGTTGTTAGAGCTTGAGCTGTTGGATATTGGGCAGGGCAAAGATTACACCTGGTATAAAACATTATTATATATATACGTATGTATGTATGTATATTAGTATTTTAATTGTTACCTAAAAAGATTTCTATTACACCTTACTGTTTAAAAGATATACTTACTTATGAAGTAATTTACTTGGTGCACGATGAGTAGCCATGTGTTGAGTCAACATTTCCTGATTTTGGAAATTTTTATCACACACCTGACAAGTTAATAATGCTCTGTAACAATGAAAGATATTTTATTATCAATAAATATACATAGAAATTTTTCTTTAATTTATCTTACCGTGGAGGTCTTCCACGTCTGACTACTGGCATTTGCGGCGGAGTATCTTGTGTTAAATCTACAGTGGGAGGTCTCGGAGGTCTTTCCACTTCGTTCACAGCTGTTTTGTTTTGTTTATTGTGAGGAACAGCAAACTGACCCTGTTCTTGTTGCTTTTTTTGTGAACTAGCTGGTATGATAGAAATAGCAGAATTCAGAGTGAGCGCTGTAACATTTAAAGGCTGCTGTGAAGACGTAGTCCTCTGTTGCTGGGGAGGTATCTGCTGTTTGTTTTGTTCACTTGATTTATTTTTATTTGCTGCTGGAGTAACAGTAATACCTCTGGCTGCCAGAACATTAGCCACAGCCTTTGCATCAGACTTCTTGCCCCCAGCACCTGATGTATTCTGCACTTGAGCTGGAGCGGAACCTTTAGATTAGTAAAAGAGGGTTTTTAATTTCACAGTGCACCTCTTCCACGAATAGTTAAGTTTTTTTTGCAAAATATATAAGCAAATAAATATAAAAACGAATTTATAAAAATAAACTTAAAATAATGTATAAAAATACAAAAACTTATTCTCAGTGCAAAACTAATCTTAGAAGAGGTATTTAAAATCAAATCATATATATTAAAGTTTACATTAAGAGAGAAATATGTACACAGTCAAATGTTAAAAGTACCTGGTTGTCTAACACTAAGAGTTATGGAATCCGTAAGATGTATAGTAGAATCATTTCTGCTTGTCTGTTGAGTAGTAGCACCTTGAACATTTTGAATAACAGGTAGACCATCGTTTCGTTTTTGCTGTGCAATAACATGACAATCTGCATCTTCATTTCTATCTGGCAATAAAACATCCATTCGTCGTTGTTTTATTGCAGAATTGTTCTGTTGTACCTGCATTGATTGTTGCATAGGACGTTTCATACGTTGCCGCGGAGTCGATCCCGTTTGTGGAATCCGCGGTGCCCTACAATTCACACATGCAAATTAAACTGCTTAATAATTTATTTAAAAAAAGAAAGATCCATCATTTTTCATTTCTTATTTCCTGTTTTGTTTAGTTTCATTGGAAAAAAATTACACACTTTAACGATTATTTCATCAATAGTACTTGCCGACTACTTTGTGCAAGAGTAGGATACCTTCCACGTGAAATTTGTTGAGGCAATTGAGGATGCATTTGCGGCGGTGCAGTCATTTGCGGATATGGACCCGGTCCATACTGCGGATATAGGTGTGCTACATGAGGAGGATAATGCATGCCCTGTGGACCGGGAACTCTATACAACGGTGGTCTTCCCGGTGGTTGTACAAAGTAATTTGGACCAGGGATCATTGTATTAGCACCTGGTGGAAGACTTGGAGGCATTTGCGTTTGCGGAAGTGGCATACGTTGTACTTGTTGAGCTAACTGTTGAACAGGTGCGGGTAGTTGTTCAAAATTAACAGGCGGTATTATTTGCTGTCCAGCACTAGCTACTGCATTATATGTGGGCGAGTTTGTTTGATGCGGTGAAGTTAAAGGAGAATTCCTATTTAACTGTTGCGAGTTTGGTGTATTTGGAGATTCCAACGATACTGCATGAGGTGAATGTGTATTTAATTGCGGAGATGTTTGGCTCAAATGAGGTGAATTTTGGTTCAAATGAGGCGAACTCGTATTTAAATGAGGAGACAGTTGGCTCACGCTCGGAGAAAGGGGCGTTCCATGCATTTGAGCTTTATGCATAGAAACTTCCAATGGTGAATGAAAAATAAGATTTATACATTCCGGAATATTGCACTGATAGTGACCGGCTTTGCTCCGATGCTCATCTAAATGAGCAATATCCTTAAATTTTTCATTGCAAACACGACAAGTACTAACAGTCTCGGCTAACTTTTCAAGCGAAACATATTCGGTTTCCGATGGTAAATTATTTGATAATGTTTCATTTTGATTATGTCTTTGGTGTTCAATCAAATTTTGTAAAAGAGATCCAGCATTCTCAATATTATTATCACCCCCATGATCAGGCTGCTCTTCATTTTCTTTAGAATTGTCATTGTTCTTATTTGATAAATTAGTAGACAATTGATTCCAATTAAAACCAGTCGGGCTTTCTGTTGGCTCCTCATCAGGTTTATCTTCATCGTCACACACTGTTGTACAGTCTGCTGTATGATTTGAGAATGTAGAAGACTTTGAAATAATATTAATAGCTGGATTCTCTTCTAAATCATGTATCATGTTGGATTCATGACCTCTATCATCATCCTCTTCAATGCCTGAATTATCAATTAATTGATTCATAGATCTAGATCTGAAATGTTGGATAAAGAGCTGTAATAAAAATAAATCTCATTCTAGGATTTCTTTCAAATACACAATAATACCCAGACTGTTCGCCAAGTTTCTTCAAATTTTCAATTGTTTCTCTGCATGTTGCCTCCAACGCATCTGACTCTTCATGATCTTCTGTCTCAGAGAGTCTTTTATCCGAATTGTCATACTGGTCTGTACTTTGTAGGTCATCGTTTTGATCTTCCTTTTCGGATGGATTTGCCATATCACTTCCTACACCTGAATCAGCTTCATTGACATCTATGGATGGCCTGTCATTTTCTTCCAATGGATTATGATCATCGGTATTGAATTTAATGCTTTCATATTCATCCTGTTAATAAATACTTTCTATAAAATTATAATAATCAACATCTTTTTATGCTCATTGCTATGACATACCTGTTGCTCTACCATCACGTTTTCAAATGACTGATTAATCGAACTTTCTGTATCTTTCTCATGTCTTTGATCATTCTCCTTTGCTCCAGCCACGTCTCTTTGACCGTGGTTTTCCGTCCCCAGATTAATGTTGCTTTTCACAACAGTGAAGTCTTCAGACTCTGACGACTTTTTAAGCTTGAGTTTCAGGGAATCAGTGAAACTCTGTTTTTTCAATGTCAGCTTCAATGATCCCTTCTTTTCAGGGTCTAGCCAATATCTGTTACTGTGCTTCTTCTTGATACCTTTCAGATTTGTAACTCTTTTCAAAACTATACGTGGCCTTCCTAAATGCGTATGAATGTGAGTGCGTAATTGCTTTTTTGTTACAAACTGTTTCTTACACACTTCACAACTGAATAGTGAAAATCGTAAGGAAAATATTGAATTCTGATCGTCTATATGTTTATCTGAAAGAAAAATAATAATAATTAGAATATCTATCCAAGCAATAATCCGCCAATTACATTTTGCCAATCGCATTAATTTACGAAAAATGTTTCACTCAAATGCAAATAACTGAAAAACGACTGAATGTGTCTGACACTACCTTCTCAATTAATACTCTGAGAGAAACAAGAGCTGAATAATTTGCCGCGCTTTCGCATCTACTGTCAAATCCATTAAACCGACGTAATTCCCCGTCTGAGAACTACGCATCAGTTGTGTCCAAACACGCATTTCTTACTTCACTCGCGATCATCAACGCGCGTCCCCCGTGTTACAACGGATGTAAACAATCGATGCCGATGTATATGCAGCAACAGCAAGTGTTCACACAAAATGGTTGCAGCAGCAAACCATCTAGCGCAAGCAAGATAATTGCCTCTGCTTTTGCCGAGAATTGAAAACGGGATTCTCCAATCGATACTGGCTAAAGAACGAATATCATTGGTTCACTTCGTATTAGCGCACTGTTCCCGCCGCGATATATTTCGCAAACGCGTTTCATCCGACATCATTGCGAACGTGCATAAATTGCCTCGCTGCCTGATTTTAAATAATCAGATTTAATTTAAGAAAATATTATTTGTCAAAATAATTTGGTGTAACATGGTTAATCAATTGAACAAACGGACTGAGAAGGTAATAGAAATAAACTTTACGACTGAATCGAATCTTATTGTTGTAACTAGCCAGAAAAACAATGTTAATCTACAATTCATTGAGATTAAATAAAGACATAAATATATCGAGTGAAACATATAACGAAATCTTGAGATTTTCCATGTTGTCCAGTACTAACAGTATCCTAACCTTCTTTCAAAAGTTCTGAATAAAAATTTTCTGTAACACATTCCTTTGACAATTTGTACAATGTACACCTTCAAGAGTGTGTATAGAAAGCAATCAATTTATTTAACTAAGCTTGTTTTGATCATGATAAAATCTGGATGGAAAAATTTATGGGAATAGGTTTTGTAAAGATAACCATAGATCAGCAACAAAGTACTAAAGAAATATTATCTTTTATAGCAGTGAAATTTCAATTGAAATGTTTTACTATATGCAAAAAAAGAAGCATATGCAATCAAACAAGGATAAAACGTTAAATATAAAAAAAAAGTAATATGCACAAATTAGATTAAACTTTAATGCTATTTGTTGCACATGTTACATTGTTCGACCAATATATAAATGTTTCATCTACATTCAATTATTTTGGAAAAAAGACATACCAAATTTTTGCAAATCATCCACTGCATCTTTACAAATTTTGCTTTCATCTGAAAATCTAAATTCCTCAAAGTCTTGATCCAATGAATTGTTCATTTCCACTCTGTAAATCAGTGAGTTATTATTTTTGTTATTATATAATTGCTATTAAAATTAATCAATAGTAACATTAACATTGCCATAGTTAGATTGTTATTGTATGTCATACTTACAGGCATTGTTATAAACAATATAAATTATCATGAAGCCATCAACAAAGATCAATCTTAACTTAGGCAAGTGTTCATTGGCACTTAGATATGCCAGTAATACTCGTCAGTCAACAAAATGCACATTTTATAATTCGTAGTTATAAACAGTTCACAGGTTTCGCACGAAATATCTTTCAGTCACTGAGAAAGTTAGCCATAAAAATGATTCGTTGCAGGATTTACTGTTCTATTTATATTTATCGATAATATTTATTAATGTTTACAATCGTAGTGGAAATAGTAAACGGCTATAAGGTCAATCTAAACACAAGACAAACTTTCATACGTACATCAAACAAGTATCCTGTTAACTATACAAGTGAAAACATTACTTTCCGTTTAATCGATCGTGAGTTATCCGGTGTCGATATCGTATGTATCATTCAAAAAAAAAAAAAATAAAGAAACGAAATCACAATTTATTTAGCATACGTATATAAAATTAAGTGGACAAAAAAAAACAGTGTAGTTTAGACAATGTAGTCCCATGTTTAAACAATGAAATTTTTATCCGATTTAGTTACATATAGTTAAATATGGTTGTTAATATTATGACATGATCACTGCGCTGTTTATGGCACATTTGTAGTAGCGACATTCAACGACGGTAAAATCGGCGCGTTAACTACGATGCCTACCGTATCCAATCTGAACTTATTATTAGTACGTGTTATATCGAGCCGCCAATATGGCGGCGACGCGATGAAACCCGCGCGTCCGTCAGAATAATCAACTCAATGTGAATTCGTGCCGAACTGTTGAAGCGCGTTCAGCGACGGGTTCAGAGTGTTCAGATGCGTTGTTTTGTAAGAACACGCGCGCGCGCGCGCGCGCGTGGGGTAGCGTGCGCCGAGCGTTTCCCTCTCCTAGTCTCTCGTTTCCTCTCCTCTCCTCTCCTCTTTTCACTTCTCTTCTCGACGTTTCATATCTTTGTGTATCTAACTTCTCCTCCACTGCACACCATCCACCACCTTCATCCACTTCCTCTCTCTCTCTCTCTCTCTCTCTTCCTTCTCTCCTCCCCCTTCTCTTTCACCTTTCTTCTCTTTTTTTTTGCGATTTTGCTTGCCTTCGCTGTTGCACCTTCTTTTGTCGAGACTTGTAATAAAAAGGGTTCACGTTCGTTTCAGATTTCTAGCTTATTTTGGGATGTATGAAATTAATCGCTACGTCGCAACATCTGCATACTCTTCAAATGAAACCCAATGGTAACAAGAGAGACGAACGAGATATATGTTGGAACTAAAAATGGTGGGGAGCAGCGAAGAAGGAGCCCGAATTGAAATTAAGTCAACCTAACGTGCACTCAAGTATGAGTAGGGAACCAATCCGCTCATAACAAGTACTGTCGACGCAGGCGCAATTCGAACATTACTATGAAACTCTTCTTCTCTTGTTTTCTATCCTTCCCTGCTTTTCCTTGCAACTAACGGGCCATCTTTTTCCTTTACTTTCCCATAAACTGATCCTCTTATTTTCTCTTTTTTTTATTATTACTCTTTCTAACTTCTCTCTCTCTCTCTCTCTCTCTCCTCTCTCCCTCTCTCTCTTTGTTTCCCTCTAGTTTCTTTGTTGTTCCTTCAATGTTCCACTCTCTCTCCCTTAATCCATACAATTCTCCAACAAATTCTCGTCAACGCTAACTATCCAATTGCCACTCATCAACCTTTGTATACCTAAATTCTACGGTGCAGCTGACAGTCTTCATCCATAGTCTCTGGTTGATTTCATCGATTTTACTAAAAAATATGGCATCCATTAATGTTGTCACTACAATTTTTTTTTATATTAGAATTTATAAACAATTTATATTTATCAAAGCAAAAAATATCTACTTGCATTTATTTATATACATGTATCTTATTACTTTAAATTACTTTAAACATTATAGTTGCAGTGTGCTACAAAAATTTGTTGTTTCCAAACATTTTTTATTTGTATTATTTATTCTGTACATGCTGCATATTACTATCCTATATATATTGTATGTCTTAAAGTTTCAGATTTATCTTTCTTGGTCAAGTGGAAAATCAAGGTTTAATGTTGATGCGATGGTAGAGAAATGTTTTTATTTGTAGTTTTTCTATGGAAAAGCGTGCACTAAAAAGAATACCTGAAATAACCGGTTTTACCGGGAAAATACATGTGAACAAGGCGTGGCATAAATGGTTGGAGGCCAACAGGAATGAATATAGTAGGGGAACTTAACGGAACATGTCGAAAACGACCGAGTCTGGCATCTATTGATCGTAACAGGTTCTGTACAGTTTGCTACAGATACTTAAATAACTTGAGCTTAAAATTTTATATTTAGTTCGAATTGGAATTCTATATTAATCTATTATGCTCGTTGTAATGATCACAACTTTATAGATTTTTATATTTATGTAATATTCTTTTCGTATCAATTTTTTTATAACATATTTATGGCTACATTGAACAATTTGACGTTGAAATAATCAAGAAGTACAATTCATGATTTCGTTGCATATTACGTATTTTTTTAATACGCGTTTTATCTTTGAACGTAACAAATAATTATTGTTACATCAGAGGTTCACTCTCAACTATTTTTGTCGCTTTATTTACGACGAATAAAACTCAAGCAAGCGGTTGAATGGTTAAATATAAGTTGACATTCTCATTCCGTGGAATACTTGACTATTGATTTCATCCCTACCATGGACTCCTCGTCCTTTGGTTGGCAACTCTTAATACATAGTATGCGTCGTAGTCATGATAGTATGCGCAGAAAGGTAATCGTCTTTATGGAGAAGACGAGTTCACCACGATATAGTAGCGGTCTAACTTGATGCAAGGAGAAAGGGGATACTTGGATACGTACGTTGACCCAACATCCCTGACTACTCCTCCCTCTCCAACAAATCTGGTTTCATTGCGAGTTGCGCACAACTTTCTAAGCTCGAACTTCGAACCTTCTCTGACAAGGTTTGTTCAAGTTATGCTCATTGCATGCGTGGTAGGGATAGAAAAAGATAAAGATTTCAGTGAAGGTTCTGCTTAATAGGACTTCAACTAGTTCAAGGTTACTTTCAGAAAAAATTGTAACTTTGACGTAATAGAACACTTTTCTATGTTATTTAGCTATTATACAAATAATTTTAAATGCTTTGCAGCAGCATAACAGTAGTCTATATTTTTTCTGTGTCGTTAGGACACGTTTTGTAAATAAACAAAGAATATAAACAAATATGATTAATTCAACAACACGGAAAATGTAAAACTGTACTTGTAGAGTCTAAAACAGAGAATAAAATAAAGTGTATTTGACTATTTGATGAATAAACATATAAATAAAACTTTTTGTTCTAAAACTTCATTATTGTTGATTGTATTGATATTACTCTAACATTTTGAAATTGAACATGCAGGTAGAAGAAACTTGGCAACAGAGGGGATACCTCCAACAATTCTGCGGTTCCGCCATGTACATTTTACAAGAACTGTTTTATTTGTAGACTCCATTAACACAAAATTATTTTTCCCCCGTTTTATTCTTAATCGTTTGAATTTATATTATACAACATTTTCACAGTATTAATTGTCCTGAATAAAACTCAAAAACAATATTTCTGAGTATGTACATAAATTTTACCCTTTTAATATTATTGCATTTTGATAAAATTTATACTTGTAGGTAAATTAATCTAATGTACCATATACTAAAAACATAATAACATTTGTAAATCTCTTTTTAACTGAAACATTTGTCACATTTAATATCACTATAATATCAATTACCAAAGTTTCATTTTGATGATAATAATAATAATAAACTGCATGGTCTCTTCTTCCTATTCAATTATATTCGTTAAAATTAAGTTGTTAATTTATTAAGTAATATTTTATTAAATATCTAATAAAGTATTATTTTTATAAAGTATTATTTCATTAATCTATTTACTAATTTTTCTTATATAGATAATTTGCAATTTGACCTCGTTTGTTGACCTCGGTTGCTAGGCACCAGTCATATTGTCAAAGGGAGGGAGTTAAGCTTTAGCGATGTTGTCAAATTGTTTCATGTCGAAAATATATAATCAAAATCTAGTGGACTAAATTTTTATGTCTATATTAAAACTCGCAAATTCATAAATGTAATAAAAGCTTTTTGTCAATTTTTATTGTACAATTATGCTTTAATTTTGATATAATATTGAATCTATATTATATCAAAATAGATAACGATTCTGTCTCTTAGTAGAGATCCAAAATTTACAAATGTAAATTATATCTTTATACTTTGAAAACACACGATGTTAATAGAATATTATATGTTAATATTCAGTACATAAAATATTATTTTATATTTCATAAAATATATATTTCAGACAAATTTACATCATCATTTGCAGTTTAAAATGTATTTTTTAATAGCTATCATATAAAAAGTAATTATTATTTCTAATTAAGTATTACATATGCGAATTGCCATCATCAGTGTTACCAACTAAAAGAAAAATTGCGCAGTGTTATATTTTTCATAGAACATGAAATAATGTATTTTAATCAAAACATAAGTTAATCATACTTTTGGATTAACTAAATATCATAAACAACGTATTAAGTAATAAACTCTCTTGTTAAATATATAATTCGGCTAATTTTATATTCATTATATTTAATATTAATATTTAGAATTACAATTTCAAATATTACCACTGACAATTGACAATTGTTCTTTAAGGTTTTTACTTCTATACCCAATACTACAGGAATAAAAACAAATAAACTATTATTGTGTACAAAATAGAGGTTATTTTAATGCCATAACAATATTTATAATAATTTTCCACTATAAATATTGTGAAATATATATAATATAATGTATACATAATCTTACTGATATTTCAAAGCTAAGAAGTGATTATTTTTACATAAACTGAGATCAGATTGCTACAAACAATTTTTATCATTGATAATAAATGTGCCAACAAAAAATATATTTCATATGATCATGATATACTTAATAATACATTATGGATGTAGAAAATAAATTAAATCTTATTAGTAATTTATTCAATAATATTAATTAATTTAAAAGTAAAATAAAATAATTTATAATCATGTTTAATACTTTACGTAACAAGTTTCAAACAGTCCAAGAAGGGATATCAGCTAGGTAGAAGTTCTAATTTTCTAATATAATGCAATAATAAAAAGTGAAATTGAAAACAATTTAATTTATATTATATATGCCTTGCATCAATTTCATTATTTTTTAGTATTAGAGGACTGACTGTTGAAAATCCAAAACAAAAAAAGACTGGCAACATCAGAAATGTTAATTACAATGCAGGAGCTGATATTTTACATAGATTTCAGTTGCAATGGAATGAACTTCATGAACTTGCAGAAGAAAATGCAGGCAAAGCTCAAGAAGCTGATAAACTCATTGGAACTATTTATGAAAAACTTGAACAAGAATGGAAGAACATTACATGTTTAAATAATACTTTAGCATACATTCCAAAAATCAACAATGCAATACAAGATCTTATGGATCAAATAGGTACTATTGTTTTAAATATATTTTTAATAGAAACATAAGCATCAAAAACAAATTTTAAATGTTTTGTGTTACTAAAGGAACACTACAAGAAATGTTTGAGGAGGTAGAAGGTGCAATATATCGATTGGAAGATTTAAATGAGATGTTAGATTTGCAAAATAGACAATTGGATCACAGATTTCAATTGGCCTTATATAAAGAGAAAAAACTTGCAGAACTAAATGTTATTAAAGGTACAGTATTGTACAGTATTGTACAATATTTGAAATGTACTAATTACAGTAACACAAAAATGTGAATTTTAGCAAAATTGGCTGATGAGCATACTGAAAGGGTATCAAAATATGAATTTAAACAACAGAAAATGATGAAAGAAAGACGAGAAACATTTGATGAAGTTTTTAAAGAAGAACTTAGAGAATACAAAGCAACAGGATCTATATTAAGTATGTCTTAATATATTTTAAGAGTACCAGATTAACTTAATTTTAAAGTTAATGTAATAAAGATCATTTTTATTTTAGAATTACCAGTATCACAACAAGGACCTTCATTGGATGAGATAGTTTTGGATGTAGATTCAACAATGTTTAATGAATTTCTAAAAAATTAACAATGAACCTTTATTTTTATTATTTTATTAAAGAAATAATTTTGTTAAAACTATTTTACGTCCTTTAAAATATAAAAACATGTAATAAATAATTATGTAAAATTATCTGTATAAATATAAATCTGTATAAATTATGTAAGAATTAGACAATACTTTAAAAATAAGGTTTTATATGTTTATTTGAACAACATAAAATATAAAATATTAAGTGCATTAATATTTGTTACCTCATTTAATTGAAAATTCTATATTTATAAATTTATTTTTCTTTTCAACATCGTGTCGTATCAAATATAGTTTTCTGTATTAGTTTGAACATGCGGACACGTTCCTAACCTCCTATATGAACGTTTAGTATTTTGGAAAACAATAGAAATCAAAAGCTTTGTAACTCTGCGTGGTCTTGTATTTATTCTCGCTTATACTGTTTTTAACACAGGTATAAATTATGTAATTAATATAGTATAGTATAAAATACTATATAGTATAGTATAAAAATTATAAATTGAATAAGTTTTATTACGTTTTTAAGTTATGTGATTTGTAGAAATAAATGTACATGTTTCAGGTTTATATATTTTAAAAACTGCTGATACAATTAATAATAAAAGATGATTCCAAAGTATGCCAAACGAAGTTATATTTTAGATAAACTTCATAGAGGATGTGTAATGGTATTAATGGGTCTTACAGTAGCTGCTGGAGCAGGTTTGGTATATAAAGGATATATTTATTTTAAATATGTTCGACCAGCGTTACGAGAAATGGAAGTGAAAAATAACGAAGAATTGTTAAAAGAAGGAAAATATACAGCAGCTGTTAGTTAAAATAAAAGTACATGTTAACAAATCAATAAAATAATAATTGAAGTAAAATGTTTAGAATTATTTTCAATGTATTTATTTTACATGTTTAAATAAAATTATTATATTCAATTAATTTAAATTGTAGATGATGAATAAAGTATTTGTTAAATTATGAGAGAAAAAAGTATATTTATATGCGTGTAACATAAAATTCATATTTTAGAGCTTCAATTTATTATAAGTTTCATCAAAAATTTTGTCGTACAATGCCATTTAAATCAATATAAAAAAGGATATATCATGAGCTTATACCCTGAATAATTTTCAATTAACAAATGTGTTTTATATTTTACTTTTGCAATTACTGTATCTTTATCCGATTACTTGTTATATATAAACTTTTTAATGTTTTGTTTCTATCATTGTTAATAAAAATTAAAAATTAAGTATAGATTGTGGTATGAAAGTACTGCATTCTTTATAAATGCCATTATTTTCCTTTGTTAAAATATTAATTTTGAGATAAGTTTTTTTTTTATAATAATTACCAATCTCATTATTAAATAAAAAACTGATAAATTTACTTAATAAACATTTACAAAATAACTATTATATTTACATTGTTGGCAAATATTGAATAATGATATAATACATTCATACTCATTTCATTTTGTTGAGTATGTTTCACATTTATAGGATATTATACAATACATCTTGTTCGTCAATCAACATCACATTTTTTATACATCATCGAGGTATATTTTTTTTGTATATGTATAATGTATTGTTATTAAATTAAAAACTAGTTCTAAATGGAAGGATAGCTATTGTTAACTGAAATGTTTTTTATGTTATAAAATTTGTATATTAAATAAACATCTTATGTTTAATATTTACACGTATTTAAATTGAGTGCACATGATACATTTACAAAGTAGTACATAGTTGAGGGTGTTATCGTATTGTTTCAAGTATCTTGTACCTAAATTTGAAATTATCATGCACAAAAATTATTATTTATCATAAAGCCTAACCATTTAAAAAATGCCGAATATTTTTCGTGATTATCGTAAGTCTTACAGAAGGCAATAGTTTTTATACAGTTTCCAAAAGGAATTTTCGAGTACAAAATACATCGCATATATGTACGCCGGATATTTTATATACATAATTTTTTTTATGTAATAGACATAATTTGTACTCAGTTTCTCGATCATACTAGATAAACGGCAATATTTTAGAAAAATTTTTAAAAGCAGGTATACGTTCAAAGAAAAGTTAGAAAAATTGGATTCTATTTACATTTGTAAAAATCAATCAGTGCAAGACTTACCACTTAAAATATATTCTTATATATATTCATCAATATAGTACACTAAACTTAAAAAATTAAACACATACTTTATTCGCAATATCATATTAAAATATAGCCATTTTATACAATAGCACGAAACTTAGTCTTAGATAGACCGATCTTTAAATCATAAGAGTAGAACTTGAAGTAGTAGATTAATAATTGAACTTCTTATTCCGTTTAAAAAAAAAGAAAAAAATATTTTTATCAAACGAAAAAGTATCTTATGTTTCTCTTAAATATCTTATCTCTATAGTCCGATCAAATACTTGCACAAACCCTGTAGCCCATAGGCTGCAATTTGAAATTCTGCGAGTAAAAATCTTAAATAATAAACATTTATGAACTATTAGATGTAGGATTAGAGTTTGATGACTCCACGCGCATTGAATCGATTCTGGCTACGATTTTCAATGCAGGACCCAATTTAATGCTCATGGCTGACATAAGATGATCTTCTTTGAGTAACATTAATGCTTGACCATCTATTTCTTGAATAGCAAAATCTTCTGCATAATCCGCGCATCCTGGTAATCCACGTATAAAATCACACACTTCACCAACCTATAAAAAGCAGAAATTTTCAATTATATTAATGATTTTTATTTTTCGTTAAACTTATTTTGTTATCTTTACCGTCCACTTCACAGGATTAACTTTAGGCAGTGTTTCATCAACGGAAGAACTAGTAGTTGTACTAGACAATGATTTTTCTTCCCCGTTCTTTTTTATATCTCCATCGGTTTTTGATTCAGTCTCTATTTCAGTCCATTGTTTTTCGGTACCGTCACGGTCTCTTGCTTCTCGTTTTTTGCTATTTAATTCAAAATTTATGATACATTTTTCTACAATATCTGATCTAATAACTAATTTACAAAATAATTTATTTACTAACCTCTTCGCGCAACTGGAAGAACAGAATCGTTTCTCTTTTTTGAATTTGATATTTTGTTCATCTATCAAATTACCACAAGCTTCGCACTTTCCAACATGAACATTATTTACGTCTTCGTCATTGGGATAATTGGGTGCGTGTTTTTTTCCTACACAATGAATATGATACATTCTATATTTTGTAGAAAAAAATGCATATTAAAAATATATTTAATTTTTGAAATCTTACTTGGAGGTTCTTCAAGATTATCTTTTTCAGATGATGAATTACTATTACGATTTAAAATATTACTCGTTTCTTGATTAACTGCATTATTCAATGACGTTCGATTAACAGCAAATGGTTCAGACGCTGAAATATATATTGTATGTATGTATATGTATAAAATAGTTGATATATATGTATATAAAATATTAACGTTATACCTTCTTGAATAACGAAGCCTTCAATTACATGCGTAAGAACTTGTGGTTTAACCATCGCTTTTGGTGGTACATGTTTACTATTTGCATTAACTGGTACAGAAACAGGAATTGCTGTTGAATCTTCATTATTTACACCATTTGTAATAGAATTAATTGTATTCGCTAATCCTGCTAAAGGATTGCTACATGATTTCTCTTCTAACTTTACTGGTGAATTTTCTTCATCTTTTACAACTACTTTAGATTGGTCCCCATCTATGACAGTAAAACAAAATTCAAATGCTGATACAAAATGCTCACATATATTTATTTCGTATATATTTTTTACGTAGTATATATTTTTAACGAACCTGTAGTTTCTGGTTGAGATACTGTAACTTCTTCTATTGTGACTGGAATTGAATCCTCCTTTTTCACCACTGATTTAGAATTCTCTTCGTTTGCTGGAGGAGTATTTGTAGCAGATGATAATACTAAAGAACATTCGGTTTGATGATTACGATCAGGTGATGTGATCATTACTGTGGAATTGTTATTATCTTGTGTTTGCTGATCCGTTGTTTGATTTATCATAGACATTGTTTGTACCTGTGATGTTCCACTAACTATTTGACTACCAATTATTGTCGAATTGATTGCCTAAAGAAATTATATTACATATTCTATAGAGATATTTAATTCAAGTAAGAAAATGTTATTGAAAGAAGATTTCATATTCAGTACTTGTAATGGTAATTGTTGTACTGCAGACATAGGAGATTGTTGACTCGTTTGAGACGTAGCAACGCCAACCCCGCTTACCGAAACTACAGGCATAATCGGGCGTTCTCCACCAAGAACTACACTTGATTGTTGTTGTTGTTGTAGAGCCATATTTGCTGTAAAAAAAAAAAAAAAATGTAACAATCAGATATATAAAAACTTATATCATTTCTCTGTAAATAATATATGAAACATCGTCTCACTCATTATTGGTTTTGGTTGTATTTGCTGTTGCGATGGCTGCACTTGCGATTGCTGATACTGCTGTTGCATCTGCTGTTGCTGCTGCGTGTGCTGTTTCTGTTGAATAAAAACCTGTTGATGTTGTTGTTGCATCGTTTGCTGTGACTGTTGCGGTTGTTGCGGCGATTGCAGTGGTTTACCACGGCCTTTACCGCTACTACCGCTTCCTTTTCCACTCTAAGTTATAAAACATAAAAAAAAACACTTCTTCTTCATTATACGAAAAGAGAAAAAAAGCTTCTATATATTTTGCACTTGATTCGAAAAATTGCAAAAGTAAAAATCATTTTTCCAACTAATTATAGTAACCTGTGCATGTACCATAGTTTGCACTCCATGAACAGTTTGTGTTGAAACAGAACTGGCAGCTCGTATATTAGCAGCTTGCACTGCTTGTAAAGAGGACGGCAAAATACTCAAAGGTCGTTGTCCACCTGTACTTTGTTTACCCTGTTGCTGTTGTTGTTGTATATCCATTACCTTTGGTTTTCCACTAGCTGCAGCAATTTGTTGTACTCCTTGAATTTGTTGTTGCGTAGCTAGTGCTGGCCAAATACGAGGCTCAATTAACTGACAGTACAAAATTTGTTCATTATAAATATAAAAACTAACCATTATGAGCTTGAATTGGTTGTGGACTTTGTATAAACATATCAGGTTGAGTAGGTCCTCTAATGAATATTTGATTGGTTAGAAGTGCTGGTGGTTGTATTCCAGTCCAAGCAACTTGTGGTGTAAATTGCCAAGGAGCAAACTGCATACCACCTCGTCCACCAGATGGAGTAGCCGCTGTACACGTAGTGTACTACACATTTTGGAAACAATATGTATATAAAATATGAATTGAACATAATAAGATTAAGATAATACCTTTTGCACTTGATCTTGTTTGTTCGCAGATTGTTGCTGTTGTTGTTGTATAGACGGAGGTGGTTGAGGAGAACCAAGTACACCAAGTTGACCAAATACCAGAGTTTGTCCTGCACCAGGTGTAGCTGAAGTAGGTACTGGTAAGTAACCTGTAGGAAACCCTTGGACTTTAGTTCCTCCAGCCGCAGGATGGCCACCCCCTTGACCTGGTGTTGATGCTGTTGTTAGCATATGAGGTGTCAATTGAGCAGCAGATTGAAATGGCTTCCCAGCAGTTATAACCTGTAATGTAGCTTACTTAAGAAGAGGTTTATATACTTTAATAATAGTAAATGTCATGAGTGTATTTAAGTACTTGTATAGATGAAGGATTGATGCCAGCAGGATGGAGAGCTAAATTTCCTGGCATCAATAATGGAGTTCCTTGAGTATTATAAAGTTGTTGTAAATGATATGCTTGATTTTGCATAGGTTGTTGAATAACTTGCACTGCTTGTGGATGTGCAGCCATAGTAGTTATAGTTGTTGCTCCTTGTTGGCCAGACAAGGTCATAGATACACCTCCAACTCCCTGTTGTTGATGTTGCATTGATACTGCAACAGCACCCTGAAATATTTTATTTTCAAAGATGAAAATTTTTAAATATATTGCTTAAAATTATCTTTAGAATAATATGCCTTTATGCAAATTTTTACCTGCTGTTGGGGCATAATTGCTGCTACCTGTGGCTGTACCTGCACTTGAGTAGGAACAACGTTATGAGGTCCATTATTAGACTGTTGCTGCTGAGACTGCTGCTGCTGTTGCTGTTGTTGGACTTGCTGTTGCACTTGTTGCTGAACTTGCTGTTGCACTTGCATTTGTTGCTGTGATTGCACTTGCTGTTGAATTTGTTGTTGTGGTTGAACTTGTTGAGATTGTACTTGTTGTTGTGCTTGCTGTTGTACTTGTTGTGGCTGAGATGATTGCTGCTGAACATGCTGCTGTTGTTGCTGTACATTTTGCTGTTGTTGGATATCATGGGTTGCAATCATCATTTGCTGTGGTTGAGCTTGTTGTTGTTGTTGTGGTTGTTGTTGTTGTTGTTGCTGCGACTGCTGCTGCTGCTGCTGTTGTTGTGTTTGTTGTGGCTGCTGCTGTTGCTGTGACTGTTGTGTTTGTTGTGGCTGATTTTGAGAGATTCCAATTGGTTTAACATCTGTCATGTTTTCTTACACCTTTTTAAATAAACTTCCTTTAAGAAGTACTGTCCCCACACTTATATATTCAATAATTCAATGTTTTTTTTCCTTGCCATTTTATATAGATTTCTTATTAAAATATCACTTTCAATCTTTTTAATTTGCCGCACCTGAAATAAAAATTATTTTAAATTAATTTATTAGATAGATCTTTCATATAGATAAACTTATAAGTTAAATGAATTGATATTAAAAACAACAGTTATTTATATTTTATAAATTTATTTACAATTCTACTTTACATAGCTTTCTCTTTTTCTCCACCCCCCCCCCCCTTCTCTCAAACAAATATTTATTGAAACATAAATCATAATAATCTTAACTAAAAATTTGACGTAAATTTTTCGTAAATTTTTAAGAGTAAATAACCAGTTATACATAATACAAATATCAATTAATGTATTGAAATGTTAATTGTAGTATATTTCCTACGAAAAAAAAAAAATTACGCAATTGCTCATAACCTTAATAATTTTGATACACGTGTAATGCGAAGCATTTAAATTTGAATTTTTTTTGTTTATTGCAACGTGAAACATCAATGATAAAGTGTAACAGTGAATGAAGTGGCAAAGATTACTTTACAATGTAAGTAATTTTATAATAAAAAAAATTAACTATTATATATTTATAACATAAAAAGTTATTTTGTATAGTACCAATGCACGTGAAAGTTTGTAATTTTCAGTGTAATCTTCTTAATAATTATTAAAATATTTAATTTACAAACAAATATAACATTATATCATTTTATTAATGGTTTATTTGATATATGATATATAATTTATTTTCTCTATAAAATATATAAATGGTCAATATTTTAGATACGATAGATAACCTCAAATAAGAATTCACATTTCATATAGATACTAAAACACAAATAAAATTATTATATTGTAACAATTGTAACGTACATTGAAATGTAAATTTAAAATTAAAAAAGTGCTTTAATTAATCGTAAATATAACGGCGCATTATGGTATGATGTTTTATTTTGTAAATATAAAATTATATATTAATTATTAAATTATATTAAATAATTAAGTTTTTAATGCAATTCTGTTGCTTGATATTTTTTTAAAATCAATGAATATGAAATGAAATTGAAATTCAAAATGTCTTGTAGCATATGAAATAATGAAGAAGTTCATAATAAACATATGTGTGTTCTATTTTGGCTTGTTTTTAAGTATGAATTTTATGTTGGTATAAGTCTATTAAATGACGGAAATAGTTGAATCAATTTCATCTATCTATTTACTAATGTTCTTAATATCTGTTGCAATACTTTGAATTTTTATTTTGTAAATACGTTAATATCTCTCATGTAAGTCTTTACAATATTAATCTTCTGAGTAACTACAAAAAGGAGTTCTAGTAACTACAAAAAAAAACCTAGTAATATTAGTGTATGAATATGAAAAATTATTCTAATCAAGAATTGATTTGCTCAATGTAATAAAGTTGGACATCTGTACGCAAACTATTTTCCTGAAAAATATTTGCCTAATAGAACTTTTTAACTTCACACAAGAGATACTAACGAGAAATATAAGATACTAGGATAAATACTGAGATTTATTAGTAAATTATTTCACATCATTCAATAAACTTATACCAACACAACTTGAAAACAAGGTTCAATAAAACATGCATATGTTTATATGAACTTTTTTTGTTGTTTTTATATGTAGAATACACTGTTAAGAGACGTTATTGGACATCTTGTATAATTATAATTATAATGTTAATAATATTCATATAACCAACCAATGATATATATATATGCATTTTAAAATTTTTCATGTATGTATATACGTAATACATATTCGTAATACGTATATATTCCCACAAATTGCAACAACTGTTAATTACTTGTATGAAATTACTGGCTTCTCAAGTAGTTAATAATAATAGTTATTAAACAAAAGTGTGTTAGGTTAAGCGTATTTTAGTGGCATTGTGACATACAATTTGATTTTATACAAAATATTTGATGGATTAATTTGTTAAAAAGGGACATATAAATACGTCGAACGAATCAAAATAATTAAGATGCGACAATCAGATGGTAAAGAAGAAACCTGTATTCATGCATAAATATCAAAGTATCGATGAACTGAAAACATACATATCATCCATCTTGAGTTTTGGACAGAAGGAACAAAATGTCGTCCTACTAGTACCATAATTAGTAACAGGATGAGGGGTTCAAAGAGAAAGAGGGAATACATCTCACTGAGCGGGAAATACGATTGAAGGCGGGTTGATGGAAGAAATAAGAGGAAGGGGGAAAGAAAAATAAGAGAAGGGGAGAAGCGATCGTACCAGGGGGCGGTTGACAACATGGATTTCGCCATAATGGTAATATTTGATGATAAAATAACAACACACGCGTTTCTCCAGAAACTATCTATTTTAGTGACGATCTATCAGAAAAATTATAATACGCACAATAGAGGAATTGAATCTTGGTGAATACCGAACAGCGTCCCTAACGCCGACATATTGGATTACAAAATAAAGCACGTTCGAAGATCCGGCGGGACATAATGCAAAGTGTGTTGTGTACCTGCTACATTCGTTGGTAATCATGAAATGTTACGTAAAATATAGCGTGATTATCGTCGATATATCAACAATGTACGCCAAAGATATATAAAAAATGCCAAGTACACGATATAGCATGGAATTTCGGATACTTGTTCAGGTACTCACATGGCGACTGCGCAGTCACACCTATCACGTTTTCGAACACGCCGTAGACACTGTCACTACACGATTCCACTGTTGGCTCGATCAAACTTCCAGTCATACGCGCCTGTGTTTGTTAGATCTTTAAAACGCACTGTAACGAGTTTTAAACAAAATGTTATCATACGTTTACGTCGCGAGATTTCGTGAGCAATTGTAGTCGCATTCGCTGCTGCTTCCCTGCTCCCACACGATCTGCGGTACCCCTCGCTTCTCTCATTTCTCCCTCCTCTCACTGCCCTTCTTCCTGTCTGCTCCCCTCTACTTGGTTTCCTATAACCTCACCTCTCCCGTCGCTTGTGACAAACCCGCCCGTTCATTGGTCCAGCGAGGACAAATCCCAAAGGCATCGTTTGCGGGGCAAAGGCGGGGCCATTGGATATGGTGGCTGCAGGCGCATGCCCCGTAACGGTACTCATACTCTTACCCCGCACACTCGTATGCTCTTCACTAATACTATTATTCGCCATCTCGTGCATGTATACGTGATTATAGTCTGCAGAATATTTCGCAGTATAACACCGCGATACTGTCAGGGACGAATCTAGTCACACGGTTTCCTGTTGGATTTTGTTATATTATTATACCTATGTTAATGTTCTTAACTATCGATGAATATTTTATCATACCTTGTAATTCTACGTGATTTCAAATAATGTAAAACGTAAGAATATTTTTCATTAATTTCTATGTTACTTTTCTTACACACTCTTTTAAGATTTTGTATTTCTAATATAATTTATTTAGTATCAAAACAATAAACATAATATATCGTTACGTTTATAATATTATGGTACGTATATTAATAGAGTTATACCATTATTTATTTTTTAATATAATTATTGTTCATTTTTTAATATAGTTATTGTTTCGTTTTTATGTACGATAAATACCGAAGATCATCGACCATAATGTCTCCAATAATTATTTTAGTAAAATAAATAGTTTTATACCAGATTGTTTCTTGGAATTATTTTTGTAGTAATTACATGGTAGTTTGGTGTAATTAATTAGAAAAATACAGAATTGAATGAAGTTTTTACATTTTACATTTTACAAATAACATAAAATAAAATGTGTTAAGTAAAAATGCATGTGAATGCGAATGTGTCTATATATGTACGTGTCCAGAACTAGTTTCTATGTAACTATTTTATGTAATCAGTCAATTAGCTTCGTGTAAATAATAACTTTTGTAAATTCTTCGATTTTGGGGTACTCATCGACCCAATTTCGCAAATATGCGCTACGTTCCTGGCACAGCTGTTTCTAAGTTGAGCTTCATACTGTCCTGTTCAAAACCCTTGTAATGCGATTTCATTTATCATTGACTTTTTTCCCTTCGTAGGGAATACTATGCAAAGATACTTTTTCGCAAAGGACTGTACTATATTTTTAAACTAATAGACGAAACGTTTACTCGCTTTAAAATATGAAATTTACATTATTTTATGTTCAATTTAAATTGCTGAACCTGTGGTTTGAATGGTCTACTACATCGTACAATAATTCTTGTTTCTTGTATCGATTATAAGTTCGAAATTTTGAATGCTATTATTTATAGATTTGATTCAACTGTACTTCCTAAGTTTTCTACATAATTGACATCATCAGAGTACTTTTTTCGAAGAATACAAATGTATACTTTCTTCGATACTGTTTATGCCATGATTTAGTGTAGCTTTCTCTTTCTCTCTCTCTCTCTCTCTCTCTCTCTCTATATATATATATATATATATATATATATATATATGTAATATAATGTATACATATATAATATACATTAATAATATATATACGTTAATACTTGTATAAAAAATAAAGGAATGATGTATCATAAAACGCGAAACAGCCGATTTATCGGTCATCTTCTAATACCGGCCGTCGATTTCGACAATGAGCGAGACAGTAGAATGTTTCGTGCAGAGGGTAGGAATAGTCGTGGTCGCGCCAATCCCAGCAACCGCGTCTCTACGGTGGCATGTCCAACATATACTACAGTATATCCAATGCGACTGTGTACGTCGGATGGTACAGGGACAGTCTATAGTCCTGTTCACGCAAGGTTAGGAAAATTACGATATCCCGCGGAGTGTGGTGGCGTATATAGTTTGCTGTTCGACCGATAGAGCGTGCGGCGGGAAAGTGGGGGAGAGCGACAACCAATGGTTTAGGTCGACTGGGGTTGCCAAGGTAACAAGTTAATGATTCGAGCCGCCACTGAGAAATTAGCTTGGCGGTGTCGCGCATGCGTTCTACCTTAGAAACTCGTAGCTACGTATCCTACGTTTCGATATAGCGATATATCTCACACTTATATCGACTACATCTACTCCCTCCCGGGACTGTCATGCGTACACTTTCATTTCTTTGTGTTCGTGCTCGACTTCCCTCTGTGTGTGTCCTCTGTCCGACACAGACGCGCCATCATGTGTACGTAGGTATGAACGCTGAGCGAGAAAGTGTCCTCCTCGTCTTCTTTTGTACGAGCGAGACGTACATAAGCGAGGGCAGCTCGTGCATACACACGTCTGACCGTAGAGTGTATTAGTCATCGCGACGATTGGTCCCCTTCCCACTCCAATCTCTTATTGGTTTCTCTCTTTCCCATTCGCATTCTCCTCGTTCTTCTTGCCCCGACAGATTTGCATCTCTGTTAGTCGATTCATTCTCTTTTTTCCTCGCGTTCTCTCTTTGCTCTTTCGACCCCTCTACCCCTGACCTTATTTTCCCCATCGCTCCGTACAATTGTAATTCTACCACGCGCCGCCGCGAATCCTCTTGAACGACCGATGGGGGGATACGGTGGTAGTGCGTAAGGAGGAGGGGTATTAGCCACCAACATTCATTGTGAATTATAACATTCGATGTCCGTCGATCGAGCATCGGCGGCGAATTAGAAAATGGAAGGAGCCCAGGCCCCATAATTACGCCACGTCTGATTTTTACCGCGCTATCACCATATCATTTGACAGTCACGAGATTTCGTTCTGTCCTTGTATCCTCTCCCCCCCTCCCCCCCGCTCTCTTTCTCTTCTGTTTTTCTTTTTCTACTTTGCCCCCATTCTCAGAAATTCGCATGCGACTTCTTCCATCTTATAACAAATAGGTAGCGTGTACGCGACGCTGCAACGCAAAGTAACGAATATTGGTAATAACATTCGTTCGTATCGATTTGAACGTCGAAGAATGTTTAAACCAAAAGCGTGAACGTGCGATTCCACGCGTTACGCCCGGCGCTTGATATATACAAGCATAATGAACGTGAAAATGAATCGCACTGTAGCAATTCGCGTGTCGCTTCGATCCTGGCGCGGATATTTCCATCGGTTGAATTTTTGACCGGGTTACGGAAATACCTCGTTTCAATTAGATCGCGGTGCTAACCGCGGCGAGCAAAAATACTCGTTGCACTAAATTTAATCCAATCGCCAATTCGAGAGCCGCCGTTCTGAACGCGGTCTCCTGTTAAAAATGAAAGAAACGACGATCCCCGTGTCAATTAATCGAGCCGTTGATCATCGAATTCGCCACCGGAAGTAGCTGACTCGCGGGACATTCGGAAGAGATTCGTGCGCTCGCAACGAACGCACCCTTCCCGTAGCTGGTAAAAGAAACGTCGATGCGAGACAAGTTTGAATCGTTTTGCAGAACATGAGTCCTCGTATCCTGCTTCGGACATTCCAGCGCATCTCGGGATTTCGATTTGCCTCGACGAAACCGGCGTTCACGTCGGACAGGTACAACGTGAAAAGAGGCGCGTACGCGAGCATTTCCAATGATCACGTGGCATTCTTCAACGAGCTACTTGGACGGAACAGAGTCATCGTGGATGCGGAGGAATGCGAAGGATACAACATAGATTATGCGAATATCGTCAGAGGTAAGTGAACGTAATAGTCGGCCGTCGATCTTTCGAATTGTGCTATGGACATTCTCACGACATTTCGATAAAGAGCTTTGCTTCTTCATGCGAAACGCTAGATGTTTCGATGTCGTGACAGCTCTTCGCAGCTTCTCGTGAATGATCGATGAAAGTATCAAGTCGAGAAAAGAATCGACGTTAACGCGGACATAGGCTGTTGGGCGTTGAAACGAATTACTTGCAGGGAAGAGCACGCTCGTGTTGAAACCGAAAACCACCGACGAAGTGTCTACCATATTAAAGTTTTGCAACGAGAATCGGTTAGCCGTGTGCCCTCAGAGCGGTAACACGGGTCTTGTAGGCGGCAGCGTGCCGGTCTTCGACGAGATCGTCATTTCCATGAAGTTCATGAACAAAATCATCGAGACGAATGAATTGGCAGGTTGGTAAAGTTTGAAATTCAAACCGGCAATAATGCACGCGTGTTGGTGACGAGAAAGTGAGAAAATCGAAGATCTCGAATGAACAGGCCAGGTCGTTGTTACGGTATCGGTATTGTTGAAACGAACTTAGGTGTTCTTTTGTCTGACGAATTGTTTGCACTAGGGGTGTTGACCTGCGAAGCTGGTTGTGTGCTCGAAGATCTGGATAATCATTTAGGGACAGTAGGATTAATGATGCCGATTGATCTTGGAGCGAAGGGTAGTTGCCTGATCGGTGGTTGCGTGTCCACAAACGCCGGAGGTTTGAGGCTCCTTCGTTACGGTAATCTTCATGGAAACGTCCTAGGTCTCGAGGCCGTGAGTTTTCAAATATCAAGAAACAAAATCGCAGCATTCCGCCCGCCCGCAGTGTTCAGCCGTTTTATTTTAGGTAAAAGCGAACGGAGAAGTGATAGACTGTTTAAATACGCTGAAGAAGAACAACACTGGCTACCATTTGAAACACCTTTTCATCGGGTCAGAGGGTACCTTGGGAATCGTGACGAAAGTTGCGATTCAATGTCCACCGCTTCCTAAGGCCGTCAATGTCGCCCTCTTAGGTATTCTACGAATTCTTGTGGACGTTCCTCTGTATTTCTACGTAAGAACTCGTCGTCTATTGTAGGGTTAAACAGCTTCGAGAAAGTGTTGAAGGCGTTCCGTCTGGCGAAAAGCGAATTAGCAGAGATTCTGTCTTCGTTCGAGATGATGGACAAACGGTCGATCGATATTTCTTTCACGACTTTCGGCATGAAAAGTCCATTAACATCGAAAACCGACGGCCATGATTTTTATGTATTGCTGGAGACTTCCGGTAGCAACGTGAACCACGACGAAGAGAAGCTCGGATCTTTTGTCGAGAAGGCGCTCGCTGATGATATTATCGAAGATGGTACTCTTACTTCAGATCCTACCAAAGTCAAAGTTAGTAATTATATCTTTTGCTTATGACAAGTAATCCTTCTTATTTTGTCTTATTTTTTTTTTTTTTTTGCTCTACTTCGCTTTAAATATCAATTTCGACTTGAAAATGAAAAATGACAACGTGGGTTTTTTCTTTTTTTTTTTTTTTCATTTTTGAAATTTCTGATAATATTTTGGATTTTACACACTGATGCGCTATCTTTTTTTTTGCAAAAAGTTAATCGTTTCAGTGGAAATTGAAAAAAATGATTTTTTTTTTTTGTATAGCATATATGGGCATTGAGGGAACGCATTAGCGAAGGAGTATTGAAGGAGGGCTATGTGTTTAAGTATGATATTTCCATACCTTTGTTGTCTTATTACAAAGTAATTGAGATGATTGAAGAACGATTGCGCGATCCACGTGTTATAAGAATTAGTGGTTACGGACATCTAGGTATGATTAAATACTTATTAAACGTTTCTGTTTTCTTGAATTTAAAACTGTACAATTTGGAAATTAATTTGAACAGCCGAAGACTTCAATTTAAACTATTTCATATTTTTTTATCTATTGAAGGCGATGGGAATATTCACGTACAAGTTTCAATACCGTCATACGAACCTGATATAGCATCGCAGCTAGAACCCTTCATTTTCGAATATGTGTCTAAGCTTCGTGGTAGCGTAAGTGCTGAACATGGAATAGGATTCGTAAAAACGAAATATCTACACATGAGTAGAACCTCTTCTGAAATCAAACTCATGCACCAACTGAAAAAAATGATGGATCCAAATGGGATACTTAATCCGTACAAAGTATTATATCCATAAAAATAGGATATATGTATAAAAGAATATATGTATAAATACAGTACAATTGAAATTTCATATGAAGTACAAGTATTTAGCATAATGAAATTAGCTATGATAAATATAGTACAATTCTGTATTCACATTTAAATTTAAGAATAAATAACATACTATTAAACAAATGAAATAAATATTAAGTGAAAGAACATGAAGTTTATAGTAGTTTTATTCATTATTTTATCTTTTTATTATAATTATCATCTTTATGTGCATTTTATATTTGTTAAATATTCCTATCTATTTTTTCGTACTTTTTGTTAGAAAAATTATTGAAATTGTTTATTACTTTACTCTTGGAGACTATGATTACGTGTTGTTATTAAAAAGATTTTAAATTTTCCGCGTTTCTTAATTGTGCGTGTAGAAAACAGTGATAGTAATACTACTATATCAATGCACAGTAAGAAAACATCCTGTTTTATCGATTCTGCAAATTTTTATGGCACTGAGTATTCACAAAGGTGTAGAGAGGTCGCTACCGTCCAGTCGATTTAAATAATGTCTATTTTTAGATCACAAATGTCAAATTTCATATATATAATTCAGTATTTGATATAGTTCTTCTCTAATGTTTTTTGTATGAATCAATAGCTATATTTTTCGATTTCTTACTGTGCTTCTATGCTAAAATAAATAATAATCTCGTCATCGAATCAAATGTATTTGTTAAATAGTATTTTTAGAATATAAATATTACACGTACATCATTGATTTCAAATTTATCCCTGATGACTTCACTGAATGAGATACTTTACCGATACCATCGGTATCATTACAGTTATTGAAATAAAAAAACCTCAAAAATTCTATGAACAAATACAGTAATAATAAAAATTCTATAAACAAATACTAGAATAATATATATATATATATATAAAGAAATTATCTTTTGTAATAGTTTTAATAATAATAGTTTAAAATAGTTTTAACGTACGTTCATTAAATATGAAAAGCCAAGATATTTTACGATTCAGCAGCCACGAAGAACAAAATATTAAAATGCACTTGAAATATGTGTAAAATAATATACATATGGATGAGAAAATATACGAAAAAGATAATTTAAAATAACGTGTTTTGAATTATGTGGAAATTGCTCGAACAAACGAGAAGCTAGGTTAAGGTACACGTTGATTGGTTGCTAGTAAATTCGAGTAGGAATTTCGAACGCAAGAGAATTCGAACTGCGCATGTACAGTTCGAAAGATCTCGAAAAGCGCGCGACAAATATAAATCGTCGCGGAGAACTGCGCAGTCAGAATCAACTATAATTCGAAGCGAGAGGATCGTGCAACGTTCCAAGCTACTATCGAACGACTTTATATTATTTTAAACGAACGATTATTTCTTCTTGTGAGTGATTTCTAAAAGTAAAGGATTCTTAACGAGAGGTATGTATTCTAACTTCCTTTCTAATTTAATTTAAAATTTCTTTTTCACTCTAAACAAACTTTAGACTACTTTATCGAGAACTTTCCCTCTTATCTTTCTTTTCTCTTTTCTCTTTCAAATTATATTTGAAACTATTATGTTCCATTATGTATTTTTACAACAGGAAATGCAAGGAAGTAGATTATTTTTGTGGAATTGCGTTATATCGACGTAACGTTGATATAACGTAATACAAGTGTATTCCGCATATCTAAAAATAGATATTCGAATCGCGTAAAAACACGGTGTAATTCGATTCGTTTGCAGCAAGTTTATATATATTCGCTTCTCGCGTGACATAAGATACTTTATTTCTCGATGAAACGATATGAAGAGTCAACATTCCTCATACGTTGTGCCAACGTTGTCAACTATGTCAACCATTTTTTTTTTCTTTTGTACCCACAACACGTTCGAATCTAAGTTTACCTTTGCTTTCAATTTAAAATTTTTTTTTACCGAATCTTTCGAATCCCTTTTGAATTTTCGATTTTGATCTCTCACAGAGATTATGTACATACATACGTTACGCATCTGGCAACATAACTTAGACATTGAAATTTCGCAGATCAATCGCATCGACATGGCACTAATAACGAGAGATCTTTTCCGCAACTGGTGGGAGGACATGGATCGTTATCATCGGGAACTGGAAGAGCATTTCAAACGTCTTAGCACCAGGGACGATTTTCTATCGCCGATACCATCTTTCAACGAGTTCTTCCGGCCGTGGAGGAACATGATGGAACAATTGGAACATCAAGTTGGTGGTTCGACCACGGTTGAGCGGGACCAAAACAAATATCAGGTGGTCGTCGACGTGCAGCAATTCGCGCCAGAGGAGATAACTGTCAGGACAGACGACAAATGTATCACCATTGAGGGTAAACACGAAGAGAAGAAGGATGAACATGGCTACGTATCGAGGCATTTCGTGCGTAGATACATGTTACCACAGGGATATGACATCGGCCACGTTAAACCGAGCTTGTCCTCCGATGGCATTCTCACGATCACTGCTCCAAAACTTGCCATGCCAGCACCCGGTGAAAGAATCGTGCCGATCGAACGAAGCAGAGCGCCAGCAATCAAGGCAATATAATATGTAAACGATGTTATCTGTGCTTTTCTCCTTAATCGATACTAATACATTAGATGTTCACTATGAAACTTTTTTTCTGAAAAGTTAAAAAAAATTTATCTTGTTTATCTTCAAACACGCCCGATTTATATCTGTGTAATTTGATTTAGTCATATATAAAACATACATACACTTAACTAGTAATTTAATTACATCATTGATTTAATTCTTTAGATATATAAAATTATATTACGAACATGGTGAAAGAACTAGAGAGATGTTTAACTAAAACATTTAATGTAATATGTATACCGTGAATTTTGATCAATCATGTCATTTTAATTGGAATCTTTTTTAATTTCCTTTTTTACTAAAGTCTTGTATTAAAATCATTTGAACTATATTTCTAATATTGTATGATTCAATATTGCGAAATTCAATTATACAATTATTGAACTTGTAACTATGATTTAATATATACGCTATTGTACCTTTTATTATTATTAGTTTATTTTTCAATAAATAAACGTTAAATACTGAAATAAGATTTGTTTTATCAATAACCTGTAACAAAAATATATTTTAGTAATATATTTCAGTAAAACATATGTACAAAGCAGTGTGCTGCGCAATGTGTTTATCACAATACTTGTTAGATAGGCATTCTCTTTGATATCGACAAAAGATCATGTTTTCAAATTGAAATAATTTAAATGCCGGGCAGCGTTATTTTATTGTTCCCATAGTTTATAATACATTCAATTTTTACGAAGGGCCTCGATTTTCCTCACTTTCCGAAAAGGGTTGTTCATCTTGATCTGAAGGCGGCATTAACTCCCCTAAAATTGTCTCTTCCGGAGGAATCAGACCTTGAATATGTCTCATAGCATGTTCTTCTATGTGTGGAATATGATTGTAAATCTCTTCCTCAACGTTCACTTTATCTAATTCCATTTGGATGCGTCTTTTAAACGGTCCTTCTATTGCATCCATTATCTGATATCTAATAAACAAATTATTCCTCATTTGAATAACATTACGGATCGATACGCAAACACGTTGATCGTGAAAAAAACATCAGGATCGAACCTTAAAAGGTTTGGTAATATATTGACGCTGGCTTCAACTAAGTAATCGATAGTACCTGCACCATGAACTCTAGTTTGAATATTACCCAGTTCAAGGTCAAGGCCTTCCAGGCTCGGCTTCTCCCGCGTGTCCAAAGGTTGGCTTAATTTTACCTGAGCTCTGAAATATTGCGTGGTGAAGGAAACTGTACCGGCTCTGGATAAAAAGCCACCGATCACGCTTATTTCCCAATGAGTTTTTCCTTCGATTTCCTGGGTACCAGCATCAATTGTCGCATATACCTTTAAACACAAACAACTGAACAGTATACTTACTAACTAACTTATACTTAACATGCATCGACGCCTACAAATCGATTACATCAGAGCCGAGACAATTACGGATTGTGATTAAATTTGATTAGTCAGCGTGTTTCCGATTGACAATGTACGACGTAATAACTGATGTAATTATTAGACAGGTATCACACTACATTATGCTGTAATTATATAGACAAAATCACACTTTCGCACATTGAATGATGTGCTTATAGAAGATATCGAAGAAATTTGAAATTAAAGAGACTATGCTTGAAAAATAATGAAAAGCAAGCTATTTACCTTTCTGTTTTGTATGCTCAGAGTAACATTTCCCATTCGGTAGACGCTTGCCAAGCCAGTGATCCAAGTATGAGTCGACGTCACCGTGAATATACCGACAGTTTGGCTATAGTCTTTCACCTTAAACGGGTCGTAGCCCATTTCAGATATTTGCTTGCGAATCTCCGTTATTAACATATCAAAAGGCGATATAGAATTCGGGAAATGCTGTGGCAACTGCGAGATTTGTTTGTTAACTTCGCCCCTACAATGCAAGAAAATTTGTCAACGGTTTCAGTCTGCAACAAGAGCTGAATCAAATGATCTTTACCTAGCTTTAGTATTTATCTCCTTCAATATAAAAGGCTTAATACTGTCGAAAATAAAGGTGCCTATAGAATTGATCATGCTTTGGAATACAGCGCCTAAGAAGCCCAAATTTTTAAAGTCCATGTCTATCTTTTCGAATGTCAAATCCAAATCGATGTTCTGCGCCTGTAGTTTACCATCGCTGGCGACTTCCAGCCTGCCAAGCCCTTTCACATACACTCCGGACAATTTCACAGTAAAATTACCAGCCGTCCGTGAGAGCCAAGAAGAGAGGGTGTAGAATCCACGAATGTTCAAGTTTTTCATATTTAATGTCACTGAAACCTTCGAGAAACATGCCCAGATGAAAATCAATTCTAATGCGTTTATAAATTCAACGCAGTTGTAATCGTGCAATTACTAATTTAGTAGAAGTTCTATGATTATTCGATTATACGACGCGATGCTTCTGTGATTAGTCACCGATACGATGTTTTACATTACGGTATAATTAACATGTATTTTTTTTCGTAACGACAGACGTCCTTATACACTGAAGCGAATGTATGTTTTTTTTTAAAAGAAGAATCGGCGGGACAATTTGTCCTTTAAATAACAAACGTCACTTATTGGCCGCAAGTTAAATTTAAAAAAAGAAAGAAGACATTTATATATGTAGATATTTTTGTTCCGGACTTAGGAAAGTCTTTTGATTTCGAGTCGCTGTAACTACAAATTTCGTTGTCGATTATATTGAATAATCTGCATTATCGGCTGTGTTCCTATAATAGTTCTTACGTTTGTAACATTTGTATTTGTAACGTTTGTTCGAACATATGCAAATAATTTTTGATTAAAGTCTCACTTGCATCAGCGCCAGTTCCGAGTCCATGTTCACTATCCGGAACTTCGATAGGTCGTAAACGTTCACTTTCTTGAAATTCATTGTGTACATAGAGAATGAATGCTTCATATCCGGTACTGGCATGGGATCCGGTATAGGCACCCCAGGTAGCCCTATTGGATCTTCTTGCTGATAGTGTTTCAGAATCGCGCGAATATGATCTTCGAGCTGTTTCTCGCCAAGCGTTATTTCTGCTGCGGTATCATTCTTTCCTGGAAAGCGTTATCATTTAAACATTGAGTTAAACAACACGTAAATTATAAGAATTCACATTTCATCGCATTGAAAGATCGCACTGTTCCTTTTAATTTTCACCTAACAAAAGATCATAATCACAAGTCATAAATTAACAATCGATTTGCACTGTAACTGCAATATACGTTTCGTAAATTATGGGATTCCACTTACCGATGGAATTTTCAGCATCGCATTGACCCATTGCGATAAGAAGCCAAAAAAGAAGAAGTAATTTTGGAAACTGCATTTCCGGTTTTGACAAAAGAGTGGACGTATATGACGAGAAAGTATGCGATCAGTATGATGTATAATGGAAGAGGCCACACATTCGACTGAGAAGTGCGTCAATGAATTTAGTAGAACGATATCATCTCTGGGGTCATTGAAGGGGCGAGGGTCAACCGCTTTATCTGACCCCCCTTGTCCCCTCCCTTATTCTTATCGTTGTTTCCTCCTTAGCCTCCCCTTAATTCTACAACACTGCAACAACACGTGTATACATCGGTGTATGCACGCACAATGCGCTTGTCTCGTTAATGAGGCAATGCGTGTAAACGTAAACATATAAACAAAATTCGTCTTCTCAAAAAACTAAATATAACACAAATACTATCCAAATCTATCTGTGAGATTTAATCTGAAAATAAATACGAAAATATTTCAGAAATCTAATACATACATATATGTATTTATTCCATTTCATTCGTGTTGAATTATATTTTGTAACTGTGGTTCCATAATTAACAAATTCCTCGACTGGATATCAAGTCATTCATTTTATCCTTAACTTGTACTATATAGCATATGTGCACAGCAAGTATCATTGAACGAGAAGCACTGCATTTCGAAAAGTTATAATTTATTTTCTCTGCTTGGCTTAACTTACGTGCAGGAAATAATAAAAGTAAACAGTAACAAAACTGAAAAGGTGGTGAAACCTGAAAATTGCTGATAGAATTAAAATTTATCTGTCATTTGTATCGTTAATAATATGTAAATTTACATTATATTCGTTTCCTTTGTTCATAGAGGAATTAATTAAAAATATATCCTTAGTGTGTGAAAAAGTTCCTTTAGTTCAGCCTTAACTGACTTCAGTCCTTTGAATGTACCTTAAATGTCCCATAACTGGAATTAGTTTTTGCCTTGTTATTATCTTATTTATGTTTCTTGTTTGCTTTAATTAAGAACAACTACCTGTCATTTGTATATTACGGCCGTTCCCTTTCCATTAGATAGAATTAAATCAGTGTGGAATTCTCGTTCGAATGGCTCGAATCGAATTGAATTGTGAGACACACGAAGTTAGTTATTAACAGCTCTTTTTTACGCAAGATCGACCAATAGTGTTGGGAATTGCACTTCGGTTGGTAGGACTTGTCAGTGTTGCACCGCACTCATAGTTTTGAACAAGTTTGAATTCGTAGAATTTAACGTACTCTTACATTATCGTGCATCATTCTCAGTATTTGTTTGTCAATAAGTGTTTTCTTGTTGTTTAACATGAGTAATATCGATGATAAAGCAATCAGTAACGAAAAAGGTAAGATCAGTGTGGACATTTAATTTTTACTTGATACACAAAAAGTCGGGAAGTTTAATTGCACGTAAATATTGGATGTTGCAATAGTGTATTGTCATTTAGGAGATCAGATTTTGCAGGAATGAATATCCGTAAGTCAGCAGAAGAAATGGATGAACAACGTCACAAGACAGTCGCTTATGAATACCTCTGTCATTTGGAGGAAGCCAAAAAGTAAATATCTTAACAAATTTTTTTTAATAAATTTATGATTACCTTACCTACTTGATGTTTTTTATTTAATAGATGGATGGAAGCATGTCTTAGAGAAACACTTCCACCAACAACTGAATTGGAAGAAAACTTCAGAAATGGAGTGTATTTGGCAAAACTTGCCCATTTTATGGCACCTGAGTCTTTGCCTGCTCACAAAATATATGATGCTGAGCAAAAACGTTATGCAGTAGTTGGTTTGCAATTTAGGCACACAGATAATATCAATCACTTTCTGAAAGCTTTAAGATCCATGCAGTTACCAATAGTATGTGTCTGTTACATAAAAATTAAAATATTTCTCATACTTACATTTACTTAAAATAATCTGACAAACTTTTTGAAAGACTTTTCAGCCAGAAACTACAGATATCTATGATAAGAAAAATATGCCTCGCGTAATATATTGTATTCATGCTCTGAGTACTCATTTGTTTAAACTAGGTAAAGCACCACAAATTCAGGACTTATATGGAAAAGTGAATTTTACTGGTACTTGTTTGATTCTGTTATATTTTGAAAAAAAAGAATGTGTAGACTTGATTGTATTATTATAATAGCATTTCATTTTTTCTAGATGAAGAAATAAATACTGTCAGTAAAGAGTTGAAAAAATATGGAATTCAAATGCCTTCATTCCAGAAAATTGGGGGTTTATTAGCAAATTGCATGGAGATCGATGCAGCTACACTTCATGCTGCTGTAATAGCAATTAATCAATCTATTGTAGAAAAGGTATGCATTTGCAAAGTATCTTGTTTAAGTACCTTAAATAACTTTAAATGATTAATGAAAGAATATTTCATTTTAAGGATAACGAGAAAATATTAACTACCCTTCAAAATAAAGTAGTGAATTTGAATAATATTATGCCATGTTACAGTAAAGAATACTTTGACGCTTTGTTCGAAGCAAAGGAATTGAAAGTGCAAGCTGCACTTAATAGAGTAAGTAATGATTTTTTCAATTAAAATATTCTTGTTTATATTTCTAATAAGTATTAATAATATAATTTTAACAGTCTCTTAATGATAGTTATGTGCCAGATATATATGATGAATTATTAACTCAAGCAGAAATTCAGGGTCATATTAATTATGTTAATGGTAAGTTATAAGAAGAATTATTATTTTCTAATTATTTTTTTAATTTCGTTCATTTTTTTTAATTAGAAGAATTATTTCTAATTAAAAATTATTATTTTCTAATCATTTTTTTTAATTATGCACATTTTTTTTAGTTTCCTGTGCTATGAAAAATATAATTCAGTCTATTCGTTGTAAGAACAATCATTTTATGGATATATTAAAAATGCCTGCATTGTACTTAAAAGTATGCTTTAACTTAATATTTTTATTAATATCTTTTTTGCAATTCTATGATTCTATTTTATGATTAGCATTATTATAATTTTTTCAGAACGTCGTTCACGAAAACGCACAATTATATAAAGAACAACTAACGCAATTATTGAAAAGTACTGAATGGAATAGTACATATTCAGAAAATAATCATCATCATTGTAAACAATTACTTCAAAAAGAAATTGATAAAGCAAATGAAATAGCACTCAAATCTCGGAAGCGTTAGTATTATATAGTAAAGATCATCTTCTTAAATATAATTACTATTCAAAATATTTTTCTTAACACAGGTGATAATTGTGTAAAGCTTTTAAATCTAACATTACAAAATGGTAAACGCAATGATTTTTATGAAGTTTTAAAAAAGCCTGATCTTGAGTTGACAGAAAAAATTGATGATTTTGCACTACCATTATATTATGAAGAGATGAAAGTCGATCGTATTGACTCTCAGGTAAAAATAAAACATATAAAGTATAAAATTTTATTAAAAATCTGTATTAATATAAACATTATTTTCTTAATAGAACGACCTTTCATATAGCGATATTGTAGTCAGTTTGCGTGTTTTATCGATAATTGCAGAAATTAGTAAAGCTGTAGACACGGGAAATCCAGATTTAGTTTATCAAGCTTTGGCAAATCCAGGTTGTCATGTTTCTGTGGGTTTACTTTCATATAAATAAATTTTTAATAAGGAATTATTTTTTTATATATATATGTATATATATCATATCTAGGAATTAGATCAAGGGAATAAAGTAAAATATTATAGAGCATTAGCAACAGTTCGATTTGAGAAACAAACTAGAGAAGAATGTCCTTTATTAACATACAGTGATGTTCAAGAATGCATTGATCATGTCAATCAACAGTGTGAAAATGATGATGAGGGTATATTCTTTAAATTTTCTATATAATTTCTTTATAAACTATACAATATTTTAAATTTTTTATTGCTTTGACAGTGATACAAGTTCTACGTCAATTAAACTCGGCTGTCATAGAAAATGACCGAAATAGCATTATAGCTGCTTTGGAAAATTCTGCTTTAAAATTAGAGGAACCTATTTTGCCAACAGATGTGTCTCTTTATTTGAAATTATTTAAAAAATGCCTTGAAGAAAAACATAATGATGGTTCTGAATTATGGCTAGAAGATGTAGAAAATATAACAAAAATTGTTGCGAGTGAATCCATGAGTATTCAACGTGGTATAATGCGTTCATATTTTGTACATTTGTAGTTGTGTTTACTTTAATAATATATTTCGTATTTTTGCAGTTTGCTGCTTTTTGTCACAAATTAACTCAGCGTTACAGAAAAATGATATGTCATTTACAATTAAATGCCTTGAAAACTTTGGTTTCAGAATACCAGAGCAATATAAAACAAACTGTTTCAAAACCTTACGCCGTTTAAAAAATATAAAGGTATAATATTATAATGAAGTACTATAATATTATAATGAAGTATTTAATTTAATAATTTTTTTTCGTATTTCAGAATAAACTGTACAACTATGAATTTGTTCAATTTTTTACTTTTGGAAATAATGAATCTTATTTAGATTTACAAAAGCTCAATTACACCTGGGACCGACCTAAAAATGCCTCAAAAACATTTTATATCGACATGCAAGACATAATTGTATTGTAGAACTAAAAAATTTAAGCTAATTAAACTGAAAATGTTAATGTGTAAAAGTTATAATCGTACATTATTTCTAGGAATTAATAAACAGTGTCACAGAAAAGGAACACGCAGAATATTTGATAAAAGACAAAATAATTCGATTTCAAGCTTATATTCGTGGATATTTATTAAGAAAGAAATTTTCTGATAGACTTACATGCTTTCATGATAATGTAGATAAAATTATTCGAATCCAAGCCTGGTGGAGAAGTATAGTACAGCGTAAACGATACATGAAATTATTAGAAAATAAAAAGAAAGCATTTCAAAATACATATGTAAAAATGAAACCCAAATATATAAATATATTGGATTGTTATAGAGAACACGTAAGTAATGCGTTTCCATTTTATTTCAATTTTTCGTATAATACACTAAGAGTGGTAATTTAGTCTCAATTTTTAGGAAGAAAAAATCATAAAAATACAAGCTTTATGGCGAAGTCGTGCCGAAAGACGCGCTTTTCATTCACTTTTATATATGGAAAAACCACCATTTCCTGTTGTCCGTCATTTTTCTGCAATTTTAAATTTTAACGCAGAGGATTATGATAAAGACTTACAATTACAAGTATAAATATTTTATGTTTAAACAATAGTTCAAAATCATTTATATTTATACACCATTTATATTGTATTGTAAATTTACTGTTGCAGTATTTAAAACATGAAGTTGTTCAAAGTATACGACACAATCAGGTTTTATCTCAACAATTGGATAGCATGGATATAAAAATTGGTTTACTTATACAAAATAGAATTACACTACAAGTAATGTTTAAAATAAAAAGAAAATATTAAATTTATACCTAATTTATATCTGACTAAAATTTTAGGATGTTGTAGCACATGGAAAAAGCTTGGAAACTCTTGCAAAGCAAAGACATTCCAACAAACCTCGAAGGAGCACTTCATCAGATGGTGCTGTTTCACACAAAGGCTTAAAATCATTAACTAAAGAGGGTCGAAAAATGTTGGATGGATATCAACATTTGTTTTATGCACTGCAAACTAATCCAGCATATTTATCAAAACTTTTATTTCTCCTACCTCAAAGTAAAACAAATAAGTTTCTTCAAAATGTAATTTTAACGTTATTTAACTTCGGATCAAATATCAGAGAAGAATATTTGTTATTAAAATTATTTGGCAGCGCATTACAAGAAGAAATCAGGTATAATGCTATTACACATAAGAAGGTAATGAATTCAAATATAAAGTAAGTAATAATTATAATTCAATACATAGATGCAAATTTCAAAAACCATCTGAAGTTGTTACCGGGAATCCTCTTGTTCTGAAAATGGTGGTAAATTATGCACGACAATTAAATGGCCAAAGAGCTTTGAGAAAAATTGTTGGACCAATTATTGAAAAAATTTTAGCTGATCGTACATTAAATATAGAAACGAATCCTGTCGATATTTACAAATGCTGGCGAAATCAATTAGAAATGGAAATAGGAGAAACAGTGTAAGTTTAAAGCGAATATACAAGTCACCATTGTTTTATAATTATTATTCTCAACAGAAATCTGCCTTATACGGTAACACAACAACAAGCTCTAGAATATGAGCAAGTACAAATTAGATTAAATAAGGGAATACAATTACTTCAAAGTACTGTTCTAGAATTTTTGACTAAAATAACTGAATCACGAGATTTAATACCATATGGAATGTTATATATGGCTAAAATTTTAAACGATTCTTTAACTGAAAAATTTCCAAATTCTCCAGAAAAAGATATTTTAAAAGTAGTGGGAAATTTAATTTATTATCATTATATAAATGCAGCTATTGTAGCTCCAGATGCTTTCGATATAATCACATTGCCAATTGATAGATCATTATCAAATGATCAGCGAAGAAATTTAGCTAGTATTGCCAAAATATTACAATTCGCTGCTTCTAAGAAAGGGGTAATTATGTTCGCTTTTTAAGAATCGTAACATTTAGAACTAACAAGAGACGCATATTACGTAAATTTTTATTTCTAGTTTGGTGAAGAGGCCACGCATCTAGTTTGTTTGAATTCATTTATAATTGAATGTCACGAAAAGTTTAAAAGCTTTTTCCGTTATTGTTGTCAAATTGAAGGTCTAGAAGAACATTTCTGTATTCACGAATATACGGAGGCTACGCTTATTCACAAACCTGAGATATATATTTCATTACAAGTAAAAGAATGTTAATAATCACATAAAAATACGAAATTTTTTCATTATTAATCTTTAAATATTTCTAATATTTAATCTTGTTAATCTATGTTAATTACAGGAAATTTGTGACACTCATTGCCTTATGTTAGAATATCAAGATCAAATAGCACCAGACCCAATGGATCCGTTGCACGATTTATTGGATGATTTAGGTCCTGCACCGACTGTTGCATCTCTACTTGGAATCTGTAAGAAATAATTTGTTATCATATTATACTTAATTAAATGATATTATATTATAATCATTTATTAGCTGACACCGCATGTGAAACAAATTTAACGCGTTTTGGAAAAACAGAAGTATGTTTGGTGCTCACCAATAAATTTCAAGTGCCCGAAGAGGAAGATGCTAGTTTAAACAAACTTTTCATAAAAACGAAAGAATTATTAGTTTCTGTACTGCAGTTTTTAAAAGGTCAAACGTTAGTCGAAGCTTTAGCAGACACTATATGTTCTCCTGTCCAAGAAAAATTAAACGACGTAAAATGCACCAGTTTATCGCCTACTTTAAATATTATTCATAAGAGGTATAGTAATGAAATAAATTATTAATCATTAAATAAAAAATTTAAAAAAATTTATTTATAGTTCATCCTTGAATGATTGTAAGCATCAATTACGGGCGTATCTTAATAAACTTGAACTTGATGGTTGGGTCAGCCAAGAAGATGGATATCAAAATATTATAACTGCAGTGGCTAAGGATCTTTGTAATAAAGGAAAATATCGAATTATTCGGAATAAAGAATTGCAAACTTTACGTACAACTAAACAAAGACTGGAAGAAAAATGTAAATATTATCAAGAACAAGTAGAATATTATAATGAATATATACAACATTGTTTGGAAAATTTACGCACAGCAAAAGGGTACATATATAATTTTTTTTTGCCTTTCATACCTACCTAGTAACACTATGTAACAGTGTAATTGTTTATAGATCCTTGCGAGCATTTAAAGTCAATCAGAAGAATAATCACGTTAAGTTAAGATCTAAAATGACATTGAAATATTCTGCAGCCAAACTACAAGAAAAAGGAGTACTGTTAGAAATTGATGGACTACCGCAATCGCAGTTTAAAAATGTAATTTTTGAAATAAGTCCAACAGAACATACTGGTCTTTTTAGCGTACGTTGTAAATTTATGGGAGTAGAAATGGAAAAAATTGATATCGATATACAAAAATTACTTGAATTGCAGTTTGAAGGTGCACCAATTATGGATATGTTTGGTAAAGCAAAAGTTAACGTAAACTTACTGTTGTATTTATTAAATCGAAAATTTTATGGTAAAACTTGAAAGAAAAAAGAATTGAATTATTTTATTTATATATCTATATCAATATGACAATTATGCACTTGTGCAATGTTCTTTTATAATTAATTAAATGTAATTATGAGCTTTTGCACAAAGATATGTCAAATATTAATTTCTTACAATCTGTGAAAATTTTAGATTTAATTTACAAAATTCACAATTATCATACAAGAAATTTTAAAATAGAATTAATGTTTGTAAATAATTATAATTATAAAAGTTTAAATTTTAACATAAGACTTCTTAGTATGGATATACGTATTATTGTGAGCGATCAGTATAATATAATATAAAATATGTAAATTCTTTGAAATTAAACAAATTTATGTATAATATAAAACTGACTTGTAATAATTCAATTGTTATTAATTTCATGTTAGGAGATATATTTAACAATAATACATGAAGAAGTCTATAGAACAAAAGCTGCTAAATATGATTAAAGATTTTAGAAAAGACAAATATATATTTTTTTTAATTTTATAAAAATAAGTAAACTAATAGTAGTAAATATCACCTACTATTAAGGTAATAGTCTATAAATTTATTTGTATAATTAAATCTAGTTCCAGCGATGTGTACCACTCATCATTTTTTTCCGTTTTTTCTTTTTTTTATATATAATGACTGTATTGAATAATTGTATATATATTTTATATGAATATAAATATTTTTACGTTGCACCATTAAAATAAGATAAGGCATATTCTCAGAAATTTCTAAATCAGAGAGCAATAGGCTGTCTATTATTATCAATGTGTTTCATAATGCTATACATATAATTTATATCGTCTTTTAAATATTAGACAACCTAGTGTTCTTGTGCATTTTATAAAATCGAATCGTTTGAACACAAACTTTGAAATTTCTATCGTATGCGTGTTAGATACAATAAAGTCTATTTTATAAAATATATTACATAAAGGCCTGTTTAGTGGATATTGGCAAATAAGCCTGCACATTTAAACTGAAAAATATAAAACAAACTAGAAAACCGTATATTAATATAATTTTTATATAAAGTTGCTTACATATTATGTTAAATCTTCGTATTCTATGAGCTTGCATATTTTGTTACCAAACATCATCAAAGAATATCTAAAACAAAACAAAATATTAGTATCAAGGTCAATCATTGAAACATTTCTGTTTTTATCATTACATTATTGTTTTTTTCTTTTCTTACAAAATATATGAGAGCAATTTAATTTCTTAAACATAATTACACTAAAATGCGTCTAAGTGTGTGCGTCTAAGAAGATTTGATATCTATAGAGAACAAAAGTTTATTTCATCTCATATATATTATATAAACACTACATATACATATTATCTAAATAAAGTATGCAAGCTTGCATGGTGTACTTGATAATATGTTAGTCAGTACACAAATTTTTTCTGCTTGTAATTATAAAACATTGTAGGTGAACAACCCGCATTCATCTCACGCGCATTGTATTATAAATATTTATTTTTCTTTACATATTTGTTTTTCTCGAAGTTTCATTTTTACTCAACTTTATTATACAAATCTGCCTTCACAATTTACGTGACAGACGCTAACATCCAGGTACTGTGTCACGAGGTATCTTGAAAGACATTTTTATAACTTGTGGAGCATAAAATGTCTGTAATATCATCAGATTGGAAAGTTTTCTTTCTCCTTGTCATTGAATGAAGTATTTTAATATAATTGATTATGTGCAAGCAATATAGTTCATTAAAGCCTCCACGAAGCAGGCCATAAAGTGCATTTTATGTATTTTTAACTGTGTATTACATATATCACCATAGTATTAACTTCGATAATAAATAGCATAGTAACATTAATTTTTCTTAATAAATGTTGGTTCTTTACTAAATATGTGCACACATTGGGACATAACATTTGATACAATATATTTAGTAAGTGTTATCGTTTGTTTAAAATGTTGACAAAGTTTCTAAATTTCTGTTGGGCATCCGTCATTTGCGCTAATGTTTCTTCCATCATATTGCGCAACTTCGATAAATCCGGCATTTTATCACACGATTCAATGTTTAATAATTCTGTAAAGAATTGTTCCCAAGCAGCTCTCTTAGCATACCTGTATTTTTTCAACAAATTTTTAATGATTCAGAGTTTCTCTAATATTTTATAACCAGGGAATACTTCTTTTAAAATAAATACCTTGGTATTTTCGAAGTAATAAACCAACGACCACCAACATTTGTGACTCTCATATAATTGCCAAATAATAAACAATGACTTGTCGCAGCTAAACAATACAAATCAGTTTGATACGTCCATGGTTTTCCAGTTTGCATTTCAATACATGTAAAATCTTCTGTCTTTATGACCTGAGTAAATGTTGTCTTTTCTGGTAAAAGACTCATATCTATACTACATCCAAAATCTATTAATTGTATCGTTGGCCTCACGTCTTCCGTTGGTCTAAAATTATTATATTCATAAATACAATATTATAGATTTGATCTACAAAGTATAAATATATGATGAATATACATACAAACGCATTAAAAGAAAATTGTCTGGTTTAATGTCTCCGTGGATTATTTGACATTTATGTAAGTATTCCACAATTTGCAATATTTCAATCGTGAAAAATATAGCCAAGTGCTCTAACAACGGTTTACCCGTAGTAATTTTTATTTGATTTGTTACTGCTAATAATGTTCCAAATCTGGAATACTCTGAAACTAGAACACTACTGTTATTCGCGACATATGCCATGGAAACATCCATAAACCCACGCAACTAGAAAAAAAATTGTTTATTATTTATTAGAATTGATACTTATATGAATTCAATAAATAAACACTTTACCATATGTGGATTGGTAAGACGACTTTTTATTTCCCTAGTGATATAATACTCCCAAACCCAGGCAGGCTTTTGAGTTTTCAGGGCAACTATTTCACCTGTTTGCAGATTCACTGCTTTGAATACTGTACCGTACGTTCCCTTTCCAAGGCACTTTCCCAAATCGTATGCTTCAGTACCTAGACACGTGAAATGAACAAAAATAATAAATATTGAAGCAACAAAAAAATATTTGCATCTACAAAGATATGTTTCTACATCGAAATACACTGACCAAGCGTAATTATAGTAGAAGGCACAAGCTTATTTAAGTTAATATTTAATCTCATATATCCCTCTGCATGACGTGGCTGGGGAAATTTAATTTTCTTTAAAAGTCCAGCTATTAGATTTCTATCGAAAGGATTTATATTTTCTGAAGGTAACTGGAAACTTTCTTCTTCTGCTTCTTCCATCGGTTCGTAGTGCTCTTCACATTCCATTGTATCAACTTTTTCTTTTTGTTCTATTTCGTTAAACTTAAAATTAATTGATTTTCGTAGATCACAATTCTTCTTAATTTCAGAAGTAATTTGATCCACGTTACGTTGCACCGTACGTGGACTCTGAGCGTGCACAGCTTGAATTTGGGCTTGAAGTTTTTGTTCATAAGGTTGGTTTGCAGAAAGAGTAATGTCTTTTGTTTCATCTTCTCCACCTTGTTAGATAAAAAGTCTTCTTTCATATACAAATAATGTCACAAAAAATAAGAAAATTTTAATTTATTTAATTAAAATACCTCTACTCGTACTTTGTTCTTTTATAGGAACCAGATCTTCCTTTGTTAATGTAAAGCCTAATGCAGTGTTTCTTGTATGGGTGCTGCTGCCAGAACTACTTGAAATATATTCTCTAGTAGATTCTAGTATGACACTCAGTTTGTCTTCAGTTTCTCCATTAGGTGCCTCTGAGGAACTACAAATGAAATGTAAAGTAAATATATGCTGTTACATTAATTAATTAATTATTTGATATAAAAAAAATCACATACGGTTGAGATTGAGGTGCAGCACACTGATTTGGATATTGTGAAGTTCCTTCTACTATTTTGTAAGGTTGTCTAAATTGATTAGTCATAGGTGTAGAACTCAATAATTGTGTATTAAATGCTTCTGTATAACAAGTATCATTATTTCCTGTCAATGGGGTAATACCAAGACTTTCATCAATATACAAATTATTTTCGTCAGCTGCTTTCGATGTCATATTTTCTTCCATTGGTCCATTATAATCAACGACAATAGCATTTTCTTTATCTTCGGCACTTTCAAGATATTTAATGTCTCTACGATTCATCCCCGGAGATTTTATATACGGTAATTCAGGTGGCATTCTGTACGGTTTACTGTCTGGATCGTTATATGGAGGATAATGAAGTTGTTTCTGAGATTCTACATTTTGTTGCAATAACGTAGATTCTAGCTGAGAAGGATACTGCTGATAAGCAATGTCATTGGGCATCATATTGCCATAAACTTGCTGAATATGTTGTATATGTTGATGCGGCTGTTGGTGTGGCTGATGATGAAGATGTTGATTATGCGACGGTTGATGTTGCTGATGTTGATGTTGATGGTGTTGGTGTTGATGTTGATGTTGATGATGATGATGTTGATGTTGATGTTGCTGTTGAATCTGACTGTGAGATTGCAAATGAGAAACATGCTGAAGTGAATGATGATGAGAAATTACATGAGTCTGTTGATGTGCTTGTATTAATTGATGATGTTGTGAATGATGCGGCCGAGAATGAGGTTGTTGTACTTGTTGCTCATGCATTTGTTGCTGTAATCAATTATTTCAAGAATTAGTACAAAAATTTTTTACATGTGAAGTGTTCTTCACGCATAACTGATACTATACCTGCATTTGATATTGGTACGTGTTATGCAATCCGTGGTTATTATAAGAGCTTTGATGTTCTTGATTAGAATAATTTTGATGAACAGAATAATTTTGGTGATTCTCTTGATCATTATAAACTTGTATACTATAACCCGAATGATGTTTACTGTTTGACATTGCATGCTGTGTCATTGAACTATCCATATGTATGTCAAAAGATAATTTAGTCTTGGCATCTGAAATTCTAGGTGTCATGGGGGTACGAAAATTAGGCGTTGTAGGTACAGTATCAGGGGAGCGCCACATGTCTTGTACAACTGACATTGCTTCTTTCGTATTAACCGTAATACTTTGTCCCAATAAATGTTCTTCAGGTTCAGCATTTAACGATGATGTATGATGCTGATGCATAAAACTGGATTGTAATTTTCGTTGTGAATTTAATTCGGCTTCCATTCTCTGTGCTTCCAATCTCTCTGCTTCGATTCTTTCGGCTTCGATTCTTTCTGCTTCTAATCGTTCCAGTTCATGTTGTTCTGCCTTACGTCTTTGAGTTTCTAAAGCTTGGTTTTCAGCTTCGTATTGTTGTCTTTGAAGCTCTTGCTGTTCAGCTTGAAGTCTTTGTCTGTCCAATTCAAGTTGTTCTGCTTGTCTACGTTGCTGTTCGATTTTTCTTTGTCTCTCTGTTAACTCTTGTTGTCTTTGTAACTCTCGCCTCTGTCTTTGTAATTCTTCTCTGTAAGATATATCGTGTCTTTGATGTTCAGTTTCGAAACTTTTATGCTGAATTTGATGGTCAGTCTCTCTTATAGCCGGCATATCATGCTTTTTATTTATAGTTTGTGCCCTATAATTTAAAACACTACTCACGATTATTCGAATTATTTTTATTATTATTATTAATAAAATAATTATTGATAAAAATAAATTACCTTTGTGAATACAGTTGGGCTCTTATTTCCTCCATACTTTGATCCATATTATTAGCATAAACTAATTCTTTGGGATAATGTGGCCTTAATATAATATTTGGATTTGGAGGATCTGGCACAAATACAGGCACAGTTAAATGTTCTGGGTATTTGCTGCCATCGAAAAAATATATATGATTTGAAAATAATCTTAAATTGTTTGTATTAAAATCTTCTGGTTGATCCTCGTGAACTAAAATTCAATAACAGTAAAGTGCATAAAAAAAAACAATTTTATCTATAAGTAATATTATTTTGCTATGAATAAAATTGCACCTTTGAAAGCTGATTTTGTAGTAGATGTTATTAAAGGACATCGTTTACTTGCGCTATTCCATGGGCCAGGTTTAATTGTATTTTCTTTATGTATGGTATCTTCTACTGGTACATGATCTAATATGCTTGAATTTTTTATTTCACCTGGCATATCATCCTATAAAAAAATCTCAATATATTTCTGTATTATCGTACTTTGAAAATGATCTGTGTACCTGATATATCTGTATCCTGGAATTTGGCCGAGTATGGTGCATTGTCGATGAAATTTGTGGAACTGTACCAGGAAAATATTCGCGTACTCGATGTCCAGTACGCACACTACCAACTCTTTTCCCAGCTTTTATTGCTCTTAAAGAACTAAAAGCCTGTCGTTGTTCAAGTAGTGACATTTCATTATGATCATCTGTACGTCCCAATGTTTTACGTGCAACAGCGAGCTGAAAGTTCCTACAATAGATGAAGTGCATGTTATTACATTAATTATTGCGTTAGTATTCCTTGTTTTGTGATTAATACTTGTGAGCATAATCCAGTTCCTCTTGTGGTTCTGCCAATGCAGATAATCCCATTAGATAAACTTCATCGGCACGTTTATAATCTTCTATCTGTTCTAATTCGAAAGCCCATGCTCTATACATATCTGCGACCATAGTCCCAATTCCATTGTTGTGTAAAAGTTGATACAATTCTAATGGATTCTTTTGCATGCTTATCTGTATATAAGCAAACAAATGCTTATTTTATAACAGAGATATTTGTTTTCACATATAAAAGATACATTTTAAATATCTTACATAATTAATCCACAAACGTATGTATCTACGATCTTGGTGATATTTTGTTTCTTTTTCAAATATAGCTAAACATTGTTGCAGAAGTTTTCCAATATGTGACTCATGTCCACTTTTCGGATAACTTTGTTCCATCCAAAGTATATATTCATACCAACTTTCTAAAGGATCATCTCCTTCGTAATGTTTTATTGCATCTTCATACATCCTAAAAAAGAAAAAAATAACATGACGAAAAAAATAACTTATAAGTTTAGAAAAACTTCATTACATGAACTAAGACTTCAACCATTGCAAAAGAAAACTATTAACTGCTGTTCGACTCACTGTTTTTCTTGTAAAAGTATTTGTTGAGCATCTGTATCTTCCTGTGCTCTTAACGCAGTTCCTAACTGTGTAGCATTTCGTCCATAACGCAACGGTTGAATATTTTCTTTACAAAGAGCTATGACTGTAGCAGGATCCATTCTTAATTCTATACTTTCTTAATTAAATCACCTTATATTCTAAAAACAAAAAAATATTGAAATAATAAAAAGCTGGCAGATCACTTTTTAAATGTCTCTACTAATGACACATTAAATTGTGTTCCAAAAATGGGAATAATGGAAATTTTAAGAAGCTTGTTATTTAATATGTCACAATGTGACACGTTACTGATTGTTCATCATTATTGCACGTGAAAACATAAAGAAAAATTCAACAAGGGGTGAAATTCGCAAGCACTTCAAGGTGTATTCAGTCGAACGTAATGCAAACAATCGTCCGCTATACGAAACAATAGAGCGAAATGCAAACGACGTTTTCCCTAGAGAACACTTAACCTTTCACACGTACTAAAATTTTGCATAATATTCCTCGAATCGTGATTCAAATTTGAATAAATCTAGTCTTGATAATTCCAATAAGGACGCTATCAGTCTAGGTTAGGTTAGTTTTTCACTTAACGGCTACAGCCACCAACGGTTTTTCACTGTCTTCTGCTATGCTGTGTTTTAAATGATGCAAGAGTTACGTTCCGCTAATCACGAATTTTAATTGGACCTGCTACGCGAAAGAACCGAGAATACGTTGCGGCCAGAGATTTACCGTGCTTAATATAGTTTTCACGCGGATCCCTATTGAAAATTGCCAATAGGACAGCTGTTACAGAGGGATCTCGCATGATCTTCGAACCTCTACTTTGTCACTGCTTCTATAGTAACTTGGCAGATTGGTCCAAAATTGGTACGCCAATTTTTTTTTTCTTTTTTTTTCTCTACGATCGTTACGAAGATTCATTTCAAAAATTATCACAAAAGTTTCGCTAAAAGTTTGTTACTTATTAATTCAACAGATTGTTTAAAGTACATATATTTATGCATTGAATACATTATAAAATTTATTATGTAGTTATACCGCAAATGCTATTATAAAATAACTTCGGTTCCCGTTTCATCCTAATAAAAATCAATCGTTCGTTTACTTTTCAGCTCTGACTGCGACTCTAACTTTCGAATTTAACCGAGACAAATTCAACATGAAATCTTCGTATTTTTATATAAATTTCTTACGAGACTTAACAAAATTATTAATGAAATATAACTACAATTACATGCTCTTTTACATTTTTGCGCAGTACGCGCTTCTTCGATTGAAAACATTAATTAATGCAAAATTTAACTGGATTATTTTGTCTGATACCACTCTAAAAAATTTAATAAAACAATTTCATGATAAGAGAAATTATTATATAGACTGTAATTCTTGTTTATTGACGAACATAAAATATTTTGAAATTACTAAACCAACTTGGTTTTACATATGTTCCATAGTATCTGTGAAAAAATACAAAGTTTTAGTTGTACCTTTGAACAATTCTGATGAAAATGAAATATTTATATCAGATACTATGAAATATAATATAGAAAATGCATTGCATTGCACTACCAATAAATGCTTTTTACGTGAGTACAAACGAGAAAAGAATAATTTAATGAACAACTAACAATAAAAGTTTGATAGAAATAATTTTTTTTTTAATTCTTTTCAGTGCCAGCAAAAGATGATACTGTTAGCTTTGCTAGAAAAGCCAAAATTTCTATGATTTCTAATCAATATGAGAGCACAGATAATTTAATAAATATTCTATTAGAAAATTATTTTTCAGAACCTAGATTTTTAAGGAAAAATGATTTATTTGGCATTAACATAAAGGAACATATACTAGATCAAACATATTTGCATACAAATTCTTCAATGTCTGTAATATATTTTAAAGTCAACTCTATTATCAATGACAACGGAGATTATACAAATGATGGTAGTTATATTTTATATGCAGAAACTACTCTTGTTCAAGAATCAGATGTACATAGTTATTTACCTCAAAAACATTTTGTTTACAATGAAATCAAAGAGAAATATGTAAATTCATATCCACCAAGTTTAGCAGCACCTCTGGAACATTTAGAATGTTGCATTTTGCCATTTATTAAACAAGGTGATTAATGCTTAAATACCTAATTATATCTAAAGAGTATAAATGATATGTTTAATGCTGTATTCTTTTAGCAGATATTCAGTTACCAATAAAGCCTATATTTCTTATTAAGGGACCACAGGGTTCGAATAAACGTAAATTAGCGCAAATTTTAGCTGAGAGAATGGGTTTAAACTTTCTTAATACAGACTTTGCTGAAGTTCAAGCTTTAACATCAGCACAAACAGAGGCTAAACTACGTATTGTACTGCATAATGCTAAACAATCGGTGCCATGCATATTATGTTTAAATAATATAGAGGTATTTTGAAGATGTTTTTATTCATTTATTTACAAATATTTTGAGACAATGTTTGCAGGTATTTGGAAAAAATTCTGAAGGCCAAAAAGATGAAAGAATAATATCAAGCTTTTCAAACCAAATAAATTCATTGTATAATAAACGTTTGAAACTTCCTATTATTATAGTAGCTACAACAAATGAATCTGATATACCAGCTGAACTAAACAGAATTTTCATTGAATCGATCCACGTGGAACATTTAGATCAGAACGAAAGAACAAATTTAATTTCATGGTTGCTCATGAAACGAAATCTTGACCATCAAGTTAATTTATCAAAAATTTCTAGTATATGTTCGGACTTTAGATATTCAGATTTATCAACGCTGATATTAAATGCCGTAAAATTTCGGTGCAAAGATAATGCTAAGAATTTAAAATCGCTAACACTTTCACAAGAAGACTTTGATAAAGCTTATGGTAAAATTGTAATGCTGTGAAAGTAATTATTACTTACACTGTATCAATTTAATTTGTATAATTTCGTTTGCAGAATACATGCAATCGGTATATACAGATTGTAAAGGTGCACCGCGTGTACCAAAAGTTTATTGGGAAGACATAGGTGGCTTAATGAATTTAAAACACGAAATAATGCGTCGAATTCAGTTACCTTTGATGAATGCTCTAGGGTTTGGACAGTCTGGTCTTCTTTTGTATGGACCACCAGGGACCGGAAAGACGCTTCTCGCTAAGGCCGTAGCAACAGAATATCAGCTTCACTTTTTATCAGTTAAAGGTCCCGAAGTATTAAATATGTATGTCGGCCAAAGCGAGAAAAATGTTAGACAAGGTAAAGTAATAAAGATACATATTAAACATATATCTGAGAAATAAAAATCGCAATATATCGTAGTGTTCGAACGGGCAAGAGCAGCAGCACCATGTATAATATTTTTTGACGAATTGGATTCATTAGCACCCAATCGTGGTCGAAGTGGTGATAGCGGGGGTGTGATGGATCGTGTGGTATCTCAATTACTCGCTGAAATGGATGGTCTTGATAGCTCCAATAGTATATTCATTATAGGAGCTACAAACAGGCCGGATTTGATAGATCCAGCTCTTCTTAGACCTGGCCGATTTGATAAGCTACTATACGTAGGAATTCATTCCGATCGTGATTCACAGCTTAGTGTGTTAAAGGCACTGACTCGTAAATTCACATTCTGCGAAAATGGAAAAGAGTTAGAGCAGTTAATCTGTCAGTTACCCGAGCACACAACTGGTGCTGACTTATATTCTATCTGTTCTAATGCATGGTTGAACGCTGCGCGCAGGGTTTTAAATAATTATCACGATAATTCCAATGAAATTAAATTGGACGAACGTGTTGCTGTAGAATTGGAAGATTTTCTAAAAGCCGCGCGTGAATTAATTCCTTCAGTCAGTAAAGAAGAAGCAGAAAGATACAGAAAAATGCAAATAGAATTGTCTTCTGTATCGTGAGATGTTTATCGTGTCAGGTGAAGTATCCATCAGTCTTATAAACGACATATCATTTTATTTGGAGAAATATGTAAAATAATTTTTACAACGAATAATCAAGAAAAATATCTACCCTCTATCCTCTAGGTATTGCACTAAACGGTTCGTCTTACATGCTAATGCGCGACAAAGATAATACCGATTTGTTTTTTTTTGGGGGGAGAACGGTCTTTAAAATATATATACCAATCAAACTAGTATACAATGTAGAAAAATAGAATAGTTGAATTTATTGAGTTATTGAGACGATGAAGTTTTGTAACTAATAGCTCTTTTTTTCAAACTGTGATAATCGGAATTTAATGATTATTTTATTACAATTATTAATACAGTAAATAAATATCTATTCTTATTAAAAATAATCGTTTTGTATGTTCAACCGATAAATCTTATTTATTTGAACGACCGTTTTTGTATTTATATACGAAACGTTATTTTATTTAACGCTATTCACAGTCTCGCATTTTACTTACTCGCAAGAACTGTAATTCTCGTCTTACTTTTAAACGTCTCTTTAATTGCTTTTAATTGCTTTTTTTTTAAACATTATAATTGCAAGATATACAATCTAACGAATTGTTCCTTTTACAGGTGGTATTTGATAATGTACTTTATTTAATTACAGAATAACGATATTTCTTTGGTGTGATCGCGAGGTAGAATCGATTCCAATGCAATTTGTTCATGATATTGAAGCATATAACGTTTTCTTTATTGTACGTGATAACGCACTTATTACATGGAAAAAAAAATTATTTATACGTCTGTTATACGTTTTTAAGCCTTTTTTTACAATCGTTAAGATGATATGAATAGATACGACAAAAAGAAGTCATAGAATTATGAAAAATCGTCGTTAACGTCAAATTATCTTACAAGAAGAGATTTTACAATTACGAGTATTTTTGAACTTCCGTAGAACATACAAATCAGAACTACTGAAAATTTGTTTTGAAGTAAACCGCCTTATCTAGTATTCGATTCTCTTTCTTCACTTTTTTTTTTCTAAACGTAATTAAATATCAATTAACAAGTTTCACATCTCATGCATCGATGGGTCTCTATTCAGTGCAGTCGAAAATTATTAAAACATAAGTATCACATTTGATAAATAATGCTAATCACTACATGCGATCGACAGAACATTTCATACAATTAATTATCAATCCTATGGAGCACATGAAAAATATTCAAAGATATTCTGCGTCGATTTAAAACGATTATAACTTTCGCGTATAGTATATATTATATATGAGGTATTATTTTAAATATGTTGTAAAAATTTGATCTGAATATTCCTTTTCCTCAAGGAATAAGCAACGAGAAAGAGGTATATATACGTGGATAAAAAAGGGAGAATCATTTAAATTAGCTTATTAATAAATTTGGCCACTGTACAATCGTGTATTTGCATGCTCTTTTTAAAAATTTATATATAAATCCTTGAGTAGGTTGAAAAATGTATTTATACGAAAGATGGAGAGCTACTTAGGGGAATATGTAATAGCAATGTTTTTCGCTTGCATCGATCGCGGAAAACGAAGGAATTTGTACTCAGCAGCCGCGAATTATCCTTGCAAAGTTCAAAACTTTTACTTACATTTGTAACATTTATCGCATCTTTTCGCAATTTTAAGCAGTCTTCTTCTATTTGTATCGATTTGTGTGTATATGTGAATACATATAAGGAAAAGAAATACATTGGCATTCCATGGTATCTTCTACGAAAATCGTCCAGTCGGGTGACGAGATTGGAAAAACATCAACACATGATGCGTGCAAAAAACGGTCGAGAATATTGCCGACTAGCTGGACAGGGAATCTCTGTTAGCTTTCGGTATTGCTCGAATTACCAAATGCCTGAGCTTGGGAGTGTAAAACAATTTTCCCCAGTAATCAGCGAGAGCAAGTGTTCTACACATTTCTACGTATAATGTACTTTACATTGCGGCAAGTAGAGTCAGTTATGATTCCTTGGTATTTAATCTGAAACACAAAAAATAAGGAATCGTGACTAAATCTGTTAGTCTCTGCTAAAAGATGAATTACTACTTTTTTTTCTCTACCGTATCAAATTTATTAATTTGTTATTCATTCTTCTCTTTTTTTTTTCTTTTTCTTTTGAAGAAGAACATTATCGTTCAATAAAATTATGAGGCAGTGTCCATTAAAATGTGAATAATCACGATAATCTGTTGTTTTTTCTTTTTCTTTTTTTTTTTAGGTTTGCATTTTATGCATACCTGGTCAAGACGATTTCGTAGCAAATTCGTGTAGTATGTCACAAGCCATTTCAAGATCGTTCCTAGTAATACCGAGGGCTCTAATCACGGCGTCTTGTGCGAATCCGAGAGCCGTCAGCTTGGAAATGTGTTCGACGTTCACGTTCTCGTATGCCGCGAATTCTGGCTTAGAAGAACCGGTGGGATCGTCCTTACCTCTCATCAGGGCGGACAATCGAGCTGTATTCGCTTCCAGATTAATGTTCCTCACGACGTGTTGTCTTGTACCAGGTATCACGATCGTGTTCTCGTAATGATGGTCCTGTCTGTTGTGTTCTTTGCTGGTTGCCTTTGGAGGCCGTGGCACCGACAACGGTGGCGGAACCGGTGGTACGTTATTGCTGGACGCGATCTGGCTGGTCGTCGATGAAGATCCACCACTGACGCGGCTAGATTTCTCAGGTAGAGACGGCGGTTGCGTTGTGCTTAAATGGTTTGGTTGTGATCGACGAACGTGACCTCTGACAATTGTAAACGGCGCGGGGGGTATCGGTGGCATTGGAGACGGTGAAGAGGCACGATGTAACATATCGTAACCTGCCTCGGAGTTTACTGGTAAAATAAAGCATACATTGTTTTAATAGAATGACTTAATTTTTATAGAGAGAACAGGAACAAGTAATCAAGCGGTCAAAACAAGTTCCTTTTCTCTGGATTAGTTTGTTCTTTACTGCTTACTGTTGTTATTCTGTTGATTATCGGTATTAGAATTGAATGCCGTGTTGGCTGTCGACGAAGGCGGTGGTGGAGCATTCTCTTTTGGAACAGTTAAGTGACGACCATTTCTTGAGTGACTGTTTGGCGTAGGAGATGGAGAAGGTCGTCGAGGAGGTAGCGGTGGACTTGGCACAATTCTCCGTATCGAAACTGGCGAATTTGTTGGACTGGAGTCTTCTTCTTCATCCGAGTCGTAACACATAAGCCCACAGTGTCCATTACATAAATCCATAATTTCCTAAAACGAAAATAAAAGAGAAGCATGAATTAATACCTGTGGCATCGATTAACAGCAACAAAATTGTTTTAACTTGATAATATTCATTGTCCAGCGCAAGAAGATGCATACTAATTTGTGTAAAAATTATTTTCTGCTCTAATTCTGATTTTAGATAATGATAAATTTGTTAATGAATAATCAAATTCTGTAGTTTAAAATCTTTTTAAAATTTTGTCGAATAAAGGAATTGTATAAATTAATATAAGTAAAAAGAATGTAGCAAAAAAAAAAAAACCCTGTATGCAGAAGAACATCACAATTGAGAACGAGCATAATTACAAAGCTGTAAAGCAGGGGATCATAATGCATTTGTTCACTTACCTGCGTTAAACGAGTCAAAATACATTTCCTTCAGTTATGTACATTATCGATTAGTTTTCCGATCATGCAGCGGGCAGAGCAATGGACCCAGTAGATAACATTATGAAATAAAGATAAACGATCATGCGAACGATATAACGATATAACACTTTTGTTCACTTTCAGTAGTTCCCTGTTGCTGGAACACTGATTCAATAGGCGTAAAAATTAGAATCCAGCAAAAGGGATGCATGTATAAAATATGCAAAAGTAATTCAATGTAATGATAATACAATTTTATTAAAAAAAAAAAGAAAAAAAAAGAAAACAAAAGGAAAACAATATGTTTTTCAGATCTCTACTCTTATAATGAATAGGAAGAAACGTACGCTACAATTTGTAATGTTTATGAATTATTTATTTTAGACCTCTTTCATTGCTGGATGTACACAGCATGAATGGATCTAAATGACTGATCAATTAGCAGCACTAGTTATTGTACAAAATTACGCTAATGGGTACACGTAAACGCAGTAGAAAAATCTATCTTTTAATTTTTCAACTTTTCAGTGCAACATATAGTAGATCTTTGTCTACTATTCATAAATTCGTACACATAAGGATACTATATGCTTAAAAAATTATTACTTCTCTTTCTTAGACCATTAACTACGAATTCACATCTTAAAAAAATAGTTTTGTTTTCAAAGATGAATTCGACCTTTTAATTGCTCTTACATGCATCAATGCATACAGGATTTATAGCATTAAGGTATTGAAAAAAAAAACAGAAGAGAAGATAACAACGTATATACCACAGCATCAAAATTCGACATGAAGTGCTACCATACAATCACTAGTATAACATAACTCCTTAAAGTTCGTTTTATGCGTGAATGGAATAAATAATAAATATTTTAAAGTATAAAGAAAAATAATAACATCTTTTCCCTGGTAAAGATGTCGCATGTTATTACATGTTTCTATCGCCAACAGGTACATAATTAATTCTAGTAAAATACAACGAATGAACGATTGTTCATTCATGAGCTACATAGTATTTCTATTGCTCGATGTAAACAACGTTATTTTCGTTGGAAGATCATTTTGTTTTATATTGTATCTGCTTCTTATTTCTTAGTACTAGCAATCACTATTTCTTTCTGTTCTATACTTTTACCATGTCATTCTTATAATTTGATATACACATTAATAAAAAACCAACTAATGCAAAGGATTTAAATTCATTTCAAACAAAACGTGAAGCGAAGAGCATCGAATCAAGGTCTTGTTAAACAATTTTCATTTACAACAAAAGATTTCCTAATTGTGCGGATATAACGCAAATTGAACGGATTAATACTCTGTTGACAAAATATTGATATTACGAAACTCTTATGTAATAAATAATGCAATCGTATGTAGAGATGAAGCATTCTAACTCCAAATATAGTATGCATACACCATAAAGACGCTGCCAGCTATACATTGGAACATGCATTTAAAATATGATTGGTTCCTTGATTAGTCGCGAGCAAAATCTTTACTCTATTGTACAAATGTGATCCTTGATATGGGCATTGACTACAATGTTATTTCTAAACATTATCTGTTTGTTGCAAGTAAAATGTAAGTTTCATTATTTTTTAACTCAATAAATCGTTGCACGGCAAGTACAACATAATGATGTGTATGTTAAACTGTACAAATAATGGGACTGAGTGCAAACGCTGTTGTAGTAATGAAACAAGAACGATAACTCGTACAAGCCCTCGATTTTGTAATGCAAAAAAGCAACCTACCTTAGGGTCTCCATAAACCGGAAGATTTTTTTTTTGGTAAATCGTGACACATACAAACAAGTAATTTAAAAACACATGTTAGTTTAAATAAATACATGAACTGTAAAAAATATCCGTATCAATCGCTCGAAAATCTAAATTTTCTCAAAATTATTCTGCGAATCATTTTATGTACAAATAATACAAAGAAAAATGAAAAAAATGAAAAAAAAAGAGAAAATACGACTCGCACGAAGCTCATATAGAGACAAAAAAGTTGGTCCCTTTTTACATTATTTACTTTTCAAAATATGTATTAACTTTAATAAGTTTGTCATTATATTTAAACTTGTGTACCTCACAAGAGATAACTTTGATGATAATTCTGTAAATGACATGAAATGACATGACAATCGTACAAAGTCAAGATCTCACGTGAAATGCATGAAGCATTCTTTAAAAATATAGTGTGTTGCTGAAAAATTGTTATACATAGAGCACATTTAATGAGGGTAGATGCTACTCCTAGTCGGATACCTCGGTGTCCGGGTCAAGATCCCGTGTAGGGGTCGACGCGTTACTAGCAGATGCTGATTGTGTGCCTGGCCGATGTGTTCTTCGTGGATCGAATGGATCGATTACTATTTGTTCAGTCCCTTTAATCTCAGCTCGACAAAATGGACAACCTTGTCCCTCAGAATCCTATGAATCGTATTCTTATGGACTTTTCTTCTAAATAATTCAAGAATATAAGACTAAGTTAATTAATTAATACCTGCCAAGCTGTGAGACATGGAGTGCAGAGGAGATGTCCACAAGGTTCTATCCTTACATCTTTGTCATTTTCTGCACAAATTTTACATAATTGGAATGTGCTACCCATTTCACAATATAACTCATACTGTTCCGCTGTAACTTTTATATGTTCTTCAGGAGTGGGTTGAACTGCCCATGTTAAATCTGGATTTGCAGTACGACCATCAGGATATAAGTAGCTAAAAACAAATTATAAAGTTTAATTATAAATTTTACGTTAATATTTTTTGATAGACAAAAAAGGGTGTGCTTACAATCCTTCCCTATATCCATCTAGCAATGCTTGGCACAGACTTTTGTTGTGAGGTATTGTTTGAAGGATATCACCATCTGATGTAACATAACCAATAGCCCATTGTCCTAACCTTGTACAACTTAGTCTGAATACATAACTTCCTGGTCTAGTACTACAATACTTTTGTAAACGTGCTTTCACTTCATCATAAGTAAGAAAAGCTACATATCCAGGATGTGTCACAGCCAGAATTTTCCAGTTACGGAGAAGTGTAGACCATGGTTGAAATAACCTACAATGATAAATTTATTGTAATTTACATCATAATTAGATAAAACAATTGCTTTCTATGTGTATAACCTCACCTTGTAAATACATCGAACTCAAAGTTAGAAATATAATCATTGCACGTGAGATCTATCGTTGACTTTAATGCCATAGCCTGTAATCCAGAACTAATTGGATGAACTTCATTTAACTTATCTTTAAAAACTTTCCACGGAACCAGCGTACTGCAAAAAAAAATATAAAAGTCGTTAGTAATTTTGCTCCAGTAATACGATCATAACCTAAAAGCTAATCAATATTATGTTACCCACATTATACACAGTTATTATAACTTAGAACGCTATATCTAAGTGATAAATGAATTCAAACTTATATATTTTCGGAGACGTATTTTCTTGCAAGAAAATACCAAATGTATCATCATACAGGTGTACATTGCGTTTGTATGCGAGTAGATAAACTCCATAAATTCGTAACCGACAAGTCAGTGTAAAGACAGAGCTCCTACAGTGCAGTTGTATTTCTGGTTTTCCTCTCGCAACATTTTATATTTGCACATTATTGGTAAGATTCATTTAATTCTTTTGGCGTGCACTGAATTCTCAAGTACAATCATTATTTCACAAAAACTTTCATTATATCGCGTAAAACAGTATGAAATTAAAGCAATGATTAGACATAAAATCTCACGCAATACCGTAAGGTTTACGTAGTGGACGACAGATGGCAATCGATTTGAACTTGCTGTACACAATAAATTCAACATTTTACGCTATTATTTTAGAAGTGTTCTTTTAAATTGCTTTATCTTACTCTGTTTTATACATTATTTTGAAATTAACATCGCGATTAGTATGTATTAAATCTAATATGGACCTAACCTTATAACCTAGTATAAATGTACTTGACAATATTAAAGCACTAATCTATCGCAGATCAAGGTATTCTTGACTTTTCTGATATTATCATAAGTAAAACTAACGATTATCTTGCATTTCTCTAAGTTATACGGTAGAAACGATATTTGTTTAAAACTTGCCACGAGATAAAATAGTGTTCACACTGAAAAATTTCAGGAACACAATTGTGCGTCTTTATCGACCCTTCCCCTACATATTGCATAACGAAGAATGAATATTTTAAAACTACTACTGCCGGTGGGCTTTGTTCAAATCAGAAATTTGTCAGGCACGTACTATGAATTTAATGTTATTTCCCCAATTTTGTTGCAAAAAGCTAAAAAACTTATTCGTAATTTGTACTTCAAAAGTGTGACCGAATAGCATGAAACAATGTTACGTTTACATTTTTGTAATAAAATATATCCGTCTAATGTCGTTATTTCTGTTTATTGAATTCTAAATATATCTTAAAACCTGATCATTGAATTCCAAAAAAGAAAACCGGTCTATGTCTTATATATTACTTTTGTAATATCACATAATACGTAATAATGTCACGTAAGAACATTGTAACTATTACAATCAGAATAAAATTGAATAAGCATTAAAAACCATGAAAACTAACATACTCAACTATTACACTAAACGTATACGTCATTTTACCTATTCATATAGTAAAGACTCATCTTGATGACAGTGCGATATACACAAAATCGCAAGTAATCATTATATTAACCAAGTGTTAGTATTGAAAGATATACTTTTCTAATCTTTACGATACACAATTAAATAAAATAAAAAGCTCAATAATTTAAAAAAACTATTTTTTTTTTACATTTAAATGTCAGAAACGGAAACACGAATGTGCAATTTTGATTTTATGATGTTATTTCTTTCGTTAATAATAGCCTGGTAGTAAATTAATAACTTATTCTAACCAATTTATTCTAACGCTGTTAATTTATTAAAAATTTTTATTTCCTCCGCATTTGCTTTTAGTATGTTGAAGAATTTATTTACCATGCAAATTACATTTTCACTTGTCAATTTTCATTACATTGAGATATGAATTCAATACTGAATTAAAAATCATTTCAGTTGTGGCAGCGACCATGAGTGGGAACGAGAATTACAAAGAAGCAAAATCGATTTACGATTTCACTGCTAAATCCATAAAGGGCGAAGAAGTTCCTCTATCCAAGTAAGTACATATATCAATCAATATCCAAAGGTGTGTGATATGTATATATATATATTTCTTTTTTTTATACCTATTTACAGGTATGAAGGGCATGTTTGCTTGATCGTAAATGTAGCATCGAAATGCGGCCTAACAGCCACAAATTACAAGGAGCTGAATCAATTGTACGACGAGTACGCCGAATCTAAAGGTAAAATAAAAAAACATTGTATCTGATTTATTTTCTAAAACGATTGTTGAAACGTTGTGTTTGTAGGCTTACGAATCTTGGCTTTTCCTTGTAATCAATTTAATGGACAGGAACCAGGAGGTAGCGAAGAAATATGCAGTTTTGCCGATCGGCAAAAGGTATATAAATCTCTCTAGAATGGAAATTCTACCCTTTTGATTTTTACTAATCGCACTGTTGCATTTTCAGGTTAAATTTGACCTGTTTGAAAAAATTGACGTCAATGGAGATAATGCCCATCCTTTGTGGAAATACATGAAGAAAGAACAAGCAGGATTTTTTGGTGATTTCATAAAATGGAACTTCACGAAATTCATCGTGGACAAAGAGGGCAAAGTGGTGGAGCGCCATAGTCCTACCGCATCTCCACAATCTTTGAGAAGCAACCTCGAAAAATTCTTTTAAACATTCTACTACTATTATCTAATAGTAAATATTTTTATTAGTAATGTCACTCCTTGTAATTAATTGATATCGTTAACGATGTTCAATTACACACACACACTAGTCTTGTAGAATATCCCTACACAACACTATAAACTTCTAGCTAGTTTTTTATTCTATAGATATTTTTATTTTTACTTATCGAATATTGCATTTTCTATCAATGTTTTACACATCGAATTAACAAGTAAATTGGTTGTATCCACAAAACAAGAAAAATATATATATACACTTTATATACTCATTACAAGGATTACGAGTTTAGTGAGGATTTTCATTTCTCAAACGTTTTGTTTAAACATTCTTACATTTTACCCACATATAAATTCCTTCCGGCGTATTCTTCTTCGCTTCTTTTTATGGTGGCAAAATGTGTGTCCCGCGCGCTTTTACACTACGTCACGACATTTACATTCGTTCCTGACCTTGTCTATTTTTAGCATCATTAGTGCCTTTTATTTAGCCATCAATCGAGCCCCATCCTGCCATCTTTTTTAGCATAGTGAAAATCAAACACGATCGGACGTGATTCCATTCACCGTCACGCGACTTTGTGTAACTCGTAACAGCGAAAGTCGAGGGAAATTAATTCAACCGTGTTTTTGCTCGGAAAAATAGGTCAATGTATCCCAAGCAGATTTGAGTAACACGATGACATAATTACAGGCCATCGTGTCCCCAACGGGTCAAGGCGAATACTCGACCCGGTCCGCGAAATATTTTTCTGTCTTTCTCTCTCCCCCTCGTTCGTTTTTCCACGTAGCGCATTTACGATTCATCGCTATGAAAAAACGGGCACCTGACGAATTCGAATAAGAGAATGGAACAGAGAGTAAAAGAAGAAAGAGCAACGATTTATGGAGTCTCGTGTCCTTCCTGAATTTCAATCCTGAGCCGTTTTACGTCATCGTTAAACTGGGTCACGTCCTCTATTGCAGGAGTACCATCTCGGAATTGAATGTTCCGCGATATATCTGTATGCACATGCGTATATATACATCGGCGATGCGTGGCTAACGTACAAAACGAAGCTGAGAGAGATACTACCGCTATAATTAGTCGTCCTTGCTTGCCGACTGATCCAAGCCTCGCCTCCATTCATAGATCGCTGCTTTCCCGACGTATCCGTCTCGTCTTCCACGTGACGTTTCCGATTTCCGGCAACTACCACTCCAAATCCAATCGACTTTATAACGTTAAATAACTCTACGAATCTCTCACATTGTCACAGCGTCCGACTGATTTCTAATTCTAATTCTACACTATTATAAAAGATTTTATCAAAGATAAATAAAAATATCGTGCCGGTAGTGCACGATTAGATGACTTGGATGAGAACGATCGTAATAATCCACTTGTATCGCGTTGTTCTTTCAACATTGAAAAAAAAAGAAAAAAAAACGATGAATATTCGTGTATTTTAGGGAGTAAATAATAAAAGGCCAAAGTACAATGGAAATAATTCAGAAGGGCAATTCTATCCGAGTTCGATACTTGCATTCTAACCAAGTACTTTTAATTGGACCTTTAACATTCACGAGGTAAAGTTTCTAGCCATCGATGGCTAAACGTAATTATGCAACAGACGGCGAAAATACGCCCATGGAAAATGTCAGTGGAACAGATCGGAACAACGCGTTTCAAGGATGGTTCGCTTGTTTCAAAGGTTTTGCACGCTCATGTGAATCCGTCGGCTGATTCTCCCTTGACGATGGATACCTGTGTGTTAACCGTATTATCGGGCATCACACAGTCATTGCTGTACTAAGCCAAGAATGGCTTTAAAGGCACACAGAATCATGCCCACGCACTCTTCTATATCCGACCGATATGGAATTAACTGATCAAATGATTCTTACGATCGTTAGATGATTATTTTACAGACTGTATAATGATATTATTTCGTAATTGCTCGCAAGATAACTGACTCTTTGAGACTGCAAACTTTGCTTGAAAAACGAAGAGAGAATAAAAATAAATTACTGAATGCGGCAGTACACTCTTCCTGAAATATAACATTCGAAAGTTAAGAAATTGTAATGCAATCCCTTGTAATTTTATTCTGAATTCAAGTCCAATGAATTTTATTCCGATCGCTCCAGCATTTTGAAACATTTAAAGAGATTGAGAAAATAATGATTGAGCTTTCTGACTCAAAACCGCCGTCTTTATTTAAAGAGGGTATTCAAAAGTCACCTGATAGTGAAGATTTAAAAAGCGATGGAAATTATCTCCCAAAAAATTCTTTTTTCCTTAAATTAATGATAAATTTATATGAAAATAGGCCACGAATTAACTCACACATCTAATAATTATTCAATTGTCATTCAATCCCAGCTCAGTCATTTGCTAATAGTAAATATAAATTTTGACGAATCCGACAATGATATCCCCGAGCGTCTAATAAAAGGCAAGCGAAGACTCGGTTGTGTATTCTGTTGTGGTGAAACAGAATGGAATTCGTAAGCAAAGAATAGGATCCCGGTCGGTGGACGCGGCCACGCCGATTTGTACAGTTCGCTCCGCTTAATTCGCTTTAATCGCGACGTCACGTCCCCTTCCTTCCGCTTCGGCTCACGTCCGGATGCGAGCTTAACTGGCCGACTACGAAAGGAGAGGAGGGTACGGCCTCTTTGCTCGTAACTCTTCAGACACGGATAGCTGATACGCATCGGTCCGTCTCTATCAACGCGGTTCCAACCCCTACCGACCGGAATTAATATAGTATCCTCCGGGATACGAGCACGCCTTTGCCTCTCCATACATCTTCATTTTTCTCACTTACGGCACACGTCAAACGTGGCTAATGTTTTTCGACAGTTTCCCCCGACCTACGCGTTTCCAATACACCGTCGTTCACGTGGCTTCCTCGAACGAGGAACGAGGCTAACGCGTTCTGTCCGTTGAATTAAAATTTCAGTCAGCTCACCTTTCTTCCTCTCGTCTTTCTCCCCCCGATCTCGTTTCGTTTCATCGCCGACTTTACTTTACAGTCTACACTACCGCTACAAGACGAGGAAACAGGAAATGTATTTTATTTAACGACTACATTATATCGTGTAACTCCTCCAAGTTTATCTTTCCACGTGAAGAGGTTGAATGGAAAGGTCACGTCGTAAAGCTACCCCCGCAAAGATATTTGCACTACATCGGTCATAAAAGAAGCGCTTTTCATTCTTCGGGATTGTTTTCGACGGTGTTTTCTTTTGTTCCGTTAAATTGAGGTCTCCTCGAGAGGAAGTGGCGGAAGCGATCTCTTCCCCGGAGAGGATTAGAAATACCGCACCGCGATGCAAAGTCGATCGAAACCCGCAAACGTGACATATTGCGTTCGCGTCGACGCCCTCTTTTCCAAGACACCAGATCCGCTGTACACCTGATACCCGATATCTCTTACGAATAAACAGACGAGATTCTTACCGACGGAATTCCAAATATATTGATCGTTGTCGGAGTCGAATCGAAGCCGTAGTTCATTTCTTTTCTTCGTGCCTTTAGTTTTAGGCCGAATGCCGTATAAAAGCCGATGATTCACGACTCTACGAAAACCTTTGACACACCGCGACATCGCGTAAAATGCAACGCACATGAAAATCACCGTGAATATGGGCCACTTTGCGCCCCTCGAGGAGATGACAGAGAGATTCTCACGTCTCTCAATTATTTTCGAACAGGGGGGGGGGGGGGGGGACCGGAGACACGTTAATGAAATAATCGTAGGAGACGAAGAAACCGGAATGTTCAACCTCGTTGAATTCCATTCTGCCTCACCGCTTTTTTCTCATATGGCTTTCCCAACCCACATCCGGATATCGTTATACGTGTACATATGTACAATATATAGCAGTGGAAGAACAGAAGAGAAGATTCCAGCCCCCCAGCTCGAGCGCCAGAACAAAGTACAATCCTTCGCAGCTATAGATTACAGGCCGGTACAACGAATCCACTACTATCGTCCCGTCTCCTCCTCTCTGTGTCACGGATAGATGACTTCGGTCGCCTTTTCGATAAAAGCTCACCCCTTGCCACTATTTCCGGTGACGCTCGTCATTAAAAACACCCATTAACGAGCGGGGCGTACACGTTCGTGCGCGAAAACGTGGATTTCAACTCGTTCGAATGCATTACCGACGTTCCCAATAAAGGAAAATGCTGCATTTGAAATTAAAAGGACAGTACGTAGAACAAAGTGAAATTTCTTCGAGAAATATCATTTCGTATCATTTCGTAATGTATTGTTCAACGTATCGTGATGCGTATCTATTTCTCACGAGAAATTCAATTTGTTCCGTGCGTTACGTCGAGCAGTGACATTTGCAAAGGTCCGTTCGATTTCCTAAGTTAATTGCTTTCTTCGAACGTGACGTCCATGTTACCAGCGTGGAGAAGATCGATGAAAAATACCGAGAGATACGGATAATTTTCTAAGGTATCTCGTGCAGTCGTAATAACGATAAATATTGGTTCCGGTCTGCGATAAATTACGATTTACGTTTTATCTTATCGGCGCCGAATTAAATGCGCAGGAATAACCGTGGGCTTTGCTCGATTAAAGAGGCAGAGAACGTAACAGCGTAAAGAGCCGTAACACACACAGGGGCCGCCGGATGTCCGCGGATCATTTGACCGGAAACTGAAAGTTCGCGCATCAGCGTAATCGAGTCGGCTCGCCGCATGTTAATCATACTGCAATCGCCCGCATCCTACGTTCAAAACAAGACTCGCTTCCCCGATAAAAGCTTTTTAAAAGCTCCTGTTTAGTCTCCTTGGGGGGAAAAAAAAAACGCGTAGGCTTCGTCTACGAACGGAAGCGGAGGGGAAAAGGGAGACGGATGACGGAAGTGAATTTCGAGAAATTAACCGAGAAAGAGAGAGAAACGGAAGAGGTACTACCCACGGCTAGAATCTCTCTTTTTTTTGTTTCCACTGACACGATGTTTAATTTAACAGAATCCGCATCACGTAAAGTATTAATATTTTATCGCTTCTCGGAAATTTTCGTTCTATTTTCAGCCGCGTGTTTTCTAATTTCGCAATGAAGTAAAACAATGGCGCGCAGTCTGCTACTGTCGATTAATAAATAAATTATATAGGGAAATCATCATTACAACTTCGAGGAAGATAAATTACAATTTAAAAATTTATACGCAATGTGCCACATGTATTGGTATACACGTGTACCAGTGAATAGAAAACGAAAAGTAATTGCATTCAACTGTTTTACGGCGGATATCACATTTATATTTGATTTTGGTTGGTTCACAAGAATCTTAAATATAAACAAATAAATGAAAACAACAATTACCACTAGGACAATCGTATTTAACCCGGGATTGCCCACCTAGGGGTCTAGTGCAGGTACATCCTGGCACTAGACCCCCACGTGGGTAGACCCGGGTTAAATGACAATTAAAAAATAAATAGATTTGTATAATTATGTTTCTGTCCAAACAGAAATTAACATTAATTTTAACAAGAATACCCACATTTTTAGCACTTTAAGCGCTTGTAAAAAAAAAAAAAAAAAAACGAAATTAATCATATTGACGGAGTCGATTGTTATAGCGTTAAAATGATAAAATTGTATAATTATTTACAAAACTTCTATACTGATAGTTCCAATAAATAATATGCAAACGTCATTTCAAACATCCCGCCGGGAAAGTTGAATTTCTACAAATGATAAAAGAAACGAGATAATTGCAGGGATGTGTAATGTGTGCCAAATCCATGGCAACGAGCAGTTACAGAGCGTGTGTGACAAAAGAGGCTATATTCGTTCGTCTGTCTTGTGTCCTGACGATCGTGACGATCTCTCGCGACACCGTATAGCAAGTCAGTCATTCATGAATTGGCTCGAACTGCTGCTCGTTTATTTATACCGGCTGATAAATCGCTACGCGGCACGTAGCCCAGAGCGCACGGCACGCGCTTCCCGATACTGTGTCATGACGTATTCCAGTAAAAGTAGGTGTATCAGTTTTGTAAAACGATACTAAACCACCGGCCCCCAAGAATAGTAACCAGGAAACGGATCTAACCAATCGATCCGCCCCGTTCCACCGACTCTTCCCACCTTTATACGCATTTCTCTCCGTCTCTCTTTCTCTCCCTCGTTTATCTTTCATCACGATTACATATCTACAGATATCGAATCGTTGTAGATCACTTCCCTTTTCTTTTCATTCACGTGTCGCAAAACAGCTTCGATCATTGTCAATGAGCTGTGATTGTTGACAATGACTCGATAACGCGGTTCGTTCTGACAATTTACACGGTTCGACAGTCTACAACAGAATATAGATGAAATTTTGATCGTACCGGAAGTAACCGGTTTCGTGTGCCGACAGAGCGATGTGACTGTTGCTCGACTGAACGTAAATCAATCGCGTTTATCGTTTCATTGTTTAAACAGCCCGATATCTCAGATCGGAAGCGTCAAGTACGAAGAATCATCTTTCCTCGATCATCTTGTATAGTCAAAAAGAAAATAATACGATAACGCTCTTTCTAATCTGTATACTTTACCAACATCGATGTCATTCTTTTAAAAAAATTTCGTCTACGCCTAATTATTTGTAATGTTAACAAAAAGAAAAAAAAAAAGAAAAAATGCTTGCAACACACGCAACATAGTCGAAATTATTGTCGAAGTAAAGTGATTTTCACGATTCGAGGTCATGCGAGAACATAGCTCTTCCCTCTGCACGAGTTCGCATATGAAAAAGAACACTTCCGGTGACGGCGAAATATATATCCGTCGAATGGCGTCAGGTGCAAACCAGTCCAGACACGTCTCAATTTTCGGCACATGAAACTAATGTCAATATCAATGAAACGCAAGGCCGTTTTTAGGTTAGGTGTGCGCACGTGCGAGTCACAGAGCGCGCGTTTATTATTCGTTTTTACGCACGTCAAAGTGGAAAGCACACGCGACGAGACAGGTGGCCTGTTTACACGATCAAAACAAAACGGAAACAACAAAAGAAAAGAGAAGCGGGGGGTGGAAGAAAGACAACAAAAAAAAAGTAAAAAGGAAAAGGATCGTCCAATGATACGCACCTGATTCCAAAGCTTTCTTTCCAAAACTCAGCCGCGTCTGCCTTCGTAATACGGAATTTATGCCCGGCAAACACACCATTTGGGAAAATGGCCTTCAACTCGGACAGCATGTGGCTAAAGACAAGGCTGAGTTTAGTCAAATTCCTACGATAATGCGATGTCTCGTCAAACATCTTCTCTTTCCCTTCCTTGAACAACTTGATCGCTTGCTTGCACTTTCTCATAAGATTATTGATGAATACACAAAAGTGTTCGTTGCTATGTAACACCTGCATCCTGTCCTCGTATTTGCTATATATCAGTCTCAATCGCTGATACGTGTCCGGTAGAATGTCTAAGATGAACGGCGGCGAATTTTTCAGATTCATCCTTTGATGTTGACACAACTTGACCACCTTGTCCATAAGCTTCCACGTCTTATCCAGCATTCGCTTGTCGGTCGAAAGTTTCGGCAGTGTCATGGGATCAGCGAAGCGACCATGAAGCTTCTGGAAAATCGAACCAATGTGTACAGCTCGAGTACGACTGCTATGTCCTCCCGACGACATCTTGACGTGTGCTTGCATATCCCACGACACCAGGACTCCTTGGTGTTCGCTCGTGATGCGAGTCCCGCGCACTTTTTACACTACACGTTCCCCCAAACCCACTGAACACCTCTCTTTAGGTTAGCCCGTCCTGCACTCGCGTGATACGATATACTGCATTTCCCTCAACGGGATAATACGTTCATTACCTTGACGACCTTCTCACGAAGTCGCGGCCACGAGATGTACCATAATGTTGCGCGATACCGCATCCTACTCTTTCTACTCTGTACTGACAACACCGGATACCCACAACGAATCTACACTGACACGGCCAAGCGTGCCCATAGCTCGTTAATTATAGTTTCACTTGCATCCGCTTGACGCTTCGTGGCGCTCCTTTAGCGCGCTCTATTTGAAACACACATCAGCAAGTGATGTTTCTACATCTCTCGTTTTTTCCTTTTTCCCCAACAATTGTTGGGCAAATGTAATGCTCCATTCGAAACTGAAGTAATGAACGCATTAATAAAACAAGACGAACGTGTATTTCCAATGGTTGATTTTATAATACAACAGCTTTAACATTGTACATAGACGATTTTTTGACAATATAACAGACGAATTGAACGTACAAAATAAAGCGACGAGAATAGACTAAATTATAAAAATTTAATTAATTGTAAATCCTTAAAATATTAAAAAACGTTTACAATTCTACAAAATTATACAAAACTATACTTAATTCTTTGTCTATTTTCTTGGCAGTAATGCTTCGCGAAATACCACGTTATCTTGCATCAATAGTCAATAAAAAATAACGAATAAGTGAATTTTTTAAGTCATTACATGCATGTGCATTGTTTCTAATACTTTCTTCCTTGAAATATTCCTTTAAAATTAATGGCTTGAAAGTTCTTTGCTTTGAGCGCTTCATTTAATGAACTATATAGATTTTTTTTGCAAAGTTCGAAATATTATTTGTTCTACTGAATTGAAGCAGTTTCTTGAACTATTTTTTTTTTTGTGTTTTAATTACTGATGGCCTGATAATCTACTTAATAATTAAGGCTTGACGGCCATACTCCTATTTGCATTTACAATACAATATAGGCTATTTGCTATCTAAATGATCCTTCGTTATAATAATATAAATGTCGTCACCGATTTCCCAAATAATAACTTAATCGTAATAAAATGAAGCTTGTCATTAAAAACCAACTTGCAGGGATGGATGCCAGTACGTAATATCTTTCATCTGGAACATTAAAAAAATCAAACATAATTGAGCTTTGGTTTAAAACTCAATTGTGAATACTCAATATTCTCTCACACAGTTTCACTCATATATAAATATCACCTTACTCATATGTAAAATATCACCCAAAACAGTATATCATTACTAAACAACCTTAATGGAAATTAAAAACTTAATTTTACTATTTTATGAAGAAATCGCATTACCATCAATATACTGGCTCTTTTTATTTATAATAAACGCATGCAGATAACGGAATAAAAAATTAATAACGAGATAAATTACGAATAATTGGATATAACTGAATAATAAATAACTTTAAATACACTCATAATATTCTTACATTCTTGCGTGATATTATAAAGTTTACCTGTCATTTGATCAGATTTCTTTACTGCCGCCCAGCCTAAACTTCTTTCAACTGCCATCTTCCATTTTTTATACCTAGCATCTCTTTCTATAGAAAGAAAAAAAAACATTTTATGAAAGATAAAATATGACATCATTAAATTTAAAAATCTTTTACCTTCTGGCGTTGTCGTTGGTAAAAATGTATCACTAAGTACTGTTTCTATATTTTCACCTTCTAATTCCCAAACATCTATACCTTCTGCATGACCTGCAGCCATTGCAGCACCTAACGCCGTCATATCTGGCATTGTTGATCTGACTAAAATATATGAGCATTAATGCATACATTTATTTATCTCTCAAACTATTTAATAAAGTACTTACATACTGGTGTACCGCAAAGATCTGCTTGCAGTTGCATAAGAAGATTATTTGTTGACATTTTTCCATCTGTGTTTAATTTGGTCAATGGAAAACCACAATCTTTATACATAGCTTCCAAAATATCTCTAGTTTGGAAACAAACAGCTTCCAATGATGCTCTTATTATATGCTGTTTCGTTGTAAATGCAGTAAGACCACAAATAATTCTGTAAAAATAGAAGTCTAAGTAAACATATGTATACTAGGATCTCATATCAGGCTCTGATAAAGTGATATTTACCCTCTCGCATCTTTTCTCCAATACGGAGCGTACAGTCCTGTAAAAGCTGGCACAAAATATACATCGCCCGTACTAAAAACACTTTGAGCCAAATGTTCGCTTTCATGAACATCCTTAATAAGTTTCATATTATCTCGTAACCATTTAATAGCAGCACCTGCTACCGCAATTGAACCTTCCAGTGCATAAACCGCTGGACTTCTTGGACCCAGCTGATATGCCACCGTTGTAACTAATCCATGAGAAGAATACACACGCTAAAAATTGTAAAAATTTATAATTTCTGATCAAACACTCTGCCGAATCATATTATTTTCTATATTACATACTGTTGTTCCCGTATTACATAGCAAAAAGCATCCACTTCTATAGGTGTTTTTCGCTTGTCCCTTCTTTAAACAATTTTGTCCGACTAACGCTGATTGCTGATTTCCTAAAATCTAAAAATATCAAATATTATATATTTGACGTAGATATATATAGAATTTTCTGAAGTATACATGAGAAATGTAACTTACACCAGATATAGTGATGCCCTTCAACGGACCAACTGCAATATTTCCATAAATTTCAGAGCTGCTCTTAATCTCTGGCAATATTTGCATAGGAATGTCGAAATATCTGCATAATGTTGGATCCCATGAAAGAGTCTCTATGTTCATTAACATGGTCCTTGATGCATTCGTTACGTCAGTAATATACAATCCACCGTCTTTGCCACCCGTTAAGTTCTGTAACCATTTTTCAATGAATTCTCTGGATCATGAATGTCATCATCTACTCATTCCTTTTGCTGTAAGGTACAATAATTGTTTTCGTATCCTAGACAAGTTCTACGTTCAAGCCCACAGTACTCACATACCCAAACAACCCAGGTATCCATTGTCCCCACTTTGCATCGCCTATCCCGTATCGCTTTTCTAACAGTGGGCACGTTATCCTTCATCCAACGAATTTTTAGAGCAGAAAAATACGGGCTCACTGGTAAACCACATAATGGTTTAATATGATTTTTACTTTGATCCGGAAACTTAGCTATTATTTGATCGACAATGGAATTCGTTCTTATATCGGACCACACTGAAATGATAAAAGCATTAATAAGCATTCTGTATGGATATTCTGTATTTGATCAATCCGATTATTATCAGAACACACCTATCGCATTATGTAATGGTTCACCGGTCGTTGCATCCCATGCTAATGTAGTTTCTCTTTGATTTGTAATACCGATCGTTAATATATCTTCCACCTTTGACCCAAACACATCCAATTTCCGAATAACATCTTTAATGCACGCTTTTATTGCAAAAAGGATCTCTTTTGGGTCCTGTTCCACCCATCCTTCGTGCGGACTTATTTGTTCTACGTCGATTTGATGAGATGCCACTTCAGCTACATGCTTTGCATTGAACACCTACAATACAAGTCAATTTCATGTTTCCTTCATAGAAAGATATACGTTTAGTTAGTAAGTCATTAATGTTAACAACTGTATATATATGAGCGACATATACGTTGACAGTATAATAGGATCTAACGTGAGAATCGACTCATTTAACTATAACCATACATTTAACTATAACAGTGTCTCACCACAAAACGAACGGTCCGCGTGCCAACATCAATTACTCCGATAAGGGGACCCGGTTTCTTTGTCGAGATCGGCATTGTATCTGGAAGACAAGCGCAATATTTTAATTCGTTAACATTACGTTAACATTGCATTGACGTTACGTTTGCAAAATCTGGCAGGCAGAATCTTGAAGTTCAATGTAAGAAGGACGCGACATTTATTTATAATATACGTCCTACGATTTCATTCAAACAATGTTACTGACATCGAGATGGATGTAACGATTCTGCCCTACTCTTGTTACAAAGGCAAAACTTAATAACATAATGAAGAATATTCATGTTCTATTATCATGCTTTATTATGTTCTTCGATAACCCGTATGTTGCTTGAAACGATGATAATTAGATTAGAGATGAGCTAGACACGTGGTTCGCACGCAACTTTCGTGAAATCTCTCCTACAACCCGACTATTAATCTCCTATTGTGTTTGCAAAAGCATTTTGTAACTCTCATCCAATAAGCTTATGTTATTAAATTTATCTATTGTTGCGCTCTGTATTCTATGTTGAAACGTTATACAAATCTAGAAACCTATTTTCCTCTAACTTCCCGCTTTCTACGTATCTATATATGTAAGCTCCTCAATATTAAGTTGAACTTTCATCGATTGTTCTTCGATCGTTTGCTAATCAAATCAATCAATTACTGATCTTAATCTGATCGACAAAAATTACTTGGTGATACAAGCCTTTTATTTTCTTCACTAATTTAAGGTAAATTCAGTACGAAATCGCAATAGTACTAAATTCAATTCTTTTCACTGAAGAGGGTTCATCTTTCCTTGCGCGAAGATCGCACGAAGATCGAAATACTTACTGATAAAAAACAGAAACACAGACTAAAACACTGTATTCTTCAATTAAAGAAATAAACACTTTTGAATCGTCTTTATTTTCTCTATACCTTCAATTACGTCACTAAATTCTTCTTACAGAAAAAACTATTATTTTTGTTTTACTTTAAAATCCCTTTACAAGTTCAAACGAAGAAGAAAGAATTTGGATGAAGAAAGATTTCAGTACAAATTTCACGGAAGATGTGTACCTCGTTGTGATGTGTCGAGTCGTGTGAAAGAAGCGGAAATGCCCATGTGCGTATCGTTGCGGCTTTTTAAATTGAAATGGAGCAAGAGAGACGTAAATTTATTGTCACTGAAGGCTAATTATCTTTTCCTCCTCTGTCGTTTACAAAATTTGAGATAACCGTGTGATACAAGAACACGAGGGAAGATGTGTATTTCGATACATAAAGAATGTATTTTATTAATGTTATGTGTTTATGTATATGGTTATAGCGTGTCGAATCGTACGAAATTTATGTCAAAGGACACTGCCACCATTGGTACCATATGCATATACAGCATATGAACTTTAAACTGGTTTTCCAATCGTTTTTTGAAACATAATATATTTTTGTTGATCCTCAAGAAAGTCTTTATCTATTACTAGTTGTGAAAGAATGATAATAGAATGAATTTTTTAGAAACGAAACTTTCTTGTAACAGATACGCAAATAGGTCACAAGAAAAAAAATATCTCGAGAAAAAATCGAAATTATATAAAGTACATGTTATATAATGTAACGTGTATGTTGTGAATATTAATATTTGTATAAGTGTTTGAATATCATAGAATGAAGTTTTCCTCTTCGTATTTCTTTTCCAGGAAAAGACGTAGAATTTTTTATTTATCGCTGTTGTCACACTCAATTCTTTTTGCGTCAAGTGTTACTGTTACGTAAATATAAATATAGCTTATCTATGTAAATATAGATTCATAACTGTAACAGATCTGGTAAAAATTTTGTGATCTGAGTGCCATTATTATTGACATTGTTCAACTGTATACATTCTATAATAATTCGATATTGTACAGTTATAACACAGATCTAACATCATTCATCTTTCCGAAAGTATCAATTAACAACATGTAATAACCCAAATATCTTCTTAAAAATCGTTGCGCACCATTCGACACGTTCTTTGCAACACAAAAAATGCTTATACTAAATCCCAAATCTTCATCATAAGAATAAAGTAAACATAACTAATATCAGATTTTATGTAGTGTATAAGGATCTCCTTTCCTTAGGTGGAAGAACTCTACACAAGAGAAAAATTCCAAAAAATTCATGCTTTCACCTTTCTCTCTCTTTCTCTCTCTCTCTCTCTCTCTCTCTCTGTTCCTCCTTTTTCATTACGGTCTCTCATTCTTTCTTCCAATACGCTCAATATGCCATACTTCCTTGACTCGTAAATTTTGCTGCATACTCTTCGAATCTAAAACTTTCGATCAAATTTAAGTCCAGAAGATTCTCCTGCAAGTTGCTCCGAATAACAGTACGACACGCGATCTCGTTGCATTGAGGAACTGCACGTGCAGGAATACAATTCGAAGTGTGTAACACGCGCGAAACATGTCACCTTTCAGCATGCGGAATGCATCGTGACGTTGTGCGGCAAAAATGGGCCGGATTGGTCAGTGGTAGATATGTTTGTACGCGTCATTATCGAGTAACACTTAATATTGTACAAAGTACCAATCCTTAATTGTTTACGCGGTGTTACATAACAAGCTATTAACTTGCATTTTTGCCTCCTTTTTCTTAACTTTGTTCGTCTGTGAAATAGGTCCGTGCTATTCGACCGAGTTACGCTATCGAGTTTGTTCTTTAATGGCAAAAAGCGGACGAAAGTCCTGAGGGAACGAAGCTCATCGTAATGTGTGACCGTTTTTGAAATATTTTTGCATTTTTTAATTTCACGTTTGAAGACGTCTCTCTTCTCATCTACCGTAATTGGGGCATACATATGTAAACGCATCTTACGATACTTGTAATCGGTTTTCTTTTAATTCTAATTAATGAATTGCTTTGCATTGGAATATCATAATATGAACATACATATGTTATAACGTGAGTATAAGTTCTCTATTGCTCAACGGTAATAAAAGACGATGTATATAAATTTCCTCGTTTCGAAAGCCAGAAACTATTTTTAAAGTGATCGTGAATCACGTGATCCCTTGAATACCTGATTTGATCATGTTTACCTTCAAAATATAACGATCCTATACTCGCATAATTTGGCAATGGAATCCGCAAGTCCGCAAGACACGAGGTCATCAATCTCGTGATACTTCACGCGATGCATTATACACCACCTGGTGTTGCATACATGATGCCAATGCTCGTTGTTTCGATTGCAAAACTCGATATCACGTGTTTCAATACAAATATGTATATTTCTCACACGAGAGCATCCTCGCGAGTATTAGCATTATTTTGTAAACATTGAATGTCACAGTTATTTCATAAACCAACTGATATTATACCAATAGTAATTGAAAATTTAAAATTTAAACAATTTCATTTACAGTGTTAGAGCCAATGAATTTTAAAACACGTACACTCAAAATCATAAGCCACGTTGAATTTGAAATCTTTTTATCAAACTCTTTTGTGTTATGGATGTACGCATACATCGATATCTACGAGCTACAAAATATGCAAATGTAGTTACAATGTGTAACATATTGTACAGGATTACACAGGATTACATAGGATAATTAATCACGCACTGTCGCACAGTGCGTGATTAATTATCCTGTATCTTTCTGTATTTTGCCACTACTAATGCAATGCGGAATTACAAACACGCGTCTTTCTATGCTTTTTTCAACCGATCCGAAAATTTCTGACTTTTTATCATGTGTAACATGTCGTTTTGTTTTTTTCTTTACGTTCATAAATGCTAATCAATATCGACGGATTAAAAGTTGATATTTCCTCTTATCGCGTATTAACGACAAAATATTTCTGATAAGAACATTGTCGCCACGTAAAACGCTCGCGGCTAAAACGATTAACTTACAAACAACCTAACAAAACTTAAGAAAAATCGAATAATTCTTGGTAAATTTCTAAAATTGACAACGATGTGAAGACTCCTTTAATATTATGATTTTATCAAAGACAAATCGATCGGACTCACCTTTCTCTTTGAACGAGTAATACTTGAAAATACTCGTCTTGCGACCAGTTTGCGTGCGTTCCAGCTCCAGGAATTTGGAATCGTCGAATGTCCCATCCTCGTCCTCTTCCATTTCTTCATTCACATTCGGATCCCCATTTTTCGTTGCAATCCCTTCCACAGCTTCTTCCTCCATGATCGGTCGATAAATAATTCAGCAGTATCGAAAATGAAACGCGCGCCAAATTTTCACGAAACAGGAACGCAACAACGACTACTTGTGTCTCCGATCACGGTCAAAGTCGAATGATTCGTTACACGGCTCTCTAACTAGAGAAAAAAAAACGAAAGTCAGTTATTAAAATCGTGCTTATTAGTACATTTTAATCCTACTTTCCGATGTATCGGGCACGCTTCGGCCAAAGAGAATACGCGCAAAGCACCGGTGTACTTTTGTCTGTTCACCTTCTGTTTTCCTTACCTCTCGCTTCGTCTTACCCAAAACCGATTACGTATCATCCCAAGTCGCAAATCGTGTTCTTCCTCGTATCTCGTTCTTCGAGAGACGCTTTGTCGTCCGTCTGTTGTCATCACTGGCAACGACTAACGATTCTAAAATTAACTGTCAATCGTTAGAACCCACCGGTTGCCTCGAAATTCGCGCGGTTCCCGTTGTCGTTAGTAGGATTTTCATAAATCCCCGCGCTTTTCAACTTTGCTACTGAAACTCATAATCAGCTACAGCATATATCGTTTTAATTTTTCCAAGAACTTTTCAATTTTATGTATCGAGATAAAAAGATGATTCGATTGGTACAAAATTTAATTTAAGAATCAAGGATACAAGCACGCGTTAAATGTTTCATTTTGCAGTGTAATTAACACTTACTTAGTTTGGCTTGTTAATAATAATTCAATTATCAATATACAAAGTGAAATTGCAAATAGGTAGATATAGATAAGGTGAACTTCAGAATAAAAATGATGCTGTTGTTATTCAATGAAAGCCTGTAACAAATACATTCCGGATATAAACTGCAATAAATAAAGGACTGAAATGAAAGTCATGAAACAGCAAAGAAACAAAATTTAGTGTCTACATGTATGCAAGAAACGAAATACATACAATTATTGAAATAAAAATTGCAAAAAGATAGTCCAGTGTTACTTCCACAGTTAGTTTTACAAAGTAAACAAACAATTTTCGATGACGACACGGTCGTAAGGCTGTACGTAAAAGTACCGGACACATGATGTGGTCTGTAAAATGGCCGCATAATGCGCTGATTTTTACCTGGGAAGCTTCGGACTACCCGAAAGCATAAGTAGTGACCTGTTCTTATATAGAAACTGAACGCGAAATTAAGCACTTGTGAGAAAACAACAAATCTTCATAGCCATCTAGCGGCAAAATTGGAACTAAAGCTTCTATCTGCTGCTGTTTTAAGTCGCTGTACTACTTGGCGCGAAAATATAAAACTCCCTATTTGCAATCGCACAAAAGCAGATTTTCTTTTAATATTTACATGACGTCATGATTAAATTATGTAATAGTTATTTCAACTTTACATTGCTCACATGTACATTCTGTTTTAAGACATTTTTGTTAAAATGAAAAAATTAACACAGAAAACATTTTTCTATAAAAATTAAATAAAAACTCCGAAAAACGTTACGGAAAATAATTATTTATTTATTTGATAATTGTAGCGTGACTGACAAAAGTAACATATATGAATTAAAATAGTTATGACCTTGTCTAACTATATCACCAATTATATTTAATGCCTGCCCCCAATGTGAAGCTAATTCATTTTCCAGTACGTGATGTAATTTGATTTTTTATGGACAGAATCAATACGAATGCAATGCAGTAATGCGTAACGATATATAAAATCTGGAAATAGAGTACGTTTAATTGGCACAAGTTTTCTTTGTAAAATAATTGAATGTCTCTTTCTCCAATATATTTTAGTGATGTAATTAACCACAAAGTTGATTTAAGTATGAAAGTTTTAGTGATTATATCTCTGTGCATAAATCAGTGAAACATAGTAACACTTCATTTCGATATTCGTAGTTAACGTGCGTCACCCACGTGCTATGGAATTATGGGATTGTTATATTATTTTGCGAATTACGATGAAAAAAAAAACACGAATTATAAATGAAACATCTTTATTAAACAGTTTCTTGTGACTGATGATCATATTCTTAAGAAAAGGAAAGTTGTTTAAGTCATCATAGTAAGAAAAACGCGAAAAATACTTACAAAAATGTTGCAGTTGACGGCCGGCAGATGAACACCTAACGCCCCAATGTGGACGTAATTATGACCAGTATTTGAGTGCACAATCATCGACACTATTTTTAATTTAATTCATGTATCCGACTGACAGTAACAAATAAAAATCGAAGAATGGAATATTGGATGCACGTATAGTAAAACATGTTACTTGTCATATTTTTTACTCTACTGTACCACGGCTTATTGTCGTCTAGTGAAGAACTCAAGGCACTAGCTGCAGACACACATCGAGGCTAGTGGCTTGTACATATAATTATTCTTTCACTGGCTCACTTTAGATGCGAGTAGTGATATTTAACGTGGCAACACTGCGTTTGCAAATGTCGGGAATCAGGAGTCCTACTTTTAGTATTTTATACTATAATGTACAGATAGATTCGATCAACCTTTTCCTACAAAAATTGATTTATATATACTTAATCTTTCTTGTTATTATACATAGATATTATAATTGTAGTAAAGTAAAAATTACATATGTGCATTTGAAATAAATAGGACAGAATATTTGTATATACTATACTACTAAAACACTGTAAAAAGATTAAAATAAAAGTTAATATATATAAATAAGAAATAACAAACTTGACTTATTACCTATTGTTCATTGTTATTTAGTATGTCAGCATGTTCTACTGCAAATGAATATTTTACAAAATTGAGAGTTATATTGATAAGGTTATATTTACATCGAATGATCCCAACATTGTTGCCAGTATTTTCATTATTTTACTGTAAAGCTAGTAAATTGGCGCATGAAATAGAGGAACAAAAAAAAGTGTAACTGATTATTTCTAAAAATAAAATTGTAAAAATAAACTCGTATACTAACCAAAAGTTTCACATTTGCAAATAAAATCATAACAGTAAGCATAGGAAATGAGTATTTCTTTTGACTTGATATTCACTCATATCATTTCATGTGCCAACTTATTAGATATACATAGTACTATGTAATAACATATAGTTTGTTATGGCATAATGCAGTAGAAGAATAACCTCAAAACTATCAATTCTATTATATATTAAATTATTTAATATTTTGTATATAACAATATAACAAATGTAAAATGATTCCTAATTTAACTACGCATCAACAAGATGTTGTCGATCCTGTTGAAGAAATGTTAAAAAAGACTGGGTGTATGGAAATTCATTATGAAGTTCAAGTATTAACCTAACATGTGTAATTATAGAATCATATAATGTAAAAATTTTAATTTTTTATTTTTACATTTGTAGGAGTGTATAGCAGAAAGTCAAGATTGGAGAAAGTGTCAAGAGCAAGTACAAAAATTCAGAGTGTGTATGGAAGAATATCAAAGAAAAAGAGAGGAGTCATACTCAAATAAATAAATATGACATTAATAAATTATATAAAACGTATATTTATTCATCCTATAAAATACTTAAAGAGTGAACATTATAAAATGGTGTTAGTCGTAAGATCAGATATAACTATGGGAAAGGGAAAGACTGCTGCTCAATGTGCCCATGCAGCAGTAGAATGTTATCGTCAAATATCAGCTAATAAGAAATATCAAGAAATATATGAATCTTGGTTAGTGCAAGGTCAACCTAAAATTGTGTTGAGAATATCTAATGAAGAGAAACTAATGTTATTAGCTAGTAATGCCCGTAAAGCTGGTTTAATTATTTCTATAATAAAAGATGCAGGTAGAACTGAATTAACACCTGGTACAACATCTACTCTTGGAATCGGGCCTGGTCCAAAACATTTAATAGATAATCTTACTGTACATTTAAAGTTATTATAAAGTTATTTTTATTAAAAGTGTATAGAAAGTAATAGTGTTATTTAAATAAATTTATAATTGATTTAAAACTTATGTTTTGATTAATACTTTATTAATTACTAAAGCATTGTTTTTCTATTTAGCTTTCATACAAGAGGATATCAACAAAATGTAATTATTAAAAACTCTATGTATTAAAAAACATACATACAGAATAATTTTAATTAGAATATCTTTAGTTATCGTGCTATTTCATGACACACAATCCTGCATGCAAGCTTATGCCAGCATAATTTGCATATATTTGTTTTTTTATTTTTGAAAGTACCATAATCTATCAATAATAGGTATTTTCACATACATTAATTTTACTCCAAAAATAGAATGAACATTTGTACATGTCCTAGGAATATCAAACATTTTGATCCTCTTTATAAAATAAAAAAGCATTGCTATGCATAAACAATTTTTTTAGAATTATTTTATTTACATCTTTTTTAGTGTGACTTTATTATGAAGAAAACGTTATGGTCTTAGAACTTTTTGCATCGTTAATAATTTATTTTTGTAAGTATTAGCATATTAGAATTATTGTATCTTCAAATATACATGTACACAATTTATGAATATATTAGATCAATGTTTTATTATTTTAATATTTAATTTGTTACAAGATTGAGCAAAGAAGTTATAGTTGGCTGTAAGTTCATGAACCAATACTAATGAATGAAACTTTTGCATAAAGCATCATTATATGTTTCAAATAGAATATATTTGAATATTTTGTGACGCCACTTATTTAAACAATTTGTTTAAAAAAAATATAAAAAAATAGGTTTAGATCAAAAAAATTTTAAGATGACCATTGTTAAAATACATATAAAAGACATTTATAATAATTCTATTGATTCAAATACAGTATCTACTGCAATATAATACTGAAAAAATTATTAATGCATATAGGATATTTTTTATAAGAATCTTATGTATAATATATTGATGAACAATTTCATTTATATACATTAGAATCATACATGTCTTTACAAATATATGCTAATAAAATTAATATAAAGAGAATTGTATCAGTTTATTTTCAGTTTCCATATTTTCCTAAAATGTGCATTAAAATAGTTTGGATACAAAGGAAATGTACACAAGTATAGAATATGTATAATAAGCAATAAAAGATTAAGAAAACTAAAATCTTTCGTGAATACAATTGTGTACGATTACCTTATTGAATTTTTTACATATAATTAATAGATAATGGTTGTAAATCAATAATTGGTATTAAATTCTTATGATTCAAGAGTATGACATTCTAAGATCGACATTTTACATTACAGTGATAGGATTGCATTTAGTAGTATTGTAAATAGTAGAAAATATAAATAAAGACTATGTATACAAGTACCATTATATATAACATAATAATCCCTTAGATGTTAAATACTGATTATTATTATGCTAATTATTATTATGTACAATGGCATAAAAGTTATATAGAATATTTTGCAAAGGACGATAAAAATTTTAAAGAGTATATTTATTAATCAAAATAAAATAAAAAATTAAACTTTGGTAACTTACTTAATTACTGGCACGTAAAAATGAAATAAAATACGAAGATCCGGCAAAATGACAAAAAATAAAATGACTCAAGTTTACCAACACATATCTATGTCTATTGTCGTGTTTATTGACTTAGTGGTCATAAACATGCTTTAAACACATCTGGTGGATAGTATATCTAGGACTTGTATTCTTATTTAAAAGCGATTTTCCTACCATAATGATTTTTTGTTTAGAAAAATTTCAGAAAAACAGACTTCAATTGACGAAACCAAAACGTGTTGGAAGAACTAAGTTATCGCAATAATTTAGGATATTGTTTTTATTTATGTTAATTTTTGTAGTTGTTTTCTCATTTTTTATTTCGTATATACGTGTTTGTATATGAATATACTGCAGAATACATTTTTCATTTGTCTTGTCTTATGTTTACATATTGTTACCTTTTTCTTAACCCGGGATTACCCACGTGGGGGTCTAGTCGCCGGGATGTACCTGCGCTAGACCCCAGAGTGGGTAATCTCGGGTTAATTATACGCCGTTGCTGCATTATTTAAGTTGCCCTATATTCATTTAGTGAACTCTACCGGACTTCCATTTGGTCGATTTTTAAATATCGATTTCTAAATAAAATTTCAAATGAAACTCTTTTTCCTCTTTATTTTCATCTTATCTTGGTTTATAAAAGCAACCTTTAAATTCTTTACCATCTATTACCAAACACCCTATAAGCAATAGAAATAGAAAATAATATCTATTTATATCTACTTTTTTAAATTAGAAAATAACAATATATATTTATATCTACTTTTTTTAATTAGAAAATTACTTAAAGATACTCATATCATACTCACCCATTTTATTCTTCATTGTGTCAATTATTGACTTCCTATCACAAATGTAAATTTGATTATTAGTGTATCTCTAATTACACAGTGTTCAGAATATGTCAGTCTCAAGTATATAGCAGAGTAATATCAACTCTAAAAATTTTTGTTATTTGGCAAACAGCATGTGTCAAACTATAAGTTTGAATTTTCATATCTGTGATGCTTTGCCTTTTGTGTCTTGACATTAAGCAATTATTTTAGTAAGTTCTGGAGGTTCTACATAATTATTCAATACATGTGGCGCTTCATTAAATTCATCAAGTTCATCTCCATTATCAGCTCCTTGTGCAAGTAGAAAATATTGTTCGCTTCTTGTTGGCCAAAGTAAATGTGCCATTACACAATATGCAAAGCAATCAGCAGAATATGTAATACCTACAAACATAAAATGCATAAATAAAAATGATATCATATTTATAATTTTATGATATACTTACCTAATAAGAGTTTGAACCTCCATAATGCACTTACTTGAAGAGCAATAAGTGCTATAATAGGTAAATAAATGAACCAAACCAATGATGATGCGCCAAAATGAAGTAGAAAATTTAGTTTCTGAGTATTATGTTCATATGTCATAGTATTTCTAAGTTCACATAAAAACCAAATCATTATTGCACTACGAAATAGAAGTATAAACCAGCCTGGCCATGTTTGGTATTCATCAATATCTTCAATAATGTCAACTTCAGTCTGAAAATATTAATTCTGTACTTAAATGAAATTACATTTCTACAGGAAAAAATATGAATAAAAACATACCATGTTCCACACATATAGTAGAATATGAACCACTCCATAACAAAGCCATATAGTAAAAACCAATGGCTTCCATGTCAATTCCATTCTAGTTACTGCCCATCCTTTCGCAAGTAGGAGAAGAAGTAACATGAATGATGTCTAAACCGCATAAAAATAATTATGTAAAATTACATAATTACAATATAACATATGTTAAAAAGAGAAAAAATGATTTGTTGGAACTCACTCTTGATAAAATATCAAAAATATCTCCAGCAACTTCTAACTGTTCATATCCTACTCCGTCAAGAGCAAATTTCAACACGTGTATCAATATTAAACATACTGCTATAAACTCCAATAATAGACTAGCTGTGAATAATCTGGTTACAGGATGCTTTTGTAATCTTACAGCATATAATTGCAATGGCACAAGTATGATGTAACACATAAAAAACAACAAGTACAGTTCTATAGTATTTTGTCTGTCATACGAAAACTGATATGTCAAGCTATTTAGGCCACTAGTATTTGGATTTCCATTTACTAGCCAAATATCATATTCTAATTCGTCATGTTTATCATAGTATTCCCACTGACAAGTAGTTGTATTTCTATAACATGCCACTAGGCTCATATACCAAAAACGTGGCTGCCAAAAATCTTGTATGACGTATGTGAATTGATATCCTTTCACAATGTTCCATATGGAATCTTCATCCGGACATAATTTATCTTTTGGACAAGGTATTCTCCTTCATAAAAAAAGGAAATTAAGTGAAGTTTCAAACGTCACTTTAAAAACTTACAGAATTACAGAATATTACTTTAAAGAATTTAAAAAATATAGAAGCAAATTTAAAGAAACCATATACCTTAAAAAATCTTGTCCTTCTTCGTTACAGTGTACATCATAAGAACTTTGATTTAAAGTATTGAACATAAGAGTGCAAGCAGTGTTTTTATCTTTTAATGTACGATTACCATAGTATTCTAAAAAATGACTACGATCCAAAACTGCTAATGTGATTGGAACAGGAAAGTGGCTTTTTGATGTCACATTACCGAAAATATATCCATATGAATCTCTCTGCCGATGACGATCGGTTTTTTGGAAACCGAATTTTATGAGGAAACGAAAGAATTCCTTTGTATTAAAAGTGCCAGAAATATGTGTACTTTTAACGTAATTGATTTGCGACAAAGTACACAATGCGAGGCAGACCAACAAAATTTCTTGAAGTACCAACATTGTTAAGTTGTACTTGATATCTTGTTCCTCAAATTAGATGTCAAGAAGCATCAATCACGCAGTTTTTTAACATTTTCTTCTTATTGAACACAGCTGTTAACGTTAACTGAGTGCACACTATATTCAGTCAAATTCCCGTTGTCTATCAAGAGACGCCACATTTTGAAAGCGTCATTGTAAAGATTTCACGAACACAAATATATTACACGCATATCGCAATATTAAAAAATATCACTACACGATTTATTCGTTAAACGTTAATAACCCATACTTGCGATTTAAACTCGGTTTTCCTATTGATTTTCCCCACCCAAAGAGACTGGCTGCTGCAAAACGTTTTGTCACTACTATTACCGCACCGTTTTCATAAATTTTCGCGCGCTTGCATAGAACACTTATGTTTTCGGCTAATCTATCCTGTCAGTTCTTATTTGTTTGGAATTTGTTTTCACATTAAATTATGTAAATTGAAAAAAGCAAAGCGACAGATTCATTTGCACGTATTTTATTTTTCTTCTGATTAAACAATTATTAAATGCAAGTGAAACATAAATTGAACATTTACGTTTAAATTTTACGATGAATTCATTAAAATTATTCTGGATACGCATGTATTTAGACAATTGTTCCAAACTCAATGTTATTTTTAAATAATTGGGACATAACCTCAATGTGAAAATTTAGCAAAAACGAGTTGTAATTTAATTATGAAAAAAGAAGATAGAACAAATTAACACGTTTAATTTTATTTTTATTAATTTTTAGCGAAACACAATTGTAAAGTCTTTCCAAATTTTTAAAAATTAAACCTTTTTCTATTTATATAAACCATTGTGTACCATTGTACATTGCCATAACTATCTTAAATTAAAATAATAAAGTACGATTTATTTTTGCACATATGCTGCCAGTTGTGTAAACCATGAACATAAATTTCTTAAGAGTTATAGTTGCTATTTCCAAATGAAAACACCCTTCTCGAAGTTTCCGACAATTGAAAATACCATTTATTTTATTCATTGAGAAATTTTTTTATGTAACATTATTTCGAAAGATATAGCTGAAATTGTTGGAATTTCCCAAACTGCTGGCGCACCCTATGTAAACGTATTGTACTTTTATAACTTCGTCTATAGATATGTAAATTATGTTTATATGTGTACGTATATGTGCGAAAAAAACTTGATTAATTACATAAAATCATACACATATACATAATTCATTATGAATTTCAATTGCCACAATACGTATTAAGCAAAAAACGTAAAATTGTAGATTAGAACATCAAAAGACGAGGATAAAGGAATAACAAAATAAATTCTGTATATCGATTACAAAGTATTATAGTGTAACAATTTTCTAAACAAAACATTTTATTAAGAATTAATGATATTATATAGCTATATAACAAATGATGTTTAAAGCAAGATGTCTACTTTAGACAATTAAGCATCGCTTTCATGTCAGATGATTAGCTGTCTCGATAATTTTCCATAATTCGCATTGAAACAATCACTTTATATATTTACATTATATCTCATATGACTATTATATCTCTTATATATTTATATTATGATGTATATAAGGAGAATTTAACATTTTGTTGTAATAAAACCTGTAACAGATTTTTACGCGCAATAGATGCTTAGTAGCCATCTTATAATGCAATCTTTATGTCTACATCACATGATTTATATTATTATGTATTAAAAAAAAAAATTATTTTTTAAGAACCGCTATCGGTTCTTAGAATTTATTTAAGTGTTTTAAGATTCTAAATAATTATTGCCATCTTATAAAAATAAAAATGATTTGACAGCAAGCTCATGTTAGACTCACATCATCAATATATTGTTTCCCTTTTCGTGAAATTTTTTTTTTCTATGACAATTTTACTCTAATAAATTTAATGTTTTTATCAAAATATAGTCTAAGTCTAACAAAGGAAGAAAAATCAAACAATATTGCATGATTTGTAATGAATATCTCGCTTTTTTATTCACTAATGAGGTTATGACTTTTGTGCATCACATTCGAGACAAACGTACTGAATCGCTTTTTTCCCCGATTAATTCTTTATATATTTTAGTTGTTTTACCATTATTCTATGTCATCGATGTACGATTCAGTTAAAATTACATCAATTTTATACCATAGATCATTGAGTTATAAAACATCAAGACAGGCTTCGTCGTCCATTCTCTAGAAGACTATGCATTCCGGCAGTGCCTATTTTAAATTCGTAATTTTACAACCATTAATCAAATTTTCACGAAAAATACTTGATAATTAGCAGCGTCGGTCCTACTAGAATGATTAATAATGAAAATTTCCTATTAATTTTGCGATAACTGAAGAATTATTGTTATTTTTCCACAAGCTATCCTGATGCAGTGAAGAGATACTCGTTCGAAAATCATGCCGTGCACGAAAGCAAATAGCATTTAGTGGGAAATAAAAGCTACTAAATAAAACCAGATACACGTGGCTATTTGTTCATGTACTTTTTGTATCTTGATCGACGCATTACTTTAAATAATCATACTTTAATTTAAACGATTATTTACCGCTTCACCGTTTTTAGAGAAACCCAGCGCTCAACATATTCAGCAGGCCTCTCTCTATGGTCGGCGCTCTCTGGTTATATACGCGTAAACAGGGGTGCCTGATCATTTCTCAGTATTATCAGTACATGAGTCGTGTAATTGTTTTTTGCTGAATTTCGTTTCATTTGACGAAGAAGGGATTATTTGCATTAATAATTGGTGAAATGGAGGATAAGACACATGGTGGGAATACTTCTGTGGAAGGTGTGGAGAGTAACACTTCAGCCAAGAAGACTGCGAAGCCAAAGTCTGCGAAATCGCAACGTCCGAAATCGTCTCATCCACCAACTTCCGAAATGGTAAATTCTGCCATTAAGGAATTGAAAGACCGTAAGGGATCATCACTCCAAGCGATTAAGAAATACATTGCAACAACGTACAAGGTTGACGGAGAGAAATTGGCGCCATTCATAAAAAGGTACTTAAAATCGGCCGTTACTTCTGGCGCTGTTGTTCAGACAAAAGGTAAAGGTGCCTCTGGATCATTCAAACTGTCAACAATTAAGGGATCCGAGTCGAAGAAGATTCACCGAACTGTCAAAGTATCAAAACTGAAGAAAGCTAAGAAATCCGTGGAAAAGAAAACTACACCGGCACGAAAGCCTGCCTCGACGAAGAAACCAAGCTCTCCGAAAAAGGCTGAAAGTGCTAAGAAATCTGCCGTTGTAAAGAAATCAGCCGTTAAGGCAGCACCGAAACCCGAAAAAGTCGAAAAAACTAAACCAGCGACCGAATCGAAAGCTATATCGAAGAGCAAGAAGACGACCAAAGCACCAGCGGCTAAAACGAAAACACCAAAACCAAAGAAGGCCGCGACATCGAAAGCAGTCAAATCAGCAGCAAAGAAATAATTGCTTGATATGGAATTCTCGAATTCTTAAAACCAAATGGCCCTTTTCAGGGCCACAATTCATATTTAATAAGGGACAACATCTTAAGACAATGTAAACAGTATTAGTTTTTTATAAATATACTTATATTTAATATACAATTTACAATAGTTTTCTACGTGACAATAAAAAAAACATAACCTAGCAAAATTATTTTTAAATTAGTATCGTTTAAATCTACCTAAAAATCTAAAGCTACGATTTTTTGTTATTTATTCGACTTGAATTACTCCTGAATTATTTTTCAAACAGAAGTTATTACTCTGTGAAAGTTTACATCTGCAAAGGGTTATGAACTGACAAGTAGAGTTTCAATATTATAGAAACGTGTATTCTGTTTATATAATACCCACGGAGTGTTTACATCTTTCTACAAGAGTAGAGATAGACGACACGTTTAAAATGTAAATTAATTATATGTTACAACGAATTGGAAATTTGAGGGAATATATTTAGAGGTGTGTTCTTACGAATATTATGAATTTGATTTTCTAAATTATTTCAAGACTGTGATGTTTATTTGAAAACTAATTTTAACTACAAAATTCTTTTTATATTATCGTAACTAGTCTTTCTTTTTCCGAATTTCTAAAAATTACGATGTTATTTTATTACTTAATGAGCCTGTCGTGAAACCCAGTAATGTTTTTCATTTTAGTGTTAATTTGTAAACTAAATTTCAACACTATTTCGAATTGTACAGCAAAGTATTCAAATGTATATAAATATATAATACAAAGCTGAAAAGAAGTTTTGTGGAACGGAAAAATAAGCGATTCCTCTCTCTCAAGTATTGTTATATGATTTTATTTGTACGTGCTAATATACATGTTTATTTTTATGATTACATTCTTTCATGCCCCGAATAATAGCAAGTACCTCATATTTCGTGTTAACCCGAGATTACCCATCTAGGGGTCTAGCGCACGTACATCCCGGCAACTAGAGACTCTCACGTGGGTAATCCCGGGTTAAATATCAATGAAAAATTTAAGATTTCATGGTCTCTTAATACGATTCACACTAGGCCATCAGTGCAAGCAATCATGTTTCGGTTATCAGAATAAATAAATTAAATGAAACCTAAATCCTTTTATCTAGAATTTTACAAAGACAACTCATTGTATTTCATTTTGTACAGTGAAGCATAGTAAAATAAAAATTTATATTTCCATTGTACTTTCTCTTTTTCACTATTTAATTTATTAATTTTATTACCTACAGTGATTGATATTCTTAGTCTTATCTCATTAATATAATTATAACATTAATTCAACATTCCTGACACATTTTTCACACATAATAAAATATTAAATTTTTTCATTTTTCTGAACAAAAAGTGTATTCAAATTAAATTCAATCGAAATTCATTTTATTGGAAAATTCATAATACTTTGTTAGTCTTTTGATGAATTAATTATTAGTTACAACTGCAATAGTAAAATATTGAACTTAAATTCTTTGAAAGTTTGTCGTCCTTGTAGATTTTTCCTATGAATACCTAAGAAACTACAAGCAGTATAAGACAATGTAAGAGGTAAAAACTATTTGGACATAAGAGAATGTAGAAAAGGAGAAGTTCCCATGTGTTAAACATTTGTGGCCCTGAAAAGGGCCAGTCGAAATAGATTAACTGTTCATTTGGAGCTGGTGTACTTGGTAACGGCCTTTGTCCCCTCACTGACCGCGTGTTTAGCCAATTCACCAGGAAGAAGTAAACGTACTGCAGTTTGAATTTCTCGAGACGTAATTGTGGATCGTTTGTTGTAATGGGCCAAGCGAGATGCCTCAGCCGCAATGCGTTCAAAAACATCGTTCACAAAACTGTTCATGATGCTCATGGCTTTACTCGAAATACCAGTATCCGGATGCACTTGTTTCAAGACTTTGTAAATGTAAATGGCATAGCTTTCCTTCCTCCTACGTTTCTTCTTTTTGTCGGCTTTACTAATATTTTTCTGGGCTTTACCAGCCTTCTTTACTGCCTTTCCACTAGTCTTTGGCGGCATTGTCGACGATCAGTATTGCTATCTTCACTAACTCACTCGTTCAGAGAAGTTTCACGAATGATTTCTACACCCCTGAATCACCGTATTTATAGGAAACAGGTGCAGCAGCAGCGCACCAATCAGAGTACAGCAGGAAAGAGAGACAGTTGACGCTCTCGTGCTGTCATCTGGAAACGTACAACATATAGGCTAACAATAAATCATAATTATTTCAATATGATTTATTACTGTAAAATTATAATTTTACGAGAAGCACATACGAAATCTGTTCAGAATAAAAGATGAATTTAATTGTATACATTCCTTTAACAATTCAAACCTTATTGAGGTTATACATTAGAAATGTATAGAAGTTTCTTTAACTTTCATTGAATAGACATGATCTAATGAATCGTTATTAGAACTAAATAATATATAATAATATAGGGTATACTATACTATAAAGGTATAGTATATTGAAGTTTTTCTCTAATGTTCAATAATAACATTTATATTTTATGATCCGAAAATGTTAAATACGTTTATTAATATCTATTTAAACTCTCAACTCATTTGATAAAACAATATTAAGTACAAAATATCGAAATCTCATATATTATCTAATGCTTTTTTGTTTAATAAATAAAATTAATTTAGTTTGCAAACAAAATGAATCTTACACCAAATACGAATAGTGAATGATTTACTTGGATTTATTTGGATATTTGTTTCATTAATAATTTATAATCTATTCGATGAGTCGAATCAAGAATAGAGGCGGAAATTCAATTGTAGTTGCACGTTCAATCAACATATTTTCTATTTTTTCTACTTTCTGATCTAATCGACTTGTGTTTTTCTATGCATTCGAAGTATTCAATCTTGTTTTGTAATTATTTAGAAAATCATATTTGTAAATTGGCATTACTAATACGTTTTAAAGTAATAACGTGATTGGAAGTTGCGGATCTTCCAGGTGTATTTTGCCGTGGTAAATGTGAATTGACAAAACACTTTTCTATTCAAATTTTACGGTAAATATTATATATCCCTATTGTGGTATCTATGAATGCATCTCAGCAAATCTTTCTTTTCTATATTTTCTGTAAGACATAAATTTTTCCAAATCGAACGATGCATCTACTAAATCCAACGATTTTAACTACAAAATATGCGATCAAACCAAAATAATTAGGACTGTTCAATTTACAGAATGGTCGTTGGAGTGCTTCAAGAAGCATTTGTCACTTCAAGAGGATGCTTTGTCACTTTAAGAGACCCAGAGATCCATAAACCCAAGTATATTTCATCTATACGGCAATTGCAAGTCAAACACACAAACGTGAGATAATAAATTTTTATATTTAATAATAAAATTTTTTTTAAGTAGATTTTAAAATAAAAATTACAAAAGAGTACAAGGGAAGAGGAACCGGAGGTTCGTTCGAGCACTATCCCCTCCTACGTGGTGCCTACCAATAGAAGAGCTGTAAACTCTATGCGCGTTGTGATTAGTGCTTCACTGCCGCCGTTTCGGAATATATATTCGGAGCAACGGCAATAGAAAAAAAATATCGAGCGAAACCTTGCGATCGAGCGATATTGTTTCAGGAACGATTCGTTATTTTCATCGCTTAATAACATGTCGGGGCGTGGAAAAGGCGGTAAAGTTAAGAGCGGCAAAGTTAAGTCGCGTTCTAACAGAGCGGGACTGCAGTTCCCAGTCGGTCGCATTCATCGCCTTTTGCGAAAGGGAAATTATGCAGAACGTGTCGGTGCCGGCGCGCCGGTTTATTTGGCAGCCGTGATGGAGTACCTGGCCGCTGAGGTTTTGGAATTGGCTGGTAACGCTGCTCGCGATAATAAGAAAACGAGAATCATACCGCGCCATTTGCAACTAGCTATACGTAATGACGAGGAACTGAACAAATTACTTTCTGGAGTGACAATAGCACAAGGTGGCGTGCTGCCCAACATTCAAGCGGTACTATTACCAAAGAAAACTGAGAAGAAGGCTTAGTCTGCCTTTTTAATCAACATTGTAAACGGCCCTTTTCAGGGCCACTAATAAATCTTTACTGATGGAATGATGATCTCGATAATTCGTAAAACATACATAAATCTATATTTTGAGAGTTAAGACATGTAATATGAAAATTATATGTTAACTATAATATATATCATAACTACGTATATTATATATAAACTAAATTTTATTGTAGAAATGGGATATTCAAATATTTTAATTATAAAATTTAGAATTTCTGAAGTACGTGTGTAGTTTTTACGCATAATTATTTTTTTTTAATCATGTTTTAACGTACCATACATTATGATATATCGCTTTGCAACCTTTATTATACATTTACAACGATAATAATATATGTTCGATAAAGATCAACAAAAATCAAAAATAATATATTAGACGCCAAGATGTGGCAACGCTGTATTTTCAAGATGTTCATCTACCGTTCATTTTTTTGTATGTCAGACGATGAACGTTACGAGCACAAAGGAATTTTCTAATAAATAATTGAATATGAAAAAATAGATGCTATTGTTTTCAAATGTTCTTCTAAATTTCGGGAAAATGGATAAAAGCGACATCTCGGTTTTCCGTATTACATCAAAGGCCAAATAGATTATATACAAACATATACTTGCTTAAGTTTATATTAAATTATATATGAATATAATAAAACTGTTTATTCAAAACAAATTGAAGGCAATACCCGATGAATACATTTGTTTTTGAATTGAATTTGAATACATTATAATACATGAACAAAAATTCACTAATAAACACTACACTAAAAGAGAATGAGTATAAATCATTACTATTATTTTAGATTATTACATTAAGTTGTAATTAGAACAACTTTTGTAGAATATATAATGCAAAATAACAATTAAAATGGTAATACGTTCGAAATGAAGTTGAAAGAGTGTTCTCAAGTTGAGAGAAAATTGTGGCCCTAAAAAGGGCCGTTTTGGTTGATATTGGTAATCGCAAGTCAAAACGATTTTACGCTTTAACCTCCAAAACCATAAAGAGTACGTCCTTGCCTCTTCAGAGCGTATACGACATCCATTGCCGTTACGGTCTTTCGTTTAGCATGCTCCGTGTATGTAACTGCGTCACGAATGACATTTTCTAAGAAAACTTTCAAAACGCCACGAGTTTCTTCGTAAATCAAACCAGATATACGCTTAACACCGCCACGACGAGCCAAGCGACGAATTGCTGGTTTCGTAATACCCTGGATGTTATCACGGAGTACCTTCCTGTGACGCTTTGCACCTCCTTTTCCCAATCCTTTTCCTCCCTTTCCACGACCAGTCATTTTGATATGCTACGAAACCTACTTTTCGATGAACTGTCCAACACTGAATTCACTTAGGCTCGAAAATTTGGGCTTTTATATGGTCAAGATACCCCCCACCACAACTCTACGGTACTTTCTTCCCCACTACTTTCGCATCTACCAATCAGAAGCCAATGCACATCGCACCGAGGTTATATATACAGGTAGATACTTTTCCTGCCGTAAAGCATTATTTCAAAACAAAAGTGGTTTTGCATTGATCAATACAAAATAGCAGAATAAAATTACTTAAAGATCATGAAAGATCAAGTTTCGCTTGGAAACACAATGGTGTAGTTTGTTTCAAAAGAAGACCCTTGAAAATAATGACGTGTAAACGTGTGTTTGGAATGTGACAAAACATGCCACTGAAATACGAGTAGACACTTTAGCACTTGAAACTTCAACTGGACCATATGTAACGTTATGTATACAGAAAAGTTTGACACGAAACCAATGTTTTCCTCATTCTTTGATATCTTACAACATTAATTTCTGTTAATTATAAACTTCTATTGAAATGGCGGAATTATTTATTGATTTCAAAACTTTCGTTACAACAGTAATACCTTAAGTAAAAAGTTCTTATTGATTTATGATTATCTAATGTTTATATTAAGATATTACTCTTCCATTTGTAAATTAATAGGAATATTTTACTTCAGATATTTCGATCTTTTATAACGATGGCTATAACTGATGTTCAAAACAATAAGATTTTGAAACTAGTTGAACTTCGCCATTTTGTAATGTCGTGAATAAATTTTCAACGGTTCAGACAGTCTTTCCTGTCCATTTTGTGACAACTCGCACTAATTACGAGAAAAACCTAATTAAGAGGAATAATTTTCGAACTTTTTTATATGCCTCCTTAAAATTAAGCTCCCCGCTTTCTTTCTATGTGTGTTTTGTTCTAGGAAAACGTGTGTGTAAAAAGTCGAATTTTTTTTTCAATAGATCGAAGAATGTCCTTGTCTAGCGTCACTAGACAAAGAGAGCACTAGCGTGCGACAAGGACAGACATATACGCGCGGTAGACAAGGAGACCGATAGCGTGGGACAAGGACAGATGTATACGCGTGGCAAACAAGGAGGGCGATAGCGTGGCACAAGGACAGACATATATGTACGGTAGACAAGGAGAGCAACAGCGTGAGAAATTAACTTTTTTTTATAGAAAGAATCATTTATGGTGATTCACTTGATTACTATTTTATGTCTAAACGAATTCAAATATGTTTCATTGCGTTTGTGGTATTAAACGAGATCACGTTCTTTCTACAGATGGTATTATGTTTTGTTCATAAATTTTTACTATTTAAATTTCCTGTATTTCTTACAGTATCAATGAATGTCGATAAAGTATTCAACGAGTTATCTCTTGAACGAGTTTAGACGGTTTTTTTTGTACCAAAACCCAGTTGTAATTATTATTTGTTCAATTGGAATTCGATAAACTAACGTTAGACAGTCATATAGTGCGCGGTATGACTTATTCGTAATAATTTTATCTACAGAAAGAATTTGATTTTACGTAAAGTTACGGTAGTGTATTACATGCAACTTATAGTATAACTTAGAATTTTATAGTACAACGAATTTTAGGGCATCTTTAGAGCCATGCTGTTGGGACCTTTCCCTAGGCAACTGCAGATGGCCAGTCAAACCAGCGAGGGGTTCTCCCCTCCACTTTGCAGCTGGCCAGGTATAGGCATGCCTGAATATTTTCTGAGAACAAAAGACCTGCTTGTATTCCATCAAACCACTTTTGGGTATTTTGAATTCATGTGGCTTCTAACGTACATTATATCAAAATTCGATGTTACATAAAACGTAGGAATTCTTACAGAGAAATAAAGAAACTCATTAATTTCTAATTTACGTTCGATAGCTTGAGTTTTTGTCCTAAAAGATATTTTTAAATCGTAATTTTCTCGAATGAAATTAACAGAATCGATAAGCAAGAGATCTAACAACTATTAGAAATCAAAAAGTAAAATCAGTTTTATTTATTTATATATAAAAATACACGAAATATATATCCACTGTTGGCCGTATAAAACTGGTAATGCAAGTGCAAGTTTCTTTTAAAGATTGGTAACTTCTTGAATCCAATCGATGAATGGACTAACTCTAGTGAACACACCAGGTTTATTGCTGGGGCAAAATCTGTCTCCGTAACTGACGATTCCGACTTGGACAGGCATGTTATTTACCAATACGACCAGAGGACCACCGCTGTCTCCCTGTATTTCCAAAATACAATAAAATCATAAAAGTTTCACATTTCCGGGTAAACAGCTGTAGAGAACGACGCGTTCGTTTACCTGACAAGCGTCTTGGTGGTATGCAGCCGACGTGCATATATGTTTCTCCGTTATAGCCCAGTACATGGAGCAATCGTAATTCGAAATAATCGGTAAAATCGCATACTTCAGTTTGCTCGTTCCAGTGCCGTAAGGCCCGTCTTTTCCCCACCCGATGATTATGCCCATTTTGTTAGCGAATGATTCTCCAACGTAGTTATAACCAGCGAGCGTAATAGGTTGAATGCTGACTAAAAATCCAAGAAATAATTTAAGTAATATACATAGTTACGTATGTATTTGTTCGTTGGGAATATTATTTATCTTACGTCCGAAAGGAATGTCCTGCGGCATGTACAATAATGCGATATCGTTTACAATGACTTGGTAATCAGGATGAAGTACAGCTTGGGTCGTAAACATTGCTATACCAGGCCCATTGTAAAAGTTATAGCCTATGCCAGGCTGGTCACGCGTACCGAAAACAACGAGAAATTTGTAAGGGCCAGATGCTACGCAATGGCCCGCTGTCAATACCCATCTGGTAGAAATGATCGTTCCGCCGCATTTCGAGATTATTCCATTGCCCAGCAATTGGTGTACCACAGCCATGAATGGAAATTGATTCGGTAGCGCGTATTGTCCACCGGCGATTCTGAACGCGTCCAAGTCATCTATCTCTTACAATTTTTTTTTTATCAAACACATTAAACGCGAAGGAACTCTTCACGTGTTTTTCTTTTGCAAAACGAGCATACTTACCGTACGAAGACATTGAATTGGACTCGAAGTGTGTATTCCAACGATTAATTTCAAACGCGCAGAGGACATTGCGGCTCACAACTAAAGCAACAAAGAGGAAACACTGAAAAGACTTAACGCTTATCGAAATCATGACGAACTGTGTAAAATCCACTAATTGATTTTTCTTTATATACCTCTTCTTTGACTGCGTTTTCTTGAGAAAAATACAAGTATTTTTGAACGGAAAAATACTAGAAGCGGAAGCAATTAAGGATCGTTGAAAAATTTGGTTGAAGAACACGAAATAGGTAATATTTTTTCGAAATCGATACTTCGAGGCACTGAACAGTGGGGATTCTATCTCTTCTGCGCTCTTGGCTATTGTTTGTTCCAACGCGATTGCATCGTTTTTTATATGATACGACAGCTGCATAGAAAAAGAGAAATTTTTCGAGAAAAATAGTTGTGTGCATGAGCGTGTGAGAATAACGAAGCTTTGAGAAGGCATATCGCAGAGAGAATTGAGACTTCGTAGAGTAAAGAGATAGAGTCGCGAGTCATCCGAGAGGGCGATTCTAGAGAGCAGTGAGAAGCCCAAGTGCAGAGAGAGAGTATAGTAAGTATAGTGAGATTTCAACAAATTTTGTAACTTTATTTAACTACCTAGGATAAAATATCTTTTTATTTTATTTTTACCACATTGAGAATTCGTCCGAAATTCCTACAATAGTAAAATTAGCTGCAGATGTCGGGAAACAAGAAAATGTAAGTGTAATATAAGCAATTTTTACTTGTACTGACTGTTTGGAATATAACTACGATAAGTTTCAAGCTCTTCTGTGCTTGTATTTTTGACTTTCTTTGCTTCGATACTTTCAACATGATTCAGAAATTTGAAAATACTATATCTTTTTAAGCAATATCTACTTCAACAATTCTTCACCAATTTTTACATTAATATTTAATTAAAGATATCTTGATTTTTGATTTTAAGTACAATAATATGAACGATTTGTTGTACGACCAAAGAGTTATCATACAGTTAAAAAAATGTGGTGGCCCTAAAAAGGGCCGATTGTAAAAGCTGATCTCAAGTTATAGCTTAACCGCCGAAACCGTACAATGTTCTGCCTTGACGTTTCAAAGCATAAACTACATCCATAGCAGTTACAGTTTTCCTTTTGGCGTGCTCAGTATACGTAACTGCGTCTCGAATAACATTTTCAAGAAATACTTTTAAGACGCCACGTGTTTCCTCGTATATTAAACCGCTGATTCTCTTAACACCACCTCTTCTAGCCAATCTTCGAATAGCTGGTTTCGTAATTCCTTGAATATTATCTCGCAATACTTTCCTATGCCTCTTTGCGCCTCCTTTTCCCAAACCCTTTCCACCTTTTCCTCGACCAGTCATTGTGAATAAAGGCAAATGTAGAGAGCAGCAAGTGACACTAAATTCTCACTTTTTAAAAATTTTTCTTCCTTGAATTTTCTTTTACTGCAGTGACGTGGGATGACGTGTCCCTGTAACCTACATTTAATATGTAAATTACGATTAATTAGTGATAATGTGTTACAGATGTGTTTAATGCTGTTTGTGGTTCCAGGAAAAAATTTTCAAGAAACCTGCGGTGCTTGTGTGTGATTTTGATTGTGTGAAATTAAGCGTATGTAATTGCACATTTTAAAAACTTGGTCTTAATTTTTAATGGTATGTCGATTTACGTACCGATGTGTCTGATAAGAGGCTTATAGCAGTTCGTATGATATGCGTAACTCAAAATCTACTAAAAAAATTATGCAATACCCGTATATATAACGAAAATTGTTTCCTCTCCACTACTACTCCGTAGACCAATCCGAAACCGTTAACGCCACTTCCACTCGTCCGCTCCCCACTCCAATTCAACAATTCACCAATCAGATACTTGAAGCTCCTAGCTCATAAAATATATAAATCGGCCACTAAACGCCCAAACCGCATTTTCAGTCGGCTTTCTATAAGAAATACGATGGCTCGTACCAAGCAAACTGCTCGTAAATCGACCGGTGGTAAAGCACCTCGAAAACAATTGGCGACAAAGGCTGCTCGTAAGAGTGCACCTGCAACTGGAGGTGTGAAGAAACCTCATCGTTATCGTCCAGGAACTGTTGCTCTTCGTGAAATTCGAAGATATCAGAAGAGTACCGAACTTTTGATTCGTAAATTACCTTTCCAACGACTTGTTCGTGAAATTGCTCAAGATTTTAAAACTGACCTGCGTTTCCAAAGTTCAGCAGTTATGGCACTTCAAGAAGCTAGTGAAGCTTACCTAGTTGGTTTGTTCGAAGATACAAACCTTTGCGCCATTCACGCTAAGAGAGTTACCATTATGCCAAAGGACATCCAATTGGCACGAAGAATTCGTGGTGAAAGAGCTTAAATTTTTCTCCCAATAACAAAAAAAACGGCCCTTTTCAGGGCCAACAATTCGTCTTTCGAAAGAACAACCTTGTATCTACTAAATATTATCTTTGATAGATATTTTAAGGAGTTTTCAATAATTCTATTAATAATAATAATGTATCATACATAATACATAATATTTCGTTCTATTCCATATTTACATGTTACAAGAAATTACATGCATACTGTTAGTTACCGTGCTTCTATACATAGGCGGGAGATTATTGCTGACTCATGAAAAGAATTATTCATTTAAATTACTATATATTCTCGTAGAAAAAACTTCGTGAATTGTATTAATTTTTATATAAAATTTATATAAACTACAATAATTTCAGTTATGGCGAATATCGCTTTGAGTAAAATAGTTGGTCTTAAGTATATTATTATAGTAAATTAAATATAGTACTTAATATTATTTAATATATGTATTATTAAAATATTGTAAAGAATATGTAAAGTATTATGCAAATATGTAAAGTAACTATAGTATTAAATTTTATTATGTTCTATAAAATATCTAAAGTACAATTTCCCGCCATTTTCAATAAAATATCCTATTACCTATATATAAGTATTATATTCTTATTACTGATGTTATTGGACTAGTTTTAGATTTTTTAATATAATTGATACTGCATATAGAGGAAAGGTAGAAGGAAAATTAATTTCAGATGAATTAAAGCGGGTAAAATTTTTTGGTTATACATACTTCATATGCAGTAAGTATATTGTAGCTAATTTATTTTTACTAAATATTTAATGAAAGTTACAATTTCAGCTATAATTTGTATAATTAATTATATATACAGATATATCAAACAATTTGTTTCAACAAAATTTTATGCTAAAAACAAAAATTTTAGGTTAAATTTATGTTGCCTTTCGCATGATAAATACGTCTAAAAAATACATATCTGTGTTTGATGACGCTTAATAATGTCTACCAAGATATAAATTCAGTTTGTATAAATCTACAACTGCAATAATAATAATTTTTAAAAGGAGAAAGCTTAACATAATATACATTATTTAAAAAACTTTTTTTCTAATATGATTATAAACAGAGTTTACTTTTCAGATTTCATTGAATGAAAATATGGCAGATAACAAATGTGATTACATCGTATGGATAGACACAGAAGTAAATATTTCATAATATTTCATATTATGCATATTCAACAATATTTCATAATATTTTTCCTTAAATTATGACAGTGGTATTCTGATGAATGAAATATTTGACGTAAATCATATTTATAAAAATTTGTATATGTATTTGATTATTTTAACTTATTAAGTTGATCAAAATGCCAATTATGTGTGTACATATAATGACATGTGGTCTGTGATCTTCATTTATTTATTCTAATATACTGATAGGATAGTATCCTGATATTTAAAAAACTGAATAATTTTCTCAATCGTGAATGATAGTCAATGTTGCTAGATGTCATCAACAAATTGCACTTAAAATAAGCTCAGAAATTGCAAGTCAGAATAAACATGGTAGCAGTCGAAAATATTATACTTATTAAATTTTTTTTTTTAGTTATCTGGACTTGACATAGAAAAGGACACAATTTTGGAAATTGCTTGTTTGATAACTGACAAAGATTTGAACATAGTAAGTGAAGAGTTCAGTCTTGTGATTAATCAACCAGATGTAATTTTAGAAAATATGAATAAATGGTGCATCAATCATCATGCAAAGGTAACTTAAATACTTTTTAATTTAGTAATTATTTTAATCTTATATTTGTATTTATAACTGATATTTACCACAGAAATCATATTTTTTCAGACAGGCCTAACAATAGAATCTAGATGTAGTAAAATTAATTTAAAAGATGCAGAGCAAATGTTACTTAATTTTTTGAAAAAATACATTTCTAATCAAACCTGCCCTCTAGCTGGCAATACAATTTACATGGACCGTTTATTTTTACTTAAACTTATGCCATTAGTCAATGATTATCTACAGTATAGAATTATCGATGTTAGTTCAATTAAAGAACTAGCGAGGTACTAACATTTAAATTTTTTTTACATTTCATAAAAACTAGATTGCAAATTTGTATGCATTTATGGGAAATCGTAATAGAAAAAATGCTGGTAATGTGTAAGGTCTAGTATTTATTTTAGTACATAGTAGATAATACAAATTTCTATTTCCATAGTTTATCTATATATTCATAAATATAAAAATGCATAAAAATCTATAGTCTAGTGATAAGTATGATGTATTATACTTAATCTATATTGTTTTCAAAAGTAATACAAAATTTATTTTAGGAGATGGCATCCAACAATTTATAAAAATACACCAAGAAAGAACTGTGAGCACAGAGCACTATCTGATATTAAAGAAAGTATAAATGAACTAAAATACTATAGAAATAATCTATTTATATCGTCTGTGTAGCAGAGCATTTATTTTCCCTTATTTTCTGGATCACAATTTTTCAGACAAGGTGCTCTTTTAGAAATTGTCTGTTATTTTTTGGAAAAATCTAGAAGTAAATCTAAAAAACTCTATAGTAAGCCTTATATAAAGTTCACAAATGGAATCATCTTGTAAATTGTATATTTACTGATTATAGAATTGATTAATTATTATCATAAAATTGATCATAATGTTTGATTTTTGAATAAATTATAATAGAAGCATAAAAATTTGTGCTGCTTGACTGAATGATGGATATCTGAAAGATTATATTTTTGTAAATTGCAGCTAGTCTGTGAAAACGACAAACAAAAAAAAGCATTGTTCCTTAATATATAGTTTCACATATGTATTAAACCATGTTCAAATTGATTTGAATTTTTCGCTATATTTGCGTATTGAAGAGGATTGGAAGAGTTTTAGAACGCATTAACACATTTATCTATAATATACGTGAAGATGCTTCACGTATAGATGGTATATTGGATAACGTTCTTTGCTAATTATTCATTGCGAAGGTTATTTACTTTTACCACAATGTAATATAATTAAAAATGTAGCTATTGCAATTTAAAGAAAGACCAATTTCTCCAGTTGAGAATAAATTTTTATGTCTTTATGTACAGCTCGATTTAAGAGACCTCTTCCGGAATTTATGCAAAACGCAGATTTTGAATTATTCAACGGTTAATAAACAGCAGGAAGCGTTTATATACAATGTGGAAGATAGTAAACTATTCTGCGGAAAAAGGAAATTAATGTTTGAATGAAAAACTGAAGACGATTAAACTATAAAGAAGAATTATTTCACAAAAATGAACGATACACGTAATATGAAGAAAGAGAAGAAACAACATATACAAGTCTTTGTCCGTGTCAGGTAATTGCATGTTAAAATATTAAGTACTTGGAAAACTTTATTTAAAAACGCAACCCTGTATTAATGTTGTGTCATTTTGTGGCAGACCGACAAATAATACTGAGAAAATAGGAAAATCGATAACAGTTGTTGATATACCATCTAATAAAGAGGTGGTCGTTCGTGAAAGACCTCATGATAAATTTACAAAGAAATTTACGTTTGACAAAGTATTTGGACCTAATTCGAAGCAGGTGCGTATTTCAATTAGACAGTATTTCAGAATCAATTAACAATTGTTATAAAATTTAAAATTTAATTATATTAAAATTATATTAATTTAAATTTAAAATTATAAAATTTTTAGATCCAAGTGTATAATGCGGTTGTCAGTCCCTTACTGGAGGAAGTTTTGGCTGGATATAATTGCACAGTGTTTGCTTATGGACAAACCGGTACTGGAAAGACTTTTACAATGGAAGGAATTGACAATGATCCATCATTACATTGGCAAACAGTTGGTTTAACATTTTCTTTCTACCAATAGTAGTGTTGAAATAGACAACATATGTTATATATTGTAATGTATGCATATATATATACATATATATATAAATACACATATATATATATATGTATATATGTGTAAAATTTGCAGGATACTACTGCTGGAATTATACCACGAGCTATAAGTCATTTATTCGACGAGTTGCGTGTATTAGGTGTACAAGAGTACTCAGTGAGGATCAGCTTTTTAGAATTATACAATGAAGAAATATTTGATTTATTGTCTCCTAGTGATGATGCTGCGAAAATAAGGTATTTAATTTCTATGTTCTTTGCTTAAGTACTGCTATTTTAATAAAATCAAAGTTATACTAAACTACATATTAAATTGTATATAATAATTTAAAAGGATATATGAAGATCCAATTAAAAAGGGTGCTGTAATAGTGCATGGATTAGAAGAAATATCAATACATACTAAAACTGAAGTATTTAATATTCTTCAGAAAGGATCTGATAAACGACAGACTGCAGCTACTTTGATGAATGCACACTCAAGGTTGATATTCTGTTTATGTCCTAAATAATTACTTATATTTGTTTTATTTCATAAAATTTAATACTAATATTGTTTATGTTTTAGCCGGTCCCATACAATATTTTCTATTACTATTCATATAAGGGAGAATACAATTGATGGTGAAGAGTTATTAAAAACAGGGAAACTAAATTTAGTTGATTTGGCTGGCAGTGAGAATGTTGGAAGGTCTGGCGCTGTCGATAAAAGAGCAAGAGAAGCCGGCAATATCAATCAGTCTCTATTAACTTTAGGTCGAGTTATAACAGCACTTGCAGAAAAGACTCCACATGTGCCTTACAGGTGAAATCAATATAAATTTTGATATTGAATTTATAATACATACATAACACATAATATACATTCAAATATTAAATTTTTTATTCATTACATTTTTTTTGTATAGAGAATCTAAATTGACGCGATTGCTTCAAGAATCATTAGGTGGACGTACTAGAACTTCAATAATCGCTACGGTATCTCCTGCTAGTATTAATCTTGAGGAAACATTGTCAACATTAGATTATGCACATCGTGCTAAAAATATCACGAATCGCCCTGAGATTAATCAGAAATTCTCTAAAAAGGCACTACTTCAAGAATATATTGAAGAAATTGAAAGATTAAAGAAAGATTTAGTAGCATGTCGCGAACGAAATGGTATTTATTTGACTCCAGATAGTTACAATGAAATGCAATCTTTAATAGAATTTCAAGGTAAAGAAATAGAAGAAAAATTAAATCATATTAAAGCGCTCGAAGAATGTATGAACTCTAAAGAGGTGATGATTGATTCAAATTTTATAACTTCCATTGTATTTCTATTCTTATATGATAAAGAAATGAAAATTATTTCAGCAAATATTTAACGAATTAAAATCAAAACATTTTGAACAAGCAAATGAATTATTAAGTATGAAAAATCAATTGCAAAATACAGTAAATGTTTTAATGTCAACATCAACACGCTTGGTAACATCGGAACAAGAAAAAGAGGAACAGAAGCATCTTGTTGAAAAACATGCACATACTGAAAATATTCTTTTATCACAAGTACAATCAGTTTTAGATGTTGCTGATACAGCTACTTCAGATGTAAATAAACTTCATGAAAAAATCTTTCGTAAATTGTGAGCATTTTCTCTAAGATCTGATCTCGAATTTTAAATTATATTTGTTAATTTAAAATTAATATTTTATATTTCTAGGCAAATAGGACAGCGAAATAAATCTCTTGCGCAACAATTTAAAAATAATATTAAAGAACAAATCAGAAGAATTGAAGATGATGTTGCATCACATACTGAAAATTTAATTCAATTCTGTACTTCTATGAAAAATCATATTGGTAAGTAAAATATTCAATAAGAATACTGAATTTTATAAAAATAAAGATGTATTTACTAGTTTGCTTTCTTAGATGCGCAAAATATTTCGTTTAATGAGGACATTGAAAAGTCGATTCAAGTTATGTCTCAGGATCTCCTTAATTTAAAACAAAATATTCATGAATTGAAGAAAAATACAAATGATTCTGTATGTAACAAAATATATTTCATGTCTTTATTATAAAATTTTACAATTATTAGTATAAAATTAATATTTTTGGTTTTCAGTATTTAAGTTATCAACAATGGCTAGAAAGTGAAAATAAAGATGTTACAACTATGACTAATGTTAAGATTAGTATGTTAAATAATATTTCTTCTCATATTGTACAAAAATTTGATAAATTAATAGAAAATAAACTAGCTGAAAGTTTACAAGCATTAAACAGTGATATTTCTCAAAATATTGATAACTTGATAGAATCTACGGAAGAATCAATAATATCAATTTCTAAATGTTTAATTGAAAAGCGGGATTGTTTAAATAATAATATGTTAGAAATTAAAGAATATGTTAAGAATATTCGACGAGATCAAAATGATATTATTGAAAAACGGACAAATTTTTTAAAGGTACGTTATTTTTAAAAATCACGATATTTTTCTAGTTCTGATATTGTCTGATTTGTAGATGATGGACGATTTGCAACATTGTTTCAATGAGGTACAAAAAGAGGAGGAAGAAAATCATTTTACAGTGTGCACTCTATTAAACACTATTGATGAAACTTGTGAAGTTATAAATAATCAAGCTTCGGATACTTACAAAATAAATATAGAAAAACAATACGATTTACAAAAAATATTTCGAAATGATTTAGATACAATAAAAAAGGAAGTTATTGAAGTAACAGATCAGGTAAAAAACATGCTAAATTTTTAAAAAAGTAAATTTTCTGTTGTATTATTATTTAATATAATATTCATTTTTTTGACAGTCTCGGTTGTTACACGAAAGTGCAGTAGCACAAGCTAAAATATCAATAAACGATTTCCAAGCAGATTTGAATAAGAATTGTGATACATTAATGAATTTTAAAAATTGTGTGGAACGTAATATTACGGAAATGCAACAAAAAATGGAGAAAGATAAAAGTCTTATTCTATCAGCAATTAATGTAAGTTTATATTAAGTAAAATTACTTAATTTTATTTCGCTTGTTATTTTATTTTTAATATTGTGATTTTCAGGATGTATATGTGAAAGTTTATACCACTAGTAATAAACACATAAATTGCTTAAATGATTATAAAATCGCATTTATGAATATATTTCCACAAATAAGTCAAAAGCTTGAAAATGAAAATATTAATACAGCAAATATGAATAGTAAAATTGTTTTAGAAATACAAGAGATAATTGATCAAATTGACAAATTCTTTGCACAAGATTTATATCGCGATAGTCCAACAGGTAAATATGATAAATTATTCATTTGAATTTATATTTTTGTTGTGTATATTCTATGTATATTTATAATTTAAAAAAACATTACATATTTCAACTTAAATAGGCTCAACTCCTGCAAAGAAAGATTTTCGGTATTCTAAAAAACTTGTTAAAACATCTCCACATGAACGATTGCTCAAAAGATATAGAGAAACGCTTAAAGACATTGAAGATACAGAAAATGAGGTAAGTTGGGATGTATAACACATTTAATTAAATAAATTTAATAAAATACTTTGAATATATTTCTATTAGCCTATGCTACTACTGACCCATAACACGCCAAGAAAGGAAACTGTGGATACAAGTTGACAAGCAAACTTTAAAGGAATTACAACAGCATATGTATTATGTGAAAATATATTAAATATGAATTTTTAAATTGTATTTCATATATAACAGTGCGACAAAATAAAATTGGTCAAATCTTTTTATAGATCTGTTTTTTTTTCTTTGCTGCTTTTTTCATTTTAATTTTAGTTATCAGTGATATGTAATTTTTAGTTTGATATCACTGCCCAAAAATAATCATTATAAAAAATAACTGTGTAATCTAATTAATGCAAGGAATAGTATTTAAATTTTTTCAATAACGTCACACACACACACGCACGCGCGCGCATTTATCAGAATATTTCTAAAGTGTTTATAAATGCAGAGTGGGGGAAGTTTTGTGATGAGTGCCACGTTATGTGTGACGAGAATTTTCTTGACGTATTCTGTCAAGTAACAAAATCAATTTCACGCTTTGCAATGCGAAGTGTGTGTGGTATTACAACATGGGTTTTTTGGAAGATACATTCGTGATCCTAATCACACAGGTGGAAATTTATTTCCACTAATAGAAATAGAATTTTGCCGGTACACGTAGATGTTACACAGTTAGGTTATAAATGACTGATATTTCTATTAAAGGATTGTAAACTGTAAAATTTATGTTATTCAATAAAATATTATTTTTGTTAGTAATACAAATTTCGAAACATATTTATGTTTGAATATCAAAATAAACAATATTCATTAATAAATAAATTTTGAATTTTGAAATTTTTAATATACAAGTTTTAATATACATTAGTTATTAAACTTTTATAACGTGCTATGTATGTATTGTTTGTATTAGTGTTAATAATTTTACAATAAACGTAGCAATCAAATATTTTATTATTTATTTTTAAAATAATAAATTATTGTAAATTTTACTAGATTATTAGATTTCATTATTTCATTTATATGTTCTTACTTATTTGTCTTACATATTGTAGATTATCTTCTTTTTGGGAGGATGGGTATTTTTCGTAAAAAAATTATTTCGAGATTATGAGGTCCATCACAGATTAGTACAACTAATTTTTTCCACTACATTTTCATTATCTTGTACTATGTTTGAGCTAATTATTTTTGAAATAATTGGAGTTCTTGACTCTAGGTAAGCAATTCTTTAAACTAATTCTAATTGTATTAAATACTAATGTCATAATATATCTTTAGTTCCCGATATTTTCATTGGAATGTTGGTCTTTATATGCTTCTGTTTATGGTAATTGTCTTAATTCCATTTTACATAGCATATTTCATCATTAGTAATATTAGATTTGGTAAGTATATTTTATAAACATCTACAGTTAGTGTTTAATATAATATGATACACTTATCAATCATTTCTTTTTACAGTAAGACTGAAATTGATAAGACCATTAACATTTGTTGTGTATCTCTTTTATCTTTACTTATTTTGGAAAGTGGGTGATCCATTTCCAATTTTAAGTCCGAAAAAGGGCCTATTATCTATTGAACAAGGCGTTAGTAGAATAGGAGTTATTGGTGTCACTGTTATGGCACTGTTATCAGGATTTGGTGCTGTAAATTATCCATATACCTCAATGGCTTATTTTATGCGACCTGTAACATATGCTGATGTACAGGTTATAGAAAAACGATTGTTGCAAACAATGGATATGATTGTAGCTAAAAAAAAGAGAATAGCATTAGCTAAAAAGGGAGAAGTTGTAGGGCAAAACGGAGCTCGATCTCGACTTTGGGGAATGTTTGGCCCTTTAAGTGGTACTAAAAGTAATCAGGAAAGTATGTATTATATTTTTCAATATACTTAAGATATAAAATCGTGCATGTATATATTTCATGAAATATACTTACAGGTATTAAACAGTTACAAATTGAAGTTACAGCGTTGGAAGAATTATCTCGACAATTGTTTTTAGAAGCACATGACATTCAAAATGCAAGAGAACGTTTAGAATGGGCTGCTACTTGGCAAGGAAAATATTTTAACGTTTTAGGATACTTTTTCTCGGTGTATTGTACTTGGAAAATATTCATTGTAAGTAGAACTATACAACAGAGTCACATAAAAAACTACATATTTGAAATTTACGTTTTTAGTCAACAATTAATATCGTTTTCGATCGTGTGGGTAAGAAGGATCCTGTTACTAGAGCAATTGAAATTGCAGTACATTGGATTGGTTTTGATATCGATGTTACATTTTGGTCTCAACACATTTCCTTTTATCTTGTTGGTTGTATCGTATTAACATCAATTCGTGGTTTATTACTAACACTTACGAAGGTATATACTTACTAAATAAATGCTTTTGAAGCCAAGCTTGAAAACAATTTTTAAATATTAATTATTTTGCTGTTCTAGTTCTTTTACGCGATATCAAGCAGCAAATCCTCGAATATTATTGTACTTATACTTGCTCAAATAATGGTAAGATTATTCTGTTTTATACGGATAAAAATAATAATGATTGTTTATATTTCTTTGATACAATTATATTTTTTTTGCAGGGCATGTATTTTGTATCATCTGTGCTTCTAATGAGAATGAATATGCCTGCGGAATATCGAATTATAATAACTCAAGTTTTAGGAGAATTGCAATTTAATTTTTACCATAGATGGTTTGATGTTATATTTTTGGTATCTGCATTATCATCAATAGTGTTTTTATATTTAGCTCATAAACAAGCACCTGCAGAACGTATTTAATTTAATAAAATATTTTTTTAATGAAATCAAAAAATTTCTTTATAACTTCATGTTTACAGTTCCTTTGATTACATTTTCACAATAAAATTGTGAATTTGTAAATTTTAACTATATACCACAATAAAATTATTTCACAATAGTTTTGATTAAAAAAAAAAGAAATAAAGACAACATAATATTATATAGATCTAAAAATTAATTACAAAATATATGAATGTTAAATTCAATGTATTAAGTATTTAAATATTTATTTCTAGGAACATATTTAATGCTCCTACTTCTAATACATATCATTTTATCAAAGTTAACATGCATAATTATAAACTTTGCAGATTGAGTAATAGTTTCACATCGTCTATTGTTTAATAATTAAAAGTAATTTTTAATTTGCTGAAGTATATATCGTTTATATTAACTCTATGTTGTATTTATCTTATTATATTATATGACATTTTAATCGCACACAATTGATAACGTGAATAATAGAAAATTGGCATTAATGTATGATTACTGAGTCTACAATGAACAACATTCTAATGGATCAGTTCGATACTCCACTCTTCTCCCATATTTACACTTGGCTTACGCACAGTTAATACATTATTATTTGGATTGTACTTAGTCTCCAAATTAACTTTTGTCATACCTAAAATGAAAATAATTCGTAATTATTCGATATTCCAGAATTAAATTACATATTTTTTAATTAAATTAGGATAATACTTACTACGTGAATTTAATATAGCAGATTTAACTCCTTTAGGTGGATTTGCAATATCTACCCTTTCTAACCAGCTTTCTGTTTGATATGAAGATAATTTGTCTATGAATGTAGAAGTTAATTTATTTCCATCAAAATTGAGCCTCAAATATAAATATTTGCCATGACGATATTCAAAACTAGCTTCATCATCGATGTACAATGTACCATTAGCTTTACCCGCAGAATCTGTGGTAACTATCAATGTATAGGGATCATTCTTCATCGCGACTGTACTACGACGTATTCTCATTTTACGTGGAACAATAGAACCGCCTCTTTGGAATACCGGAATCTTATGAAGAGTTACGGGAATATTAACTAGGCCTGGTTGATGATATGGTTGTAGAGTATCAACATCATACCAAGTTATTTTGCCTTCTCCAGGGAAATATACGTTTACATCCGTAACGGATGGTTGAAAAACTGGACGTACGAGTATAGAGTCTCCAAGTAATATTTCATCATCAATAGCATACGTTTCAGTTTCACTTGGATAATGAGCCCATAAAGGTCGCACTACAGGAGTGCCATTTACTTCATGTTCGCGGAAAAGTGTATACCATAATGGTAGATATGAATATCTCATTCTAAAAGCCTCTCTGACAATTTGAGTAGTTTCTTCATTAAATAACCAAGGTTCACGTCGTTTAGTTTCAATATGAGAATGCTGACGATAAAAAGGAAGCCAAGCACCAGCTTGATTCCATCTAATAAATAGTTCAGAGTCTGGATTTTTGAAGAAACCAGCAATGTCTGCTCCACAAAATGACATTCCAGAAACTGCTAAAGAGAGACACATTGGATAACTTATACGTAGATGATCCCAGTCGGCCGTATTATCACCAGTCCACATGGCCGTATAACGTTGTGAACCAGCAAAAAAAGATCTCACAAGGGTAAATGGCCGTAGCGAGCCTCCTGATCTTCTAAATAAAGCTTCATATGTCGCTATAGACATAAGAAGTCCGTTAATATTGTGAATACTTCTATGCTCCCAACCGCCATAATGGATTACATCTTTAGGCATAGTTACTTCAGGGCCATTAAATACGCTTGGTTCATTCATATCGTTCCAAATATATACATCATTAGTTGTACCATGGAATTTATCTAAACTATATTGGCTCATATAATATTCTCGTACTGCTGGATCGAAGAAGTCTAAATATGAGGATGATCCTGGCCAACACCAACCTTCGTAGTCTTTTCCATCTCTGGTTTTAACATAATAACCCATTTTTGTGGCATCATTATGAACGAAGTAACCAGGATCGCGTTTGATATGCGGATCAATAATTACAACTAATTTTCTACCTTTTGCGGTTAAATTATGTATCATTTCAATGGGATTCGGAAATCTTCGTCCGTCCCAAGTAAAATATTTTTTACTGTCAGTGTACTCTATATCTAGCCACATAACATCTAACGGTATATCATGTGTATCAAAGTTTTCGGCTGTTTGTATAACATCATCTTGATCATTGTAATTCCAGCGAGATTGATGATAGCCCAAAGCAAACATTTGTGGCAAAGGTGCTGTACCTGTTAAGATTGTGTATTGTTTAAACACGTCTAGAGGCTTAGGACCTAACATAAAGAACACATCAATTACACCAGCTTCTGACATGAAATGGGCATCCACTTGCGATTTTTTAGTGGATCCAGATACAAAGTTGACAATACTTTCTACAACATTATTGTCTGCACTTGATAAAATATCGATCCATGTTTCTGCAGCATTATGCCAGAAGATACCAGTTGTTTTTTCTTTACCATGAGCATAGAGCACAGGTATTGCTCCATAAATTGACATTCTTTCATTAACTTCATATTCAAATACATCTAAATTATATAGTCTGTAAGGCTGAGCTTGTTTTGTAGACTTTAGAGCAAATGAATCTGCATGTTCTGGTACACCATATGCATGTTCAGCTCCAGGAAAACTGAAATCCAAGGCAACCGCTTCTGGGCCAAAAGGTTTTGAATCATGATGAGTTTTGAAACTTTCCTCCCAAGCACCTGGATCATCATCTGCACCATCACCTGGTGCATTATCATTAACATTTATTTCAACATTTTCAGCATTTTCCTCTTGTTCTGGTGTCCTGTTGAAAATGTCAAAGAAAGCCATTAATTATACTTAATAATTAAACATGATATATAGAAAGTAATTTTCTTTGAAGCATACTTAGGTTTTGTTCGATGATGTTCAAATCTCATAAGACCTCTTGCATTTGCAGATACAACCAATACATTTTGAGAATACAAATCTACTCTAAATGGATTAGCATATAATATAACTTTGTTTTCATCACTTATTATAGTTATATGATCTGCAGTTTTCTCAATTAAATTTAACTTAGATACTTGTGGTTGATCCTGTAGAGCGTATTCAGGTTCGTATCTCCGATGTAATGGATTTTTCTCATTGATATGGAGTCTAAATGTATTATCCTTTAACGTAGTTAATTGTAATATGTAAAGAACTCTTGTATCCTTATTAAACAAGTCTATACTTATAATCGATTCATTTTGAACTAATGTATCTGTTAATAATTGATATGGTGTTTTTCCAGGTTCAACTTTTCTGCAACGTCTAGTAACATTTATCTAATATTAATAACGGCAGTGTGATTAGCTAAATTTAAAAAAATTAAAGATACTGGAAATTTACCTGCAAAAGCTGCTTTGTTCACATGTTTTAAATACATCTCTATTAACTGCATCAATAAGAAGGAAAGAGCAGACTAATAGTAATAGTAATCCCAATCTACAATATAAAATTTATAAATTATTTATAAAATTTTCTGTTACAGAAAATATGTTGAATTCGTTGATATCAATTACGTATTATTCCTGAACAGTAGTGGAAAGAACATTATTATTATCGTTGCTTCTGTAATACAATTAATTGCATGCTATTTAATGTGGCTTTTCAATTGTTTTGAATAGATAACGACATTTTTATAAACAAATTAATCCGAGAAAGGCGATGCTGTCTGCCGAATTAAATCACGATATTGTCACGGGACACGTCAGCGTGATCATGATTAGATTATAAAAATAAAAGTAAGTACAAAGAATTTTAATGTCCGTTACTTTACATAAGCAAGATGAATTAAATATGGAATATTTCGTAACATGGTATATCCCGTTCATCAAGAATTAGCTTTGTTTTTTTGAAGGTTAAAAAGCCGAAAGTAATTAACTTACCGCACATACGAGGCCATGTTGAAAAGTAATTTTTGCCATAGATAAAGTGTAAAACAGACGTATCACTTTATGAGGGCTTGATATTCTTCATTCTGAAATACCGATTGCGAAAAAAGTCGGAAACATCTTTGAACGAAATAAACTCAAGATTGTTAAAGTGGAAACTTCATTCTTTAAAATAAAATCAAATTAATTGTTCTTCAATTTTTTTTCACGAAATTATAACAGTTTGAAGTATCGACAATTTTTCATCAAGTGTATGAATATTTTCGTTCTTTTTTTAAGAATGTCTCATGAATTTTGATTTAGACCAGAGTTTTTTTATTTCGTGCGAAACGCGCGATTACAGCGCCCCAGCGGGGAAATACGCACTATACTTCTTACGATTCTCGAATCATGATCGATATTTCTCACGATCGATTTTGAAGCGTAGAGAATGGCGGATGGAAGCACATCTCGTCTGTAAAGAACGAAGTGTTATTTAGAAGAATCATCCAGAAAGAAGTATTATCCAAAAGTTTTCATATAAAGATATAAGTCAATATTTGTTAGATTTGTGTTTGTATTGTGAATTTTTAAGATAAAATCCATTTTTACTTCAACTCAAGGTAAGATTTACTCGAATAATTATTACAAATAATTTTCAACAATTAAAGAAATAATAGCATATAAATATTTAAACAAAACATGCTGTTATGTTATTTATAATTTTATACCAAAATTTAATTTCAATTCTAACCATTACAAATATTGCGATCTTTTAATATCACTACCTTTTTATTATGTATATTATATGTTTTTGTTTCTTTTTGTTGTAACATTCTCTATTCATTTATTGATTCTTTAACCTCTACTGCATAATTCTTAACAATTCCAATACTAAATTCAACAACAATTTATTGAGGATATACGTATTTGATGGCTAAAAATTCTAATAATTCTACTGTGTAATATAATAAAATTTCTCATGTCTCAGTAAAGTAGTTTTTTCTTAAGAATTTCTCATGAATTTAGATCAGAGCTTTTTTTATTTTTTATTCCAAAT